TCAAAGAACCAACTCTTTGTTTCCTTGATTCTTTGTACTGTTTTCCTAGTTTCTACTTTGTTGATTTCGGCTCTCAGGTTGATTATTTCCTGGCGTCTACTCCTCCTTGGTGAGTTTGCTTCCTCTTGCTCTAAAGCTTTCAGTTGTTCTGTCAATTCTCTAATGTGACTTTCCTCCAGTTTCTTCATGTGAGCACTTAGTGCTATGAACTTCCCTCTTAGCACTGCTTTCAGGGTGTCCCATAAGTTCGGGTATGTTGTGTCTACATTCTCATTAAATTCTAGAAAGTCTTTGATTTCTTTTTTTATTTCTTCCTCAACCAAGGAATGGTGCAATTGGGAGTTATTCATTTTCCACGTAAATGTAGGTTTTCTGCAATTCGTATTGCTGTTGAATTCTAGCTTTAATGCATGGTGGTCTGATAAGATACAGGGGGTTATTTCAATACTTTTGTACCTGTGGAGGTTTGCTTTGCTGCCAACTATGTGGTCAATTTTTGAGAAGGTTCCATGTGGCGCTGAGAAGAAGGTATATTCTTTTGTGTTTGGATGGAATGTTCTATAGATATCTGTTAAACCCAGTTGTGTCATAACTTCTTTCAGATCCTTTGTTTCTTTGTTAAGTTTCTGTCTAGTAGTTCTGTCCAGTGGTATAAGGGGGGTGTTGAAGTCTCCTACTATAAGTGTGTGTGGTTTTATGTGTGGTTTGAGCTTTAGTAATGTTTCTTTTACAAAAGTGGATGCTTTTGTATTAGGGGCATAGATGTTCAGGATTGAGACTTCGTCTTGATGGACTTTTCCTGTGATGAGTATGAAATGCCCTTCTTTATCTCTTTTGATTGCTTTCAGTTTAAAGTCTAATTTGTTAGATATTAGTATTGCTACCCCAGCTTGTTTCTTGAGCCCATTTGATTGGAAAATCTTTTCCCATCCTTTTACTCTGAGGTATCGCCTGTCTTTGAATTTGAGGTGTGTTTCTTGTAAACAGCAGAAGGATGGATTCTGTCTTCGTATCCATTCTGTTAGCCTGTATCTTTTTATGGGTAAGTTAAGACCATTGACATTCAGGGATATTAACGTCCATTGTTCATTGGTTCTTCTTGGTTTTGGATTTATTGTTGGTGGTATCATTGCGTGTGGATTTTGCCCTTCTGTTTCTTTTTGTGTTTGGTGAAATTCGATTAACTACTGCCAGTGTTTTTGTGAGTGTAGTTATGTTCGTTGGGTTGGAGTTTTCCTTCCAGAGCCTTCTGTAGTGCTGGATTTGTTGATATGTATTGTTTAAATCTGTTTTTGTCGTGGAATATCTTGTTTTCTCCATCTATAGTGATTGAAAGTTTTGCTGGGTACAGTAGTCTGGGTTGACATCCATGCTCCCTTAGTGCTTGTAGGGTATCTATCCAAGACCTTCTGGCTTTCAGAGTTTCCATTGAGAAGTCGGGTGTGATTCTGATTGGTTTGCCTTTATATGTTACTTGGCCTTTTTCCTTTGCTGCTCTTAATATTTTCTCTTTATTCTGTAGATTTGGTGTTTTGATTATTATGTGTCGGGGCGACTTCTTTTTGTGGTCCAGTCTGTTTGGTGTCCTGTAAGCTTCTTGTACTTTCATAGGCATATCCTTCTGTAGGTTGGGGAAGTTTTCTTCTATGATTTTGTTGAATATGTTTTCTGTACCTTTGAGCAGTATTTCTTCACCTTCTTCTACACCTATTATTCTTAGGTTTGGCCTTTTTACGGTGTCCCATATTTCCTGGATATTTTGTGTTAGGGTTTTGTTGGACTTGAGGTTCTCTTTGGTGGATGAATGTATATCCTCTAGCGAGTCTTCAGTGGCTGAGATTCTCTCTTCCATCTCTTGAATCCTAGTTCCAGGCCAGTCTGCGGCGTCGGAATCTCAGCTCTTTTTTTGTAAGAGCAGAATTAGGCTAATCTGCTAGTGAGTCAAAGAAGGTGTGCGAGGGAGAACTTGTAGCTCAAGGCACTGCCTTGTTTGATTAGATTCTGTGGGGGGTGGGGGGATGGGGTGGGCTCTTCTGCTTGGGTTTTCTGTTTTTGTTTATTGTTTGTAATTGAAACTGCAAACATCAGGAAATTTAAAATTCCTCAGTAATTTGCATTTTGTGAAGGAATGGGATGTTTTAGTTTAGTGACAGTAAGCGGTGCTCAACAGTTTTAATAGCATGATGGCATTGTTAAACTTTTTAATGCCTGTTCTTTTGAAAGGATACTGTTTAGCTTTCTCTCAAAACTAGCAAGCAACCCTTTGGACTTTTAGTTACATGATTTTGCTTGATTTGAAATAAGTGTTCTAATGATAATAGCAATGTAGTTAAGGAAATGATTCACGTGCAGTCTATTAATTTTGCAGATGTGGGAAGAATATCCTGATGTTTATGGGGTTAGGCGGTCAAACCGAAGCAGACAAGAACCATCACGATTCAATATTAAGGAAGAGGTAAGAAAATAATGATTCAAGGGGATGTGTTTCGATTCTCTGTATGACCTCATCTTCTGTGACTGGTGTATATTACTATTAAAAAGACTGATCTTCAGGTGTGGCAGTTAAAAGGAAATCTAATGGGGCCTTTCTATGAACAGATAGTGGGTAAAGAAGTTAAGTAAACAACAAATCCATAATAGTTAATGTTTCATTCCAGTATTATATGGTGAGTTAATTTTAATTTAAAGTTAAATTTCTCAGAGTGTAACTGATTGTGATCAGTTTTCTTTAGACACCTAATATTTTGTTTAAGTTATGAACAAATAGAAAATGAACAATTTGGATTTACTCCAGAGAAAGGAAAGAGGAGTGTTTAATGTATCTTGTTTTTCTTAATTTATGTAAGTTTGATTTTCTATCTCAATTGTAGTGTGAGATAGAAAACTGGTTCCTAATATATTCATTTTCTGGTCTAATTATGAGAGATGGAGTACTTTTTTTTGTGATGGGGGCAGAATCTTGGTACTTGAACATTCTTAGCAAGCACCCTTCACTTAGCTACATCCATCTCTAGTGCCTGGATTGATGATTTTTAAAGCCAGTAATATTTGGGTTCATACATCTATAGAATCGGACTTGTTTCATGTTTCTCAGATTATGTCATTGTTACATGAAATTGCTGCATGTTAGGTTTGTAGAATCCAGAGGGATACTTTTGTCTCAGTGAAATGTCCCCTTCTGCCTCAGGAGGATTTTGCTATTTTGTATCAATAGTAAATGTCCTCTGAAGATCAAATTCATGCCAACACCTGCATGTTTATGCTGTTTGAATTCTGAGTGATTTCCGAGCTGGTGTGCCTGTGCTTCCCTTTCCCACAGTGACTAGGGCCACTGAGCCATCGTCCTTCATAGCCAGTCACACTTCCTGGTTATACATCAATACATCCTTAGTAGGACCCAAGACAACAGCCTTATGGGAAGTGCCATTTCACTTCACTTGGGGGATGAAGGTGTCTCAGTGTCTGTGACTATAATCCTTCTTTGGCCTTGTGCTGTTAGCTCTTCATTCATAATTACAGTTGCTCTTTAGTCAAGTCTAAAGTGACTACATCAGTAGGCAGTGCCTTTAAGGCACACTCATTAAATTTGCTATTTTATATGCTGTTTTAGATCTGCAGCATCCTGTATAGTTAGTTACTGTTAACACATTTGGGTTTTTAAATTTATATTTAGAATTGTATCTTCATCCCTACTAGGCACATTTTCAGTACTGAGTTTGCAATGTGGCTGATGGCTTGCTGTGTTGGACATTATAGGTACAGAACATTTACTTATAGAGAGTTGTATTTGGTGTTGCTGCTCTGGATGTCTGAGCCTAAGTATAGACTCGGGAAAGAAAGTGACATTGGTTTTCAAAACAGAAGAAGAGTGGGCTCCACCTAGTAAGTGCTTAGGTTTCATTCTGTCTAAAATCTCACTGTGAACTAAAGTCTGTAATCATTTTCCCCCTCACACACTAAAGGCAAGTAGCGGGTCTGAGAGCGGGAGTCCAAAAAGAAGAGGCCAGAGGCAGCTGAAAAAACAGTAAGTCTTTGATGGGGGAGATGACATCATCGGATAGTTGTGAACATGTCTACAATTCTAGGACAATCTTTTTGTTCAGTCTGTTCCAGGTCTCTTGGTTTGGGTTTCAGTTTAATTCGTTCCATACAAGCTTCAGCTTCTTATTTGGGGTAGCCCAGTTAGCTCAGTTAATTTTTTCTTGAAAGTAAATAGCAAAGTAGACCTTGGCATTCTTGTTAAGTAAGAACCAGATTTCAATTGGCCACTTCTTGTGTTGACATGATAAGGTTATATTGTTTGGGCACTTATTGTGTTATGAAATATGTACTGTTTCAATGTATTTCTAAGATTATAGTTTATAGACCAGAAGATTTTAATTCTTGACTTTAGAGTTGAAATATTTTATAACATTATAATCATTATGTTCATTATTGTTATTTTTGGTTTTGGCAGCATTAGAGAGTGAATGTAGAGCTTCATACATGCTATAGGCAAGCACTCTACTACTTTTTTTTCTTACAATTAAATATAAAAACTTACTTTTTTTTGTATGTGCGTGTATATATGTGAGTGTGCATGTGGAGGTCCGAGAAGAGCTTGTGGTGATCTCTGTGGGTTGGGGGATGGAAGGCAGGTCATCACCCTTGGAGCTTTGCGACTTTATCTGCTGAACCATCTCACTGGCCTTGTTTATTTTCACCTAGGGTCTCAAGTTCCTGAGTTTGGCCTTGGTTTTATTATGTAGCTGAGGATGACCTTGAATGTTTGATTTCCAAACCCTGGGATTGCAGGTGTATACCACCATACATAGCCTTTTGTTTTATATGTAATATTTCATGTGTTTTTTTATTAAATTTTTTTAAGACAGAATCTTCCTTTTGCCTGGAGCATATGGCTTTCCTAGAGTTCACTGTGTAGACCAGGCTGTCCTTGAACTGTTTGTTGCATGTTTTCCTGACTCAGTGTTGGGATTACCTGTGTTCACCCCCCAACCCTAGCTTCAGGATAGTTACTTTTATTTTTAATTTTATTATTTTTGAAACAAGGTCTAATTTTATTCCCTGGACTAGCCTCAAATTTACAGTGATCCATTTACCTCAGCCTCCTGGTAATGAGATTAAAGAAATGTGATTCTATTCCTGGCTGCTCATATTGTCTTTATTTTATTTATTTATTTATTTATTTATTTATTTATTTATTTAGAGTCAGGGTTTCTCTTTGTAGCTTTGGAGCCTATCCTGGCACTCGCTCTGTAGACCAGACTGGCCTTGAACTCATAGAGATCCGCCTGCCTCTGCCTCCTGAATGCTGGGATTAAAGGCGACGCCTGGCTGTCTTTTTTTTTTTTTGAGACAAAGGTTTCACTATGTAGTCAAGGCTGTCCTCCTGCCTTGACTTTCCCCATGACAGATTTACAAGAAAGTCCCCATTTACCTAGCTGTTTGTTATTTCTAGTTAAAAAATTATGTGTAACGGGGGTGGGCCTAGGTCCTATCCCAAAGTATATGATAGACTCTGATGACAACCCCCCCCCCCCCATGGAAGGCTTCACCCTCCCTGGGGAGCAGAAAGGATATGTGATAGGTAGGGTGTTAGTTGGGGGGGGGGTGTAGGAGGAGTGGAGGGAGTGGAAACTGGGATTGACATGTAAAACAATTTTGTTTCTAATTCAAATAAAAAAAAATGAAAAAAAGTTATGTGTAGTCAAAAAATTGTAAGATTTTTTAAATAACAGCCCCTTCCATTCCCATGATGTACCATCCCTTTAACTGTGAATTCTGTAGATCCTTTTTGAAAAATGTAGATATCCAAAATGTGGCACACAAATTCAGGAATATTTTCCACTGAGGTCTCCAGTTACATGTTCTCTAATTACTAGACAATTTTGAATTTCTTAAACCTATTTCCTCATCTCCAAAATAGTAATACAAATTCTGCCTGCCTAGCAATTAATGTAAATGGTTACATTTTAAAGAACTTGGTAGAGCAGAATTTTGTATTGTCTTGCCTGAATACACCCAGTTTCCATTGTGTCTTACATACTGATGTGAATTTGGAGACAGCAAGGTCTAAGCAGGGACTACGTCTCAGGAGGGTTCCCTTGCACTTTAGTCTCATGAGCTGCTGGGATACTCTTCTGTTTTTGTTTTTTCCTTCTGGTCTAGTGGTCTTGTGGGGATGTTTTCTGAAATGTCCCTTTGGCCACGTTATTGAGAAGGCATCACACTTTGCATATGACTGGCAGTTCTGATCTAATAACAAGTGTAATGGAATCTGCTGTGTGTGGATGAATTGAATTTCAGAATTGAGACTCACCCAAAGGGAATGACAGTTTGGAATATTAGTGTAATGACATACTCTTCAGAAATTGTGAAGATTGGTATCCCTGTATTCTCTTTTTCTTTTTCTTTCCTGAGATGGGTGCCCCAGATTTCTAAAGAAGCTGAAGGAATAAAATGTAGTACAAATGTCCAAATCTGGACAGTGTTGAATAGGATTTCTGCAGAATCTTTGTCCCAGTAGTGTTTATGAAGATACTGTGTTCAACTCTTCCTTCCAACCAAATGTTAAGTTTTTTTATAAATTATTATTATAAAATTATAAATCATGCAGGTGTGTGTGTGTGTGAGAGAGAGAGAGAGAGAGAGAGAGAGAGAGAGAAAGTGAGAGAGAGAAAGTGAGAGAGAGAAAGTGAGAGAGAGAAAGATATACTTATTCATTTTCAGTATTTTGAATTGGGGATCTGTCACAGACTCATGTCAAAATAGAACTGAATCATTTTTAGTCTTAGATTGGAATTGTTAGTGAAAGCATTCTATCTTGGGGATATATGCTGTCTGGAAGCCATTTTCTTCTATTCCTGGTGTGTCTTTTAAGAACAAAAAAGAATTTTTGGCACTTAGCCATGCTCAGTATAGCTGTTGCACCAGTACCCAGATTCATCATGTGTAAAAGTGACTTTTGCTCCCTTCCTGCTTAGGTTGGATTCACCTGTCTATGTTCTGCAGCTTTTCTTTTCTAATAATGAAAGTTAATGTTCCCAGCTGATTAATATTCAGACTGCTTGTTTGTTTATTTTGGAGTCACCTTAGCTAAATTTTGGTAGTTTTTCCACAGTCCCCCAAAATTGGGATAAATTCTGTTGGTGCCTTATGATAGATTAAAATGCAAGTTTCTTTTGAGGTGAAGTAGTTTTTAATCAAGTTCTTGCCTCTATCTCTTAAATTTATTTATCTTATGTGTACTGGTGTTTGCCTGCGTGTAAATATATGCATCTGAGTATACCTCCTGTCCTCAGAGTTCAGAAAAGAGTCTCTCTGCCTCCCCTGCAACTATAGTTAGGGATGATTGTGAACCACCATGTGGGTTCTGGGAACCAAACTTAGGTCCTCTGGAAGAGCAGCAGGTGCTCTTAACTGGTGAGCCAGGTCCAAATTTTTGCATCTTAAGACTCCTCTATTCTTCAGTGGGACATGCAGTGTATGGGTGACTGGAGAGTCTCCTTTGAAAAGTCCCTTTTAAGTCCCATTTCCACAAGAAATGAGCAGTTTTAGTTGTTCAAGAACTGTATGTATGTGGGGTTGGGAAGTTGATGTTCATTTTTACTTAGTCTCCATTGATTCTTTCTCCTAGTGGGGCATCCAGCAAATGCCTGTAATTCCAGTTCTTGGGAGGCAGAGACAGAAAAAAGTAGGTGTGTTTTGTGAAGCTCAAGGCCAGCGTTGTTTACATAGTAAGTTCCAGGCCAAGCAGAGCTGTATAGTGAGTCCCTGTTTCAGAAAAATAAAACCAAAACCAATAAATAATTTTCTTTCTTCTTGTTCTTGAAAATTAAAACATAATGTGGCCAATTTCAAACACCTGCCCCTCTGGTTGTTTATATATCTGGAATGTGTAAACTTGGCTATAATGTTTCCTAGGTCTTTAAAGGTCTTCTGTGGATTATAACTGCAAATAGTAGGTGTGAAGTTTGTCGTGTATGCAAGCAACTTTCTTAGTGGACTTAGTCTTCTTCAAAGAAGAACATCTCACTGGGCTTTAGACCAGTTGATTTGATATATTTTTTCTTTCAACATTTTTATGTTGGAAGAGCCCAAGTTCTCCTGGTTGTGTATAACTTTTTAATTTGACTGGGATACTCTGACCTCAGCACATGCTTTGTCTTTTTAGTTTGCTGTATCCTTTATGCGGTGCCTCAGTGACAGCCTTAGCTCTAGAGGGCCTCAGTGACAGCCCTAGCTCTAGTAGAACTCATTGGCAGACCTAGCTCTATAGGACTCATTGACATCCTAGCTCTAGTAGAACTCATTGGCAGCCCTAGCTCTAGTAGGATTCATTGACATCCTAGCTCTAGTGGGCCTCATTGACAGCCCTAGCTCTAGTAGAACTCATTGACAGTCCTAGCTCTAGTAGAACTCATTGACAGCCCTAGCTCTAGTAGAACTCATTGGCAGCCCTAGCTCTAGTAGGATTCATTGACAGCCCTAACTCTAGTGGGCCTCAGTGACAGCCCTAGCTCTAGTAGGACTCATTGACATTCTAGCTCTAGTAGAACTCATTGGCAGCCCTAGCTCTAGTAGAACTCATTGACAGCCCTAGCTCTAGTGGGCCTCATTGACATCCCTAGCTCTAGTGGGCCTCACCTTCTATTACTTAGATTCCTTTTGTTGTTTGTTTTTTGTGACAGGGTTTCACTTGTAGCCAAGGTTGTTTTTCAACTCATCATTGTCTTGTCTTGTTCTGAGTACACCATCATGTCTGGCTTCTTTGTATTCTTTAACAAAATTTTATTATAGTAGACCTTGAGTAAGAAGAGCAAGCTAGATACCAGAGTGTACATAGATACAAGAAAGTTTTTTTGGGGGGTGGTGGTGCAGGGAGGTTTGAGATAGGATTCTCTGTACAGACCTAGCTGTCCTTCTTTTTTTTTTTTTAAATTTATTTATCTTTATTTTATGTGCATTGTTGTTTTTTGCCTGCATGTATGTCTGTGTGAGAGTATCAGATCTTAGAGATACAGTTGTTAGCTGCCATGTGGGTGCTGAGGGTTGAACCCAGGTCCTCTCTGTTAGAGCAGTCAGTCGGTGCTCTTAACCACTAAGCCATTACTCTAGCCCCACCCTAGCTGTTCTTTAACTCATTCTGTACACCAAGCTGTGCTCAAACTCATAGAGATCCACCTGCCTCTGCCTCCTGAGCTCTAGGATTAAAGGTTTCCATCACCACTGCACAGCGAAATTCTTTGTTTTAAAGATAGGCTGAAAGATAGAAACCAGTAACAGGGCTTACTATCTAATCTCCTTTCAAAAGTACTCAACATGGCTGACTGAAAAATTGAGAGGGCTCATTTATTAGTTAATTTCATTATTTAACCAAGGCCATTTCTGTTCACCAGCTTTTGTATACGTTTCTGTGCAAGGAGTCAATACATATGGTGCTGATAGAATCTGAATAATGTACAAGAAAGTGTTATGTTGTCATTTCATGAAAGCGTTGATTCTGCTCCCCCAAGCTCCAGCTAGTTCAGGTGGAGCTGAACTGGCTGCAGTAACTAAAATTAGTAACTCTTGCAGCTATTAGGAAGGGCCTCAGGAATCTGCAGATAATCCCTTTTGGAGAAAGCCAGCACTGTTTTCTTGACTTGTCCAATGAAGACTATTAATTTGACTTGCCAGTTCTTCAGCAGGCATCTTTGTTATGACCTCTGTTAGGGGAACCCATGGGTACAGTGGTAATTGTTTTGTTTACAGAGAAACATTTGTCTGTTGTTTTTACCTAGGTCTTTCGTACCCTGTAGCTATTACATATTTTGTTCACTACAGGTGAGAAATGAACTAGGTCCCTGGGGTGTCGTGGTCAGCCTTGAAAAGATTAAAGCTCTCAGAGGTAGAAGGACACCTGTAGGTTATGGCTCTTTCAAGCCTTGTAAGATCTCGAGAAACAAAAGAATATTTCCCTTATCTAATAATAACTAAAAACTATGTCGTTAATAGAACAGATTGTTTAGTTGGGTGGTAGGTTCAGCCCTGAAAAATAAATTTGGGGACTGTTTCCTTAATTATGTTCTAAAGATTAAAACATTTCATATAGTATGGGGGTGGAGCTTGGTGAGAGAGTACTTGAGTAGCCCAGCAAAATTCTCTCTTTCTCCATATGTTTTGAAATACATTTCTGCCCAATATCAACATCATATGTAAATCTGTTAGAATTCCGAGCTTTCTTGATTGACAGCTTTTGAGTAAGAAAGAAGCTCTTTGGCTAGTTCTGATGCATGTTAAAGCTTGTGAACCTTTGGCCTAGTAAGTACTATGGATTCAGTCTTGTCAGTAATACAAGGTGAACAAAATAGAATGGGTAACAGCATTTTTCTACCTTAGAAAAGGTGGGTTGAAAATTACACTTTCTCCATTAAATAATTGTTACCAGAGTTAAAATAGGAATAGAAGGTAACTCAGAAAGAGTAACAAAAACCAAAATTTAAATTGAGCTTAAATAGATCTCTTTTAGCATACTATCTAAAATACATATATTCTGGGTTTCAGAAAATGAGTTTGGAATTTGTTTTTTGAGATTGTTTAGCTTATGAATTCTTAAAGAAAGGAAATTTTGTTTTGCTTTTGATCACAGAGAAAAATGGAAACAGGACCCCTCAGAAGATGAACATGAACAAGGCACCAGTGCAGAGAGTGAACCAGAGCAAAAGAAAGTAAAAGCTAGGAGACCTGTTCCCAGAAGGTATGCTGCTAGCCTGCCCAGTCTCTGCTTCTAGCTGAGCTCACTGTGGGTTACACAGGAAGGAGGAAATCCAAGGGAGCCAGAGCCCCAATCAACACAAATTGTTCTGTTGCAGGGTTTGGATGTCTGGTTCTCTTTGTGCCAGCCTGTATCTTTACCAAGTGTCCAAGTGTCTGGGCTTCTGAGATCAGTTTTGAGTGTTTGCATGGATACAGTTATGACTGGAGATACTTCCTTCATGTACCATGGGGTTTAAAAAATAAATAATTTTATTGTCAGCATATATTAATTATACATAGCAATGGATTTCCTCATTGCATTTTCATGTATGCATATCATAGACTCTGATCATGTTCTCTGACAGTGGAATTTTGTTTTTTTGTTTTTCATTGCAGTCTATTTAGGGTGTGTGGTATATGCAACCATAGCTTCTGCTTTAAAACAGTTACAAAAAAACAAAAAAAACCCTCCCTTTTTTGTGTGGTCAGGTTACAAATTCTTTTTGGGAGAAGTAATTCCTTGCTTGTTTTACTTATTTTTTGGCTTTTTGAGATAGAGTCCCTTTATTTAGTTCTGTCTGTCCTGAAACTTACTTATGTAGACTAGGCTGGCACCGAATTCATAGAGATCCTCCTGCCTTTGCCTCTTAAGTGCTGGGATTCAAGGTGTGTGCCACCATGCCTGGTGAGAACTAATTCTTAAGATGAAAATACTCTTTTGGCTGATCCAGAGCATATTTATTGCTTATTACTCTTCTTATATAATGTCCATAACATTAAGCAGAGAGCCTAATTGTATAGAGATAGGCGTAGGTTGAGAAGGCAACAAGTTATTTTTGACAAAGCATGGCAACTAATGATAGACATAAAGAAGAAGAAATTTGCTATGATACTCAAAAGTAATTCAGAAGTGAATACCATCCAGACATTGTTCTGAAACACCAGGAAAATAGCCACTAGGTCAGGGAATGACCTTGATTGAGGCAGTTTCAAATAAGCTGTGATTTCTCTCCTCCTCCGCTGGGCTCAACACCATTTTTTTCTCAAGGCTGGTTAGATTCTGAAAGCAACTTTAGCACACAGGCTTGTATTCTTTATTGTTTTTTTGAGACAAGGTCTTACTGTCTATGTAGTTCTGGCCTTCCAGGCTGACCTTTGTGTGTGTATGCGTATGTATGTATTTGTGTGCATGCGTGTGTGTGATGCATGCATGTGTGTAGGTAGAGGTCAGCTTTGGGTGTTGTTACTCAGCTAGCTGTGTGCCTTGCTTTTTGAGACACGATCTCTTACTGGGACCTGGGCTCAGTGATTAGTTCAGACTGGCCCAAGAGTCCTACTGTCACTACTTGTCAGATGCTGGGATTACAAGTACATGCCACTGTGTGTGGCTTTTTATGTAGATTGTGGGGATTGAACAGGCCATCATGCTTTCGTGGCAAGCACTTTACAGACTGAGCCACCTCCCTAGTCTACAAAATATACCTTCTTTCAGTATTGTGTAGGATGGGGTCAAATCACAGCCAATACTTATTTTTTAATGGCCCGAAGGCTAATAATAGTGTTTATTTGTAAGTATTTATCATTTATAGTTTAATAATAGTACTAAATTTGAATCCTATTATGTGAAGCATTATTCTCATTAGAATAATTCTATTCTTATTAATCATATCACCAAAACATACTATATCTTTGTTTTGAATTTTGTCAATAAAAATGTGAAGAATATATGCCATCTATTTGCATAAATACTTATACAATGGTCCAGTTTTGTGCCTTGACCAACAAAATCTAAACTATTTCCTCTCTAGCCATTTACAGAAAAATTTGCCAACTCTGGTCTAGGACTGGTGCCTGTCCTTTCCCCATCACAGAAAGCTTGAGTTTTGTCTCCCCTCTGAGCTTAAACTCTCAAGATTGAAGTATCAGGCTGGATTTTTTGTTTATTATTTACTGAGTCCTTGATTATTTCTTAGGGTTCATTGATGGGTAGGAGAAACATTAACGTGACTTTATGTTATCCTTTCTCTCCTTGTTTTTCTGAGAGTATCATGTAGTGGAGGTCTACTTTGAACTCCCTATTCTCCTGATACCAACTCATGAGTCCTGAGATTCCAGGTCTGATCCCATGACTGGCCCCCTTTAGTGAATTCTTTGTATGTTCCACTGCTCTGGGAAATGCTAGTATGTAGATTTGAAATAGCTACAAAGTGACAGAGGAGCAGCTTTGCTATTTCTTTCTCTATTTATTTTAGAACAGTGCCCAAACCTCAAGTTAAAAAGCAACCTAAGACTCAGCGGGGAAAGCGGAAAAAGCAGGAGTCTTCTGATGACGATGACGACGATGATGAAGCTCCCAAAAGGCAGACTCGACGAAGAGCTGCTAAAAATGTGAGGTCAGTTTGGCCTGGACAGTCTCTTGATGTGATGTGTAAATGTAAAAGTTGATGTGATGGTAATGATATAGTTGTTTAGAACTTGGTTCTTTCAAGTTTTATATAATATGGTTGACAGGTAAGAAAATCAGCTTGAACAGGATGCAGTGGTGCAGGCCTTTCATCCCAGCATTTGGGAGGCAGAGGCAGTTGTTCTTTGTGAGTTTGAGGCTAGCCTGGTCTACATAGCTTGTTCTAGAAAGGCCAGAGCTACACACTGAAACCTTGTCTCAAAAACCAAAAAAAGAATATAAGCCTGTGTGTGAAAGCTGCTTTCAGAATCTAGCCAGCCTTAAGAAAAAAAATGGCATTGACCCTAGGGGAGAAGGAGAGAAACCACAGCTCATTTGAAACTGCCTCATTTAAGGTCATGTCCCGTCCTAGTGGCTATTTTTCTGATGTTTCAGAACAACGTCTGGATGGTAATTTCATTTCTGAATTACTTTTGAGTCTCCTTGTATCTATTGATGTTTGGGAACAATCGTATTATTATACTTTGGTAATAGGATATGAGGCATTAATTGATGGTGAAATAAAGATATAATATATTCAGATGCTTTATTTGTTTAATCTAGAGAATGTGCAATACATTTACTTTCAGAGCATATGCATGTTTCTTTTGGTCTACTTAGAAATGTGTAGCTGAGCACTAGAGATACTAATTACTCATCCAGTTCCAATTGATAGGTAATGTAGGACTAGACTTTTAATGTGCTGGTGTTTAGCGTAGCTCATTTTCTTACTGTGTTATATCTCATCTTATGTTCTTCTGTTATTATTTTGCTGTGTTGGATATTAAACCCAGGGCCTTGCTTATACTAGGCAAATGATACTGAGTTATGCCGCCTTGTATTTATTGTTCATGTGTGTTGTAAAGGCTTTTTTTGTTTTTAATTTCTTTTTATGTTTTTGATATAACTCAGGCTATCCTAGCTCAAACCAGTCTCAGGCTGTTTCTCTGCCCTCAGTCTCTCCCCAGTTCTGGGATCATCATGGCTAAATATATTTTATGTTTTATAATTCAGAAATATGAGTGAAAATTCTCAACTGTTAGATTAATTTAAATTAAATTTCATTTTCTTGTTATTGGGAGATAAAATTGCATGATTGAAACATTTAATCTTAGGAATACTATTTTCCTTTTGTCTGAAATAATAGCAAGTTTTCTTTCCTTATGACTTTTTCTTTCTTTGTTAAAATTTAGATATTAATTGACTGGGACTAAATAAAGGGTATCCTTGTAGATTACTATATCTTGCTGATACATAACAGTGTGAGCTACTTTTTAGTTTGTTTGTGGGCACACGCCAGTGACTGGAATGGGGTGAGGGAGGCATTGAGCCACTGAGTGGAAAATCTGTGAATTACTCGGATGGTTGTTATTCCAGTGATACTGTAGATGTTTAATTCTGAAGGTACAGTCTCCTACTCATGCAGCATTATTTCTCACACAGTTATAAAGAAGATGAAGACTTTGAGACTGATTCAGATGATCTCATTGAAATGACTGGAGAAGGAATTGATGAACAGCAAGATAATAGTGAAACAATTGAAAAGGTCTTAGATTCAAGACTGGGAAAGAAAGGAGGTTTGTGTCTTTGGGGAGCAAATTATTCACTGGATTTTGAGACAGGGTCTCTGGTAGTCTTGACTGGCTTCCAGCTTGATATATAGTCAAGGATGGTCTCTACCTCCCAAGTTCTGGGATTACAAGTGTGTACTACCTGGCCAGTATATGTAGTAGTGCTGGCAGTTGAATCCGGTCTTGGTGATGTTAACCTAACCACACCCCTATTCATAGAGAAAGAAATCTGCTTTTTGAGGTAGTCAGGATTAAAAAGAAAAGGGTGCTACTGTTTGATTCTTATGGTGTTTGACTTCACCTGTAAGTTTGCATATGCTTTAAGGTAAACTAGAATTTTCAGGATATTTGAGATTACAGGATCCATCCTTTGTTGTAAGTTGACTTCCTAAGTGTAATGATTGTAACTGAACCATAAGTTGACTGCTTATTGTAAGTCAAAGATATTTAGTTTGAACAAAAGATTCTTCTTGCCAGTTGATTAATTGGGAATCTTTTAGTTGCTTAGTTTCTTACATTTTCTTTAAAGCTGACCCAAATCTCTTTGCAGCCACTGGAGCATCCACCACTGTATATGCTGTTGAAGCTAATGGAGATCCTAGTGGCGACTTTGACACTGAGAGGGAGGAAGGTGAAACCCAGTACCTCATCAAGTGGAAGAGCTGGTCTTACATCCATAGTACATGGGAGAGTGAAGAATCCTTACAGCAACAGAAAGTGAAGGGCCTAAAAAAGCTGGAGAACTTCAAGAAGAAAGAGGATGAAATCAAACAATGGTATGTTGCCTGCAGCAGATCAGAGTGGTGTTTTCAGTCTAAGGAAAGGGAGTTTCTAAAACATGTGGAGAATAATGCTATCTAGGATTTCAGATTTTGCTTTGATCATGTGATCAAGAAACTCTGAGCAATCTATACTTCTGTTTTCTAAAATTGTGACCTGTTGACAGTAGATGCTTTTATATTTGGCTACTAAATTCTCAGACTTTACAAGAACAGCTAGCTCACTGAACATTTGCCACATTTTCTTTCTTAAGTATCTTGTTTGATCTTGACAATAAAATTGTGAGATTTGTTTGTTTTGTTAATTGTTTGTAGATGGGATTAGTGAGGCACAGTCACTGCAAGTGAATCAATGACGAATTTAGATAGATGTATGTAGAGCCAATCTCAAGAGCATGTTGTTACTTTCTTTGGATTAGACTGGGGTGGCTTATATGTGAAAAGTTAATATTCTAGATGTCTCTGAGTTATGATACTCTTAAAATTATTCTTGGTTTTAATACAGTTTGCAAAAATGATGTGGAGGTTTTTTGTCTTGTTTAAACATGACTGACCTGTTAATAGTGAAGATTACTAAAGGGACACATGGAAGCAATCAAGTTTACATTTGTACTTAGAATGTTTGCTCTGGTTCATATGTATAGATCTCCAAGCTCTAACTGGTATATGTTTATTTTTTGTCTTCTGCCTAGGTTAGGAAAAGTTTCTCCAGAAGATGTTGAATATTTCAATTGCCAACAGGAACTGGCATCAGAGTTGAATAAACAGTATCAGATAGTAGAAAGAGTAATAGGTAAGTTCATCAAAACTCATTTTGGTCATGTGAAAACTTGGAGGAGTTGACCTTTGGCTTTAAGATAATATAAAATTATAAAATGCATTTTCTAGGTTTCTTTTTTGAGACTAAACAAAGGCCTATATTTATTTTGAAGGGAGAGTTAATTTTGCTGTAGATATGGGTGTGGGGAATGAGAGACAGAAGTGTCCAGGATGTTTGGCTTGCAAGATTCCTAAGAGAATATAGGTACCATTCACTGAAATGGAAAGATCAGGGGAAGAACTGGTTTTTGGATTTGAAATCAAATGCTTTGGTTTGGCAATTTTGTTATTATCTAAGAGACAAGTATTGTTTGAGGGCTCCAACATGTATTCACTTGGTGACTTGGAGATACATTTAGGTATTGTCAATTATAGGTAGTACTTAAATTTTGAAATTTTCTGAGATCATAAGAGAGAATACATGTTGTGAGAAGAGAAAGTCTGAGAACAGAGAAGGAGTAGGCAGTGATCCAAGAGGTGAGTTAAGAGATATTGCTGCAGTAGAAGTAGGTGATTGACATGGAATACTAGTCTCAGAGTTGATCCTTGAATTTGGGAGTAATGCTGGCTGGCATCAGTAAAATGGCAACAGGAAATAACTGTTTGTAGAGCAGGTCTGATTGAGGGGAGCCTCTGGACAGAATGAGAAATGGTTTTAAGTATAGACTTAGTGACAGTTTATTTTAAAAAGTAGCAGAACCATTTTTACTCTTTCAGCTAAAAGTTCTTTGTTTGGGGAATTACTTAGTCTTTAAAACTTGTGGAGAATGAAGCTATAAGAATGCAAGCTTCTAGTTAAGGCTTTTCCTAATTACTTCATTGCACCTCCAAATGAAGAGATCGCTCTGTGAAATAGTATGTCATTTTAGTGACTGTACAGTCTGTGCCTCAAATTCTTTTTTTTAATCACTGATATACACACTGAAAACATATGACCTTTGCGGACTTTCCACAGCCCTAGCACCCTTGCATTAGGAAAAGGATGCATAGGAAGTCTTTCAAACATTCATTGATGTTTGACCAGGGATTTTGTTTTCCATCTCACATTGCTATGGTTTGTTCCGTGGTCTTACTAGCTCAGAAAAGCTCTTCTGTTTATTTGGTCCTATACTTAAAAATATTTTTAATGTATTGGAAAAGAAAACTAATAGACTAATAGAGTGAGAGTGATAGGATGATAGTGTGGTAGCCAGGTTAGAACAGGCTTCTTTTAAAATCTAAGATAAATGAGCACATAAGATTTTTTTTTTTTTTTTTGGTATTGAGACAGGGTTTCTCTGTGTAGTCTCTTTGGAGACTGTCATAGAACAGGCTGGTCTTGAACTCACAGAGATCAGCCTACCTCTGCCTCCCAAGTTTTGGGATTAAAGGTGTACACCACCAACCCCTGGCATCTTTGATGTTGTTGTTGTTGTTAATTAAGTTATTTTTTATGTGTATAAGTGTTTTGTCTGCATGTGTACCTGTGCACAGTATGCATGCTTGTGTAGTTGTGTGTGTTAGTTGTGCAGTTCTGAGGAGGCCAGAAGAGGGTTTCAAATCCCCTGGGAATGGAGTTACAGACAGTTGTGAGCTGTCGTGTGTGTGCTGGGAATTGAATCTGGGTTCTGTTGGAGAGCAACTACTGCTTTTAACCTCTGAGCTATCTCTCTATCCCCTTTACTTGTAAATCTGTTTCTTCTCTGTTTGTTCTTGGTATATTTATAGCTTTTCTGTCTTATGTTTGTTTAGCTGTGAAGACAAGTAAATCTACATTGGGCCAAACAGATTTTCCAGGTGAGTAACACATCTTACATTCAGTAAATATTCGGTATTTATTAGCACATTGTGATTTGCAGATTATTCACAGTTTTGCCAGGTGGTATTCATTAGGTACATATTAAAAAAGAATATCACGCTGGGCATTGGTGGTGCACGCCTTTAATCCTAGCACTCGGGAGGCAGAGGCAGGCGGATCTCTGAGTTCGAGGCCAGCCTGGTCTCCAGAGTGAGTGCCAGGATAGGCTCCAGAGCTACACAGAGAAACCGTGTCTTGAGAAACCAAAAAAAAAGAATATCACTTCCTACTTCTTTTTTTTTTGTCTTTTTGAGACAGGGTTTCTCTGTGGGTTTGGAGACTGTCCAGGTTGGCCTCAAACTCACAGAGATCTGCCTGCCTCTGCCTCCCGAGTGCTGGGATTAAAGGTGTGCACTACCACTGCCCGGCCACTTCCTACTTTTAATTTGTCATTGTTTGATAAACTTTATATTCATGATATAGCTCACAGTCGGAAGCCGGCACCTTCAAATGAGCCTGAGTATCTATGCAAATGGATGGGATTGCCTTATTCAGAGTGTAGCTGGGAAGATGAAGCCTTGATTGGAAAGAAATTCCAGAACTGTATCGACAGCTTCCACAGTCGGAACAACTCCAAAACCATTCCAACAAGAGAATGCAAGGTTTGGTGATTGTTGGGTTTTGTGTTTTTATATTTTTCTATTTTATTTTATTTTTTTGAGATAGGGGCTCTTATGTTGCCCTGGCTGTCCTGGAACTCACTGTTTAAATCAGGTTGGCCTGGAGCTCACAGAGATCCATCTGATTCTGCATCCCGAGTGCCAGAATTAAAGGCATGCACCACCACACCCAGCTTATTTTATTTTGTGGAAAGGTGTTGTAGCCAAAGGGTTAGTTGTGTAGATATTTAGGAGCAAAAATAGAACAAGAATGAATGATGATTTAAAAGTAACATTGAATATAAACGATTACTGCATGGGCTGGGTATATAGCTCAGTTAATCCAGTGTACTTGTGTACAGCCTCGGGTTTGATTGCCAGACATCACATAAGAGTGGGTATCATTGTGCATGCGTATAATCCCAGGGTTCTGGAGATGGAGGCAGAGAGATCAGAAATTCAATGTCATCCTTGGCCATATAGTGAGTTAAAGGCCATCCTGGTTTATACATGACTTGGCTCAAAGGAAAAATAAAGCTAAAGTAGAGGATGAGGGGCTAGAGAGATGGCTCAGATGTTAAGAATGCTTATTGCTTTCAGAGAAGACCTGAGTATGGCTCATAGCTGCCTGTGACTCCTGTTCCAGGAGATCCAGTGCCGTCTTCTGACCCCTGAAAGATCCTGCATGCCTGTAGTGCATATCAGTATACTTAGGCATGTGCGAGCATGCTATGTGCATGTGCAGGCACAACTTGAGAAACTGAATATATAGGCTTTTAATTGCTAGATTGATTATACAAGTCTTTCTCCTTAACTAGAATTTGTTGAAATCTAGAAATATGCTGGTTCCTTGAACTGTGTCTTAGAGAAGTTGAAGTTCATGTTAATAATCAAACTCGTGTCTGTGAAGGCCAGCATGTAATCATTGCTCACATGAGTATGATGGAGAAGCCATCATACTGTTCTGGTCAGAACAGAACAGAGGTGGGGCTCACATCTCTGGTGGGCATTAAAGGGGTTTTTAGAGGAAAGCAGCCAGTGCTTACCTTGCCTCTGCCCTTAAGAGTGGATTGGTGCTTAATAGCATACAAGAAAGGCCCTGGGACCTGGGGAGTCGGCTTAGTGGTTACTAGCAGTTGTTGCTCTTGTGGTAGACTGGGCTTCAGTTGCCAGTCCCCACATGGTAGCTCACAACATCTGTAACTCCAGTCTCAGGGAATCCAACATCCTCTTCTAACGACCTTTGGTACCAAGCATACATGTGGTATACATACTCACATGCAGGCAAAACACTCATGCACATAATAAAATAATAAAATAAATCTAAGAAAACAAATGTAAAAAATAAAAAAGACACCGAGATTGACTACCCATGAAAGGTATCAAAAGAATTTTGTAGTAGAAAACTCCTGGATCCGAATAAACTGTGTGTCCTGACTGTTGAAGGAGGTGTGTTTTAACTATACTGCAGTTTTGGGGGCCTTGTAACGGAGAGGACCAGGTTGTGGTCAACATTTTATTTAAAGGTATCAACTAATGACAATGATTAGGAAACTGGAGCCAGAAGATCCACCCAGTAATATGTCATAGGAGTCAGTGATTAAAGAATTCGTGGAGGGCCCAGTTAGGTGAGGCATGGACAGATTGTAGACATGAGTCACCATGAGTCCAGTTCATCAGGAGTGGATGAATGGCTAGTGTGTGGAAGGTGAGTGAGAGGAGTCAGGTTGAATTCTCTGTCCCCTCGGATAGAACTGAAAGTACTAGTGACCACTCACTGTTAGGGTGATAGTTTCCATAATAGAGAAAGGCACCTAGCAGAAAGACATGAGTGCTGAGTGGACTCCTACATATTCATACCTTATAGCTACATGTGCTTTGACTTTGAAACGTCCTCAGTAGAGAAACTTACATAATTTTGAACCTGTTGTTCCCCAAACTGATTTGGTCACAGAATCTGTATTTTGTGTAAACAGTAGACTTGGCTTTAGTCGAATGCAAGGTTTTTAGATCCTCCGCAGTAGAAAGAGTGACTTTTCCTTCTGAAAACTATACTCACAAGATTGGGCCTGAACCTCAGAGTTCCCATTTACAATAATTGCAGTATCTCTCTTCAGTATCTCTCAGTGACTTCTAGAGTGTCAGTGTATTGTTTAGAAAAGGTGACATCAAGGTAATGTTGTATACCACGCAGTAAAGGATGAGAAAATAAAAGTTTATTAATGTTCACAGATTTATCTCAGGAAAAACAAGGTTTTAAAAACAGTTCTTGATTTTAGGATGAACTCTGGGAACAGTTATGGGATGAGTTAGGGTGGGGTGACCATTCATACCTGAAATTAAACTTTTTTGGTTTTTTGGCATAGAGTACATAAAATATGGCTAATATTGTAATTTAAGAGTAGGGAAAATGTTCTAAGACATAGATTTTGTTAATTTTTGTTTTTCAGGCACTAAAGCAAAGACCACGATTTGTAGCTTTAAAGAAGCAGCCAGCATACTTAGGAGGGGAGAATCTGGAGCTCCGGGATTATCAGCTAGAGGGTCTCAACTGGCTTGCTCACTCCTGGTGCAAGTAGGTAGAAGATGTGGTTAGATTTTTTTCTACTGTGTTTGGCTGATTTTCATCCTACGTGCTAAGTTTGGGGACCATTTAGGCTTTGAGAATTGAAGTGACTCAAGATAAACGTGATGCTTCATGTGAGTGTTTCCTTTAATGCTAATGACAGATCTCTTTCCTACGCATACCTTTTTTAAAAAGGAGTTTACACACACACACACACACACACACACACACACACACACACACACACACACACACACACACACACACAACACACACACACACACACAGTGTTTTCCTGCATGTATGTCTGTGTACCACTTGTGTGCCTAGTACCCACAGAGGCCAGAAGAGGGCATCAATACCCTGGAACTGGAATTACAGATGGTTATGGGCTGCCATGTGGGTGCTGGGAATTGAATCAGGTCCTTTGGATGAGCAGTGCTTTTAATCACTGAGCCATCTCTCCAGCCCCATCCTTTCTTTGTGTCTTTTTTTTTTTTTCTCCCTGAGACAGTATTTCTCTGTGTAACAGCTCTGGCTGTCCTGGAACTTGTAGATCAGGCTGGCCTTGAACTCACAGAGATCCATCTGTCTCTGCCTCCATCTCTGCCTCCTGAGTGCTTGGATTAAAGACATGTGCCATTATACCTGACTTGTGCCTTCATCTTTTATAGTAAAACAGATATTTTTATTTCAGAATTAAATTATAGTTTGAAAAATGAAAACACTGAGATTTATTTTCAGTGTTAGAGAGATGTTTTCTAGTTATAAACACATTTACAATAACTATTTCCCAAGTGAACTACCTTCAGTAATTGTTGTCTTTTCAATTGAATGTAGTATTTAAGACTGAAGAAAATTCAGTTGTTAGAGCTTTAGTTTGTATGACTGAGAAAGTGGATCACAACCATTTTAACTGCTTAAAAATGGTTTCCCTCACCCATGCTTATGCAGGCAAACCTAATTAAATGCAATGGGAGTCACATAGATACACATAAACACATGAAAGTAGGTGGGAGACTTGAGAAGAAGGGGATTGGTTTAGTGGAGGAGGTATGGCATAAGAGGAAAATGGAGGTATCGATTAAAGAATATTAAGTTCATGAAATTATAAAGCAAATACTATTTATTTATTTATTTATTTATTTATTTATTTTTGTACTTTCAAGACAAGGTTTCTCTGTGGCTTTGGAGGCTGTCCTGGACCTAGCTCTTGTAGACCAGGCTGGTCTCAAACTCACAGAGATCTGCCTGCCTCTGCCTCCTGAGTGCTTGAATCAAAGGCGTGTGCCACCACTGCCTGGCATAAAGCAAATACTATTTAAAAAACCAGTTTTCCTTTCATAAGATAGTAAGTCCTACTCTTTTAAAGGATCAGTAAGACCTTAGGTGTAACTAAAGACTTTGTGTGAGCTAGTCCTTTTATTTTACAATTGGTGGTCCTCGGGAACCAAGGATATTATCAGCTTTCCCCAGAGTTGTGTAATATTTGCTATACAGTGATTAGCATTTTTTTTTTCTTCAGAGTCTCACTATGTAGCTCTGGCTTGCCCTGGGATTCACCATGTAAACCCAGAGATCTGCCTGCAATCTTGGCAAATTAAATACTTCTTGCTAGATATTAATTTTACTTTTGGTACTCTGGTTCACTAGTGAAATATATATATAATCATTTCATTTGGCACAGAAACGCTTTTGGTTGAAATATAGTCACAGTAGCATGAGCATAGCTAAGGAGCAAAGACTGGGCTGCTTGGGGGTAGCAGTGTCTCTTCATGCATAGGAACAAGAATACAAATACCCCAAGGTCTGTGTGCCTGAATCCCCACTTGTCAAGGATTACAAGACTAAACAAAACAAAACCCCTCAGAATCCCTCAATCTTTCTTGGATAGTCTTACTCAGTAGGTCCAGACTGTGGCATATTTAAAACAGTTCCCCTTTGCCTAGACCATACAAGGCTCTGGACTCTATCTCCAGTACTACAAACAAAAACCAAGCCCTTTACACCCTGTATTAAGTAGGTCTATAAAAGAGTAGACATGGTATTGGACAGTCAAGTGGAATGCAGTGGAATGGGGAAGGTACTTTGAGCAAAGGCATATGACTCTTGGGATATATAGTATTTAGCAACACGGGTGATAGTCAGTTTTAGTTTTGTATATTGATGAACCAAAGGCTACATGCTTGTATGCATCTATGATAAAACCTGTTGTCACTGTTAGAAGGAAAAGCCTATGGAAGACAGTATAATCCAGAACCTTATTTGTAAGATAGAAACAATTAGAGGAGCCTTGTGTAATCTAAATCTTGGATATAGTTCCAGATAGATTTGCCTGGTCTGCTGTTTGTTTTCTGCTTTCTTCCTTATTTAGGAGGCTTAAGTCATTGAAGATGAGAAGAAATTGATTGAATGGTCAATGATGCCTTTCTCTACTGATATTGTCAAGTGTGTTATTTGTGCACCTAATGTTTTTCTCATGAACTAATAACTACTTTGTATTTTTTTCTTACTGCAGAAGTAACAGTGTAATCCTTGCTGATGAAATGGGCCTAGGAAAGACCATCCAGACCATATCATTTCTCTCCTACCTGTTCCACCAGCACCAACTCTATGGACCCTTTCTTATAGTTGTCCCATTATCCACCCTCACTTCATGGCAGAGGGAGTTTGAAATCTGGGCACCAGAGATTAACGTAGTGGTTTACATAGGTGACCTGATGAGCAGAAATACGGTGCGTAAACAAAAAGAGTTGAAGTAGCATGTGTGTTAAAATGTATTTTAGAAATTGACTGAAAATGTTTTGTAGGTTTATTAGTATACTCTTGAGTAAAATTATTCACCCACACCGGGTCTGGTGGTGCATGCCTTTAATCCCAGCATACAGGAGGCAGAGGCAAGTGATCTCTTTGAGTTTGAGGCCAGTTTGGTCTACTGAGTGAGTTTCAGGACAGCCAGAGGTGACTGTGTACTATGGCCTCAGTACTTGGAGGTCTGTCAAAATGCAACTCAGATATTCTTTAAAACATTGAACATGGTATATAGTACTTTGTTTTAAAACAGCAATAATTGCATGGGAATCTCTTAATTGGATTGCACTGTTTTCTGTCTGAATTTCTTTTCTCTTTTCTCCCTTCTCTTCTCCCTCTCCAACTCTTGGCAATCCATCTGCCTCAGCCCCCTGAGAGCTATGATTATTGGCATGCATTACCACTGCTCGTTTGATCTTTATATTTAAGATTACCTTTCCTTATGGAAAATTAGTATCTTTGCTATCTTAGCAAAAAATGTTACTGAGAAGACTTGAGTTCTTAGAATTTATTTCTCAATCTCTTAAAACAGTTTGATTTCATAACCTATAAGAAAGAAATAAAAATAAAGGAAAACAGTACATTTCTAGGGCTGTAGAAAAGAGAATTGTTTGGTATCAAACATTGACTTGAGCACCATGAATTTAGCACACTGTGATGTAAGTTCATCTTTGTTTAGAAAAATATTTTTGAGAAATACAATTTTTTTTTAAAGTACATACTGTGTACTAGTTCCTTTGTGATGGTCTTCAAAATTGATGGCAGCAAATATCTGACAGACTGCTAAATATAACTATCCAGGGAGTCTGTCTAACCCTTGTTTTTAGTTGGATAGAATGGCAGAACTGGAGCCTCAGCTCACCAGACACAAACCTGTCTGGTCCTGAGGTTTTGTGCTTGCGCCCTTCTATGTCAATTTGTGTTTTTTGGAGATTGCTTGTAGCCAGAACGGCTCACCAGGAATCTTCCACATTTTAGAGAAGCACTGTCCACACATTTTCATGGATCCAAACTTGTTTTTATTAAATGCTGTCTTTGAAATGATCTCACTTGCTTGGATTGGAGCTATAGCTCAGCAATAGACCCTAGCATGCATGCTAGATGCTGGGCTTGAGTGCCAGCCCCAAAAGTAAAACAAAATTTAAAAAAAAAAAAAAAAAACCCTAATAAACTATATTAGGCTTCATTGCTGTAATTTTGACTTTCTAAGACTATAACAGTTCTTAGTTCCATTAATTTGTTAGTTATTAAAGGAGAAGATAAGCAGGTGTTTTGCTTTATGGTAGGTACCCAGTACACCTTCTCTCTAGTTGTTGGTGGCAATCACCTGCAAGTACTCATCGTCTCCATTTCTGTTTTCTAAGTCAACAAACTGTAAGAACTTTATTAGTAGCCAGTGTGTTTGCTGAGTTTCTGATCACGTTTCAGTATGAATTCATTATTTTTCCAGTTTCTTTGCAATCTTAATATTTTCTCTGTACATTAAGTTATATTTTTACTCTGTAAAATTTATTTTCTTGGGGGATGTATCTATTGACTATGACTAATGAAATTTCTGGCCAGCCTACTGATTATAATTTGTTACTTCTTAGTAAATATCACCATATACAAAGAATAATGAAAATTTCATTTTCTTAACAACATTTCAAGAATGTCAGAAAGCCCTCCTTTATTTAGTTCAAGTCCCCAAAGTTTTTTGTTCATTTGTGTTTTTAGCTAGACAGGGTTTCTGGACAGTTTCTGTAACAGTTCTGGCTGCCCTGGAACTCATTTTGTAGACCAGGTTGGCCACGAATCCACAGAGATCTGCCTGCCTCTTCTTGTTGAGTGCTGGGATTAAAGGTGTATTACACCATACCCAGAAAGTTCTGAGGTTTAATTTGAAATGACAATAAAGATTTTCCTGCTTAGTGTTCCATATTGATTCTGACTCGGTGTTCTATGCTTACATTACTTAAGTCTCTTGAGCGTGCATAGAATGTTCGTTCCATTCTTGTGAGACTCTTGTCATTTTTATTGCATCTATTACAAAACTTGCTTTGTTACAAAAATTTGGAAGTAGAATTGTATATTAATTACTATTTTTTCTTCTCATAGATAAGGGAATATGAGTGGATTCATTCTCAAACCAAAAGGTTGAAGTTCAATGCACTTATAACAACATATGAGATCCTCTTAAAAGATAAGGTGTGTAATTAGTAATAAAAAAGTTAAGTCTTGTCTATGTGTATCTTATTTTGAGAGTGGGACTGTGCTTCCTACTTGTCACATTTTTCTTCTTGCTTTGTTTAAAAAGCCAACCAAACCAACAAATTTAAAATATTTGTCCCTTGCTAAAATTGTAAGTAGAAAATAAACCTCACAGTTGAATGGGAGCTCAGATACCTTAGTCCAGTTGAGTTGAGCAGAAGGGAGGAGGAAAGGGTATTGAGACTGCACTGAGGTATAGTACTGGAGAGCTTTTTTTCTAAAAGTTACTAAATGGTAAATGCTTCTACATTCAGTGTGGTGGTTTTGTGTTTTCTGTGTTTCAAGGTTGGGGTGGCAAATAGGCAAAAAAAAAGTCTTGCAAAGATAGTCACATGACATTTTTGTTTCTGTCTTTTTTTTAGGATAGCAATTTTCATCCTCTTGCAGAGCTTGCAGTAGTGGCTTGTATAATAGATTCACTTGCAGTTTAGATGATGAGGTCCTCTTGGATCTGGCAACTGATAGAACAAGCAGAAGAATCCTAATATATATTAAGTTTGTGAAGAATAAATGTGTCTACCTGTGTGTTTTTGTGATGGTTTTTATACAGAAAAGATTTAAGCACTGTGGGTCCCCTTCTGACCTGGTGGCTCGTTCTGTTCTGTTTTTCACTTTAGACCGTGCTGGGCAGTATTAACTGGGCCTTCCTGGGAGTAGATGAAGCCCATCGGTTGAAGAATGATGACTCTTTATTGTATAAAACTCTGATTGATTTCAAGTCCAGCCATAGGCTACTGATCACGGGCACCCCTCTTCAGAATTCCCTCAAGGAACTTTGGTCCTTGCTGCACTTTATTATGCCGGAGAAGTAAGCTCCTTTTTTTTTTTTTTTTCTTTTGTTTTAAAGGGTGCTAGTGTGTTTGATATGAAAATGCCTCCCTCGCCCCCCCCCATCTTTTTTATTTTTGAGAAAGGGTCTCTGTAGTCTTTGCTAGCCTGGAACTAACTGTGTAGACCAGGCTGGCATTAAAAGGCTGCACCACCATGTCTGGCAACTTTTTGATGTTCTTAATAGACTTATCAAAACTGATGGCATGGGGAGGCAAATATTCATCTGTGGCAGAAGCAACTGTATAAAAATAAAGTGATAGAACCTAAAGAAATTAGCCTGTTAAGGAAGAGTATGTAATTGCCTACTAAAGGTTTGAATTAGTTAAAGCATTTGGGAAATAATTATTATGACATAGTAGAGTCAGGTGGGGTAGTGATGTTCTTATAACTAGTCCCAGCACTTGGGAGGTTGAGGCAGCAGCATTAAGAATTCAGTGCCAGCTACATAGTGAATTTGAGACCACTCTAAGTTTTATGTAACTCTGCCTCAAAAAACATAAAACAAAACAAAAACTCAAAGTCACATGAATAAAGTATTTGATGTACATAGACATACCTTAAATATAGTTGTTGCTAATGGAAATATCAATTTTAGTCCTTATTCAGTTCAACTTGCTTCTTACAGAACTTTGGCTTATCTCTACTAGGTAAGTTATATAGGATAGATACACAGTATATATATTCATTCCACAGTCTTAAATTACCTAGTGATTCTCAACGACAACGTAGATGAGATCTAATTCCTTCCTCTAGCGTGTGCTGAGCTGGGTACAGGCTATACTGATTCTACCACTTGTTCCATTACTCATCATGTATCAGCTGTCCCATTTCTAGTTTGTCTTGTCTGGAATGCTCCTTCTCCTTATTTTTACATGGCAGCCACCTCCTTTGTAACCTCTTCTCCCTCCTTGTTTGGTTGCTGCATAGTGTCTCTTTTTCTCATATCACTAAATTAGGCATGTGAAAATACTAGGGATCCTGGTTGCTGATTCATCACTGGTTCACATTACCTGGAATAGCAACTGACACACAGTAAGCAATTTAACCACTAATTGTATAATCGGCAGGTAAATGTTCCATAATTTATTTTCCTTTATAATGACTAAGGATACTGAGCATCTTTTCATTTTTTTTCTCAGACTATTTGGGCTTCTGGTTTTTTAAAATATATTTTTAAAGTTATTTTTTACATTCCAATCCCAGTTGCCCTCCCTCCTAGTCCCCCCTACTTACTCCCCACCCACCTCCTATCTGCTCCTTGCAGAGGGTACTGCCTCCTCTAGGAAGTCTACTAAGTCTGTCCCATCATTTTGTTAAGGTAGGACCAAAGCACCTCCTCCACTCCCCCGACTCCTCCATCCCGTGTCTAGGCTGAGCAAGGCATCTCTCCATATAGAATGGGCTTCACTAAGTCAGTTTGTGCATTAGAGTTAGACTTTGGACCCACCACTAGTGGCCTTGTATATTGTCTCAGTCACACCATTGTCACAAGCAGGTTTCCCCATTTGTCAGACCTGAGTCAGTGATCTGTCTCTAGATCAGGTCTGCTGATTCTGTGGATTTCTCCATCATGTTCTTGACTCCTTTATTCATATTCTTGATCCTCCCTCACTTAAATTGTGCTCCAGGAGCTCAGCCCAATGGTTAGTTGAAGATTTTTACAGGCACTGCATGTATTTGGTGCATTAACATACATGCTGGCAAACATTATATACATAAAATAAAGATAAATAGAATTTAAAAAGCATTGCTTCAGCTCTTAAAACTTGAGTTGTCAATATATGGGTTGAACAGTTTATTCTTTAAAATCACTTCTGGATACAAGTGCTCTCAATAAAGCACTTTTGCAAAAATAAAAGGGTATGATTGGCTTTTCTTTTTATTATCATAATGTCCTTTGAAGAGCCAAATTTTAACTTTCAAACGTAATTTATCAAGGTATTTTTTTGTGTGACATGTTTAAAATAGATAGACTTAACCACAGGCCATGAAGACATTTTTGTTCTAAAAATTGTAACTGTCACATTAGGTGCGTATTTTATTTTGAGGCATTTAGTATATGGAGTGTGAGGACCTTGATTCATTTTTCTTCACTGAGGAATTTGGAAAGTTGTTCCAGCATCATTGTTGAAGACACATCTTCTGTTGAGCATCTTAGTGAGGCAGAAAGGATCTGTCAGTCTTGCGCCGTGATTACTTATTTCTGTATTTCTGCGCAGCACTCTAGAGTGTCTGCTTCCTACTAGTTTTTGACATGGAGAAGTATAAGAATTGGTTTCATTCTTTCTCAGAACATTTTGTCTACTTGGGAAGGCTTTTTATTTCCTATTTTGGGATTAGCTCATTAAATCCTGGGGGAAGAAAACTTACTGGAATTTTGTGGAGATTGGGTTGAATCCTACATATACGTTAAGGGAGAGTTGTTTCTTAATCAGTAATAAATGAGCCTTCTAATCCATGGCCATGGAAGGTTTTCTCTATTTAGCTGTGTAATTTTTCTCAGTAGTGTTTAGTGTGCTCATTGTTACAGTCCTAAACTTTTGTTGAAGTTCCTTTTTAAATTTTTAGGATGTTCTGTTGTTTCGGTAAGCTGCTGGGGTGAAACCCCTGTGCTGTTGAGTAGGTCAGTGTTCTCTGTTGAGCCCATTGTGTATTCCAAGTCCTCTTCCACTGTTGTCTTCATATCATTTTTATACTGTACTAGAGTCTAGAGCTACAGGTAGAGAGAGCTGCAGTTAGAGCCTAGAACTACAGTTGAGTATGGAGCTACAGAGACTAAAGCAGTGGTTCTTAAACTGGTCAAGACCCCTTTATGGGTTGAATGACCCTTTGACGGGTTGCCTGAGACCACCACATAGATATTTACATTATGATTCATAATAGTAGCAAAATTACAGTTACAAAAGTAGCTATTTACATTAAAAACAAATATTTACTGTAGTAAGATTTTTTTCTCTTTTGGGAGGCCTTCCACCCAGCTCCCAAATGTATCATACATGTATGCTTATTCTTACTTATGAATGCCCGGCTTTAGTTGGCTTGTTTCTTGCCAGCTTTTCTTAACATAAATTATCCCTTCTACCTTTTCCCTCTGGGCTTTTATCTTTCTCTTCTGTAAATCTTTCCTTCTAACTCTGTGGCTGGCTGGCTGGCGGGCTAGGGGCTGGGTGGCTGGCTCCCGTAGTCCTCTTCTACTTGTTCTCTTGTTTCTTCTTCTTTTTCCTAGGTTCTCCTTCTATTTATACTCTCTGCCTGCCAGCCCCACCTATCCTTGCTCCTGCCTTGCTATTGATTGTTCAGTTCTTTATTAGGACCACCAGGTGTTTTAGACAGGCAAAGAATCACAGCTTCACAGAGTTAAACAAATGCAGCATAAACAAAACTCACACATCTTAAAATAATATTCCCCAACAATTTACATTATGATTCATAACAGTAGCAAAATTACAGTTATGAAGTAGCAATGAAAATAATTTTGTGGTTGGGGGTCATCATAACATGAGCAACTGTATTACAGCATTAGGAAGGTTGAGAATTACTTGTAGACAAGTACAAGACTCAGCTACAGTTGAGTATAGAGCTTTGTTTCTTACATATTTATTTGATATTCATAAATTTGTCCTTGTAAGTTTTTTTATTACCAGTTTTTTTTTTTTTTTTTTACATGTTTACTTGGGACCATATTTCTGCAGGTACAGGGCTTTAAATGTCTTTCTGTGTGAATGCTTTTTATATCTTGTCTTACTTAATATTCTGTAGAAACTTGGTGTTGAATAGAATTGGTGGAAGCAGAACATTGGATACAAGTTTTTTTTTTTTTAATTTTTGATTAGGTTGAGGCAGTTTCTTAGATATAAATAATGATGTGGTTGAACCCATTCCTGTAACTTGGAATACTTGTTTTCATGTTTATTCCTATTTCTCCTTTACTGCCTTGCTTAGTATTTACATTTTTAGTATACTGTTTTATTCCTCTCTTAGTTACTGTTACTAGTTTGAAGTTATCTATTCGTGGATTCTCTAGGGATTTTGTATTTTAACCTAATCTTCAGCTTAATGCCAACTTAATTCTTAAAAAGTATAACAACTTTGTTCTACAATGGCTCTACTTTAAATTCTCCTCTCCATGGAGGATTTTTCTTTCAGCTCAAAGGGCTAACTTTAGTAAGGTAGACCTATAGGCAGCACATTTATTGCCTTTATTTGCTTCTGGACTTTTTGAAAAAAAAAATCATTTGTGAGAATGTTTTTGATCACCCAATAATGGATTGAGACATGTAACCATCGTGACTGTGCTAGCTTCACTACAGTGGTTGCTTGAGCAGATTGAAATCAGGTGGACTCTTCTGTCCCTTCCCTTTTCCCTTCTTTCCCTCTCTTCTCTTCCCCTTTATTCTCTTCTTTCTTCCCTCCTGCTCCTCTCTCTCCCCCCACCCCTTTCCTCACTACAGTATTGTCCTGGGAGGAGAATTCCTCTGCACCCCTCCATTCGGTACTGTCTCATAGTGCTGGGCTTCTCATCTTTGGGGTGGGCTGGACACCCCAGCTGCTGTGTATCATTTTCCTTGTAGGACATCTAGCAGCATTCTTGGCTTCTACTCACTACAGGCCAGTTGTCACAACTAAAAATGTCTCCAGACATTACAGTGTTTGCCTTAGGGATAGAGGGGTAACCATCGACTACAAAGCACTATTCAGTGTCCCGACTGACATCTTTCCATTATTTGCTGCATGTGTATCCTTTCTCATTGCTGTTCTTTGTCCCAGTCAGCTTACTGGATCCCTCTTTCTCCCCTAGTGATCACAGTCAATTGTGGCCGTATCTGTTTACACAATTTTCCACAAAATACTTGACAAAAGCAACCTGAGGGAGGGTTGATTTTTGGCTTACAATTCTAATACGCTGCCCATCGTGGAGGGAAGACTTGGTGGCTGTGGCATGAAGCAGCTGATTGCACTGCATCAACAGGACACAGACAGTAACGAGTGCTGTGCTCAGCTCCCTTTCTCTTGTCAGGTGGCAAGTGGCACCCGCTGAGCCACCTTGTCCCCTTTTGAAATTTTAGAATTACATTTTATTTATCCCTTTCTCTTTTATTGATGATTCAGGGATGGACAAATTTTGCTTTTCCTTGCAGAATGGATTGAAAGTTTTTTTTTCTTTATCCATTCAAAGCCTCCCACCTCCTCCCCTAGTTTAGTTTTTATTTTGTTGTGAAAATGCCCTTCCCTCTGTGTTACTAATGGTGACACTTTCATCTGTAGGTTTGAGTTCTGGGAAGATTTTGAAGAAGACCATGGAAAGGGGAGAGAGAATGGCTATCAGAGTCTTCATAAGGTACTAGAGCCTTTCCTTCTTCGGAGAGTCAAAAAAGATGTGGAGAAATCCCTTCCTGCCAAAGTGGAGCAGATCCTCAGGGTGGAGATGTCAGCCCTTCAGAAACAGTATTATAAGTAAGTTCCTGCCATGAGGTAGATAACTCATAAGTAATACATGCCTTTTTAAGAGGAAAGACTGAACATAGGTTTTTTATTTTTATTTTTTTATTTTTATTAAGCCTAGATACCTTGCAAATTTTGGCAATGCTCAATAGTAAAGTTTGGGTTTTTTTTTGTTTGTTTGTTTTTGTTTTTTAATTTTGTTTTTTGAGACAGGGTCTCTCTATATAACTAACTGTACCTGGCCTTGAACTCAAGAGTTCTGCCTACTTTCAGAATTCCAAGACCAGGCCTAGCCCTAAGCTTTGCTTTCCTCTAGCAGTAGGAATTGGGCTCCAGCCTTGGGCTTGCTAGATAACCACTGAGCTTTGTAGACTCAACACAGAATTAAGTTGAAATTCAAAATCAATTAGAAAAAAAGAGAAGTTGTTTTTATTTGAGTGAGAATTGATAGTACTTTTTGTTATATAAATGATCTGCAGTTTGTCAGTCCAAACATTTTTGGGGAGGATTTATTTATTTTTGTTGTATGTAGATGAGTGTTTTGCCTGCATGTGTGTACATGTAGCACATACACGCCTGTTGTCTGCACAGATTAGAAGAGGGTGTCAAATCTCCTGGAACTGGAGTTAAGAATGGTTGTGAACCACCAAGTCTGTCCTGGGACCCAAACCTAGGTCCTCTGCAAGTCTAGAAAGAACTCTTTAACTACCAAATCAACTCTCCAACCCCTAATTTTTAGTGCTAATATTCCTATACTAAGCAGGTATTGGTTAAGCTAGACAATTTTTGTTTTCCGTTCAATAAATCACCTATGAAGTTTTTAGTGCTAGGCATTCTTCTAGCTACTGGGAATAATAGAGATGAATCAAACATGTCTCTTCTGGAAGCCTTGCTGTATGGCTAGAAACAAGTTATACAGCACAATCTCCTTTAAGACAGGCATACATGCAAGAGCTTTTGAAAGTCAAAAGGAGAGGTAGCACTCAACTCTAGAACAGACTGAGTACTCCTTCCTTTCTAGCATTCCAACCAGCATGGACAAGCCCATTTTTGGCTTACAGTATTGTATAGAAATTCAAAAATAGTGAGTCCAGCATAGATAGCAGCATAAAATGTGCTTGTTGTGGGGTTTCACATTTAGTTTCCATAAAATACGAGCCTTAATGTATGTGTATACGCATGTTTCTGGAGAATCAAATTCAGGGCCTCACAGGTTTTGAGTAGACACTTAACTACTGAGCTGTAGGTGGCCCCAAGCCCCCATTTGACTTTTAGAGATATTATTATGGAAAGTTTCAAATATAAGCAAAAATAGTATGGTATTTACTCATCTACTCATAATCTAGCTTCAGTGATTATTAACTCATGGCCATTAATTAGTTTACCTGTATCTTTTCTTCTACTCCCGTTTTAGTGTGTGTCTCTAAAAGAGAAAGACTTCTTATTCAAAAATTTGCTTAAAAGTCGTAAATAATTTCTTAACAGTGTAATGATGTCCATGGAGTGTTTACATTTCCCAGTTGGCACACATATATATACACACACATACACAGGACCATTCATGCTTTTTGTTTGTCTGGTGATTTGCATAGCTCCCTATTCATTATAATTTATTAGTATGTCTCTTTCATATAGTAAATCTTAAAAAACAAACAAACAAACAAACTGACTTTGTAAATGTTTCTCTTTTCAAGATGGAGTCTTGAGTATAGCACAAGTTGACCTCAAACTGATGCTCCTTCTCCCTCGGCCTCCTTAGAGCTGTGTGTTCTACCACGTTGGCTTTGTAAAGGGTGTGTGTGTGTGTGTGTGTGTGTGTACATGTATGTGTACACTTCGTGTATTTTTTTAGTGCACCTGTGTTTTGACTATATTTGTATAAGGTCTGGTTTGGAATTTTCCATATGTGGCATGATGTTCATACTTAGAATGTTTTGGAGTTTGAAATTTGGAGTTCTGGGTGAGGAATGCTATCCTTATCGTAGTTGATAGCTGCTTTATCCTCTAAAATGGTAGAATGTTCCATATTCATCTCCTTTTTCCTCTCTCAAACCAGAGCCAATAAGTCAGGAATTCTACCTACTAGTTTACTGGGAGATGGTATATGGAGACTGCAAACTTGTGGTCTAGTGGTACTCTTTGTGGATAGAATTTTAATGAATTCTTTACAATTAAACAATACTGAATTCTATGCTTGTAAATATGGCTAGTGTTCAGTCTCCTTCCTTCTGCCCCAGTGTCCAAATTGCTGGTGTTATAGGCTGTCCCCCACCTCGCTCCCCAACCCTTTTGACAGGATCTCACTGCTTAGTCTCCTTTGGCCTTGAACTTGATCCTTCTCTAGACTCCGCCTCTTGAGTGCTGGGATTAAGGACTGGATTATAGTTGTGCACCATCAGGGTACTCTTACCTGGGAGTACCACCTATTCCATCTTAATGTGGATCTGCAGTTTATGTGTCCCATTCTCTGGTGTGTTCACTTGGACCTGTTCAAATACTTTGTCTTCATAAATGGTGATGCACATTTATGTGCATCTAGATAAGAGAAATGTAAAGATATGCTATTACTCAGATAAAAGTACTTTAACATTTTGGAGTTTATTACTAAGGCTTATATATAAATATATCATAGTATGTGTATTTCTCGTCTTATCATTTCAAATTGGTAATATAAAATACTTAACATTATTTAGTATTTTGTAATATAAATAAATATAAAATATATTTATTTAAAATGTATTTAACAAATATGAAATAAATAAAATAAATATCAGTATATATAATGAATACACACACATACACACAAATATATATATATATATATATGTATATATATATATATGTATGTACTTTCTATATTTATTTTGTGCGTGTAGTTTCTGTATTTTTTGGAGACAAGTTCTCTTACTGTACCCATGCTGACTCTGCACTGACAGTCCTCTTGCCTTGGCTTGCAGAGTGCTGGGGTTACAGATGTGCACTTACTGATGTGCACCTACAGTATACTTAACTTAGTTAACCAGTGATAATGCTTATCTATATATACACACATATGTATATATATGAATATATATGTAACCTTCTAGAATTGTCTTCCTTTAGTGTTCTGTGATCAGTGAGGTTGGCATACCCAGTAGAATCCTTGAACTTTTCACTTCTGCATGGGGATGTGAATGATCATAATTAGGTGATAGGTAGAAAGTAAAAGTCTTTGTCTTTCAGCTTTTATTTCTTATGATACAATAAACTATACTTCACCGAATTAATGTTTTTAATTTACAGATGGATCCTAACCAGGAATTACAAGGCTCTTGCCAAAGGAACAAGGGGCAGCACATCTGGCTTTCTTAATATTGTGATGGAACTGAAAAAATGCTGCAACCACTGCTACCTGATCAAAGCTCCAGAGGAAAATGAGAGGGAGAACGGCCAGGAGGTCCTGCAGGTGCGCAGCTCCTCCTGCTTACAGCTGCCTTCTCTCCAGTGATCAGGCTTGTTTTAGATCTTCATTTTAATTGAAGTGTTCCTTCTCTTCCTCAATTATCCATCAAGGGGCATTAGAAAAAGCTTCCAAGCTGGGTGGTGGTGATGCATGCCTTTCTTGAGTCCCAGCACTTGGGAGGCAGAGGCAGGCGGATATCTGTGAGTTTGAGACCAGCCTGGTCTACAATAGTTAGTTCCAGGAGAGCCTCCAAAGCCACAGAGAAACCCTGTCTCGAAACCCACCCCACCCCCCACAGAAAAAGAGAGAGAGAGAGAGAGAGAGAGAGAGAGAGAGAGAGAGAGCTTTCAAAAACACAAGAAAAGGCAGACAATACTGGTGCAGAGTTGAGGGAGCCATTGGAGATGACAGGGATGTGGTGGAGGCAGAAGGGTCTTGAATTTGAGGACACTTATCCAGAGTTCACTTGTGTGACAAACAAACAAAAATGTTGAGAAGACTTCAGTAAAATGCAGGAAGTATAGTTCTATGAATATCATGTTAAATGAACATTTCAGCAACGTTTCATTTGAGTTTAATGATTGAGACTTCTTCTGAATCTTCAGTCCCTAATCAGGAGCAGTGGAAAGCTGATTCTGCTAGATAAACTGTTGACAAGACTCCGTGAAAGGGGGAACAGAGTCCTTATATTCTCTCAGATGGTGAGGATGTTGGATATTCTGGCTGAGTACCTGACTATCAAACACTATCCTTTCCAGGTAAGAAGGCTCAGTGACTTGGCTCACACAATCTATCTGTCTGACCTCTCTCTCTCCCCCACTGAACTGGAGTAGAAGACAAATTTTCTTGCCTGAAAAACATCTGAAATTAAGGTTCGAGGAAGGCTTCAGTTTTTTTCATGCCTTTAGACTACTCTGTGATGGTAATGAACATATGAAGGTGATTCTTTAAAAAACAAAACAAAACCAATTTCTTTTTTATTTGTTTTTTCTTTTTTGATACAGCATCTCACTATATAGCCTTGGCTGTCCTGGAACTTAACTGTGTAGACCAGGCTGGCCTCAAACTTACAGAGATCCATCTGCTTATGTCTCCCAAGTGCTGGGATTATAGGCATGTGCTACTATGCCCAGCAACAGTTTGTTAATTATTAGAAAGAATTAAGTGAGTGAGGACCCATGCATTGGTAGCTGTGCGCCATGGTGCCTATGTGGAGATCAGAGGATAACTCTGAGTTGTTTTTCTCCTTCCACCGTGGATTCTGAGCTTAAGCTCAGATCCTTAGGTCTGTGCAGCAAATGCTTTCTGCCCGCCAAGTGTAGCTATGATCCTTAGTGTTAAGTACAAGGTGATAGGAAAGATTGGCAAAAGAAAAGTGTCTGTCCTTTCTGTCCATGTGTTGTCAAAGTTGACAGGAATTAAGTGTGAACCTGATTAAAGAATGCTATCTACCCATGTCTGTTGTTTCAAGTAGACAGGAATAAGTGTGAACCTGATTATAGAATTCCAAATCCGAAGAAGAGATGCAGTATTGTTTTATCTTAACCCCATAGAATATGACCTTGGTTTGAGGCTGTGAGCAAAGCAGGAATTCTTGAAACATCCTGGTCCCCAGAGCAAGTTCTATTGACTTCTCGTAGAAATAGAACTGTCTCAATGCTCCTTGCTGCTGGACTTTTAAGAGGGTTTTCTTATTTCAGATATTGGCTGTGTAGCCGGGCGTTGGTGGCGCACGCCTTTAATCCCAGCACTCGGGAGGCAGAGGCTGGCGTATCTCTGTGAGTTCGAGACCAGCCTGGTCTACAAGAGCTAGTTCCGGGACAGCCTCCAAAAGCCACAGAGAAACCCTGTCTCAAAACAAACTGCACCAGTATTGGTTCCAGTCTCTGTACAGATTTATTGTAGATAAAGGGAATAAATAGTAGTAGTTATAGAGAGGTACAGGGAACTCTCCCACCTATGGATTTATTGTTTAGGTGGCTGTGGCTTTCATGGCCTTGGGGAGATGTAGGTCTTTGCAGACTCTGCTGGATCAGCGTGACCTTTTGTACATTCAGTGTTTCAAGAGATGATTTTTGGAGATAAAATGTGAAAATTCTACATAGTGAGAAATGCCTTTTACGTACAGCATTCAATATTTGCTTTGTTATGTATTGAATATTTTCCATATAGTGACTGTCTTGTACCTGGAATGATGTGTTTTTTAACTAATAAAAAGTTCTCTGAGTTCAAGGCTAGCCTGATCTATAAAGTGAGTTCCAGGACAGCCAAAGTTACACAGAGAAACCCTGTCTCGAAAAAACAAAATAAACAAAAAATTCCATGCACAGCTAAGTGCCCAAGGCTCAGCTGGTGATACAGTTTTACTATTTGAACACTTTATAGTGACTTCATAATGTAGCTTCTAGAAAAAGCTGGCATATATAATCATTTAATGTGAACATTTTCAGTAGTTTCCAAATGTTTGTATTTTGGTTTGCATAGCACTTAATATTTTTGCCATGTTGCCTAAGAAGTGTTGTTTCCTGTAGGAAACAGTACTAGGGGTACTATTTCCTCATCACACAGGCTGGGTTTTCATCTTTCTTCTTGTAGGTTTTGGCAGACATTCTGATCCTTGGGTAATCCTAGACAGTCCTTTGAATTAGAAACTTCTGACCTTGAGTTTGTAACTGGAGAGTTCAGGTCACGTCAGACATGCTGTTTACACAAGACCCCATCCTAGTACTTTGCCAATGGTTTCCAGTTATTTTTACTCAGTGCGTGTCTGGGAGATAAAGGTTGCAAGTCCAGCGTTCTATTCTGAGTGTAGCCGATCTGCCTCACTTAAGATTTTTCTCGTGGTTTCTTTTTACAGCGCCTGGATGGTTCTATCAAGGGAGAAATCCGAAAGCAGGCATTGGATCACTTCAATGCAGATGGTTCTGAGGTACATTATGCATGGCTTTATTATTTGGAGAACTTGGACTTTGTATAGGCTGGAAGTCTCCCCAGCTTAATGTATTCTGTTTTAGAAACATTTTGAGGCAGACTTCTCCTGTCTTGATGAGAACAGGAAAGCCCTACTATAAAAGATGCCTTGTTTGTTACTCACAAGCTTGTTGTCACAAACTTGTATATGCTTTTCTAGCTCCCTAGTTCTGAACTAGTGATATTTTCTACTGGCTTACCAAATTTATGGGTTTGAAAGAATAGCAAGGCAAGGGCATGGTGGGCCAGGCCAGCTGTGTTGACTTTGATGCACCTTGGTCCAAGGTTCTCTGTCCGGTCCTGGTACTGATGTTTGAACAATGTGTTTGCTAAGGTTCAGTTAATGTTAGACTCCTGGTGGGATGTAGCCGATGTTCTTTCTCTGTTTCATTGCTACAACTTTACATTACTAAATGTCCTGCTTGGAATTGGTTTTTGGTCTGGGCACACCTATATTAGAGCTACTTTAACCAAGTTAGCAACCTTGAGTGCATTATAGTCTGCATATCAATTGGTCAGATGACAGATTTAGAAGTGTGGGAGAAGAGCTTTAGTGTAAGTGAAACTAGTAACACGTAAGATAAAGGGATCAGTGGAGATGCCTAGCAGGGTTTTGGACAAAATTTTCTAGAGACATAGTTGTTTTGTTTTATGGTAGATAGAATAGATTTATGTCCTACTTTCTGAAGGGTTTTAAAAACCCAGTGTCTCTTTCATTGTTCCAGAATAATGATAGACCTTCTTCTGTCTCTGAATGTGTAGGTGGTCCTAGTAAGACAGTGTTCTGGATGCTTCCTTCTCTGAAGGGTGATAATGTATCGAGGACCAAGTCTGTGGATTTAGACCATGAGAAGCATTAGTCTCACCCCTCTTTCTCCTCTAGTTTCTTTAACTGTAAAATCACAGGGCTCCAAGCCCTACTTTGTAATATTACCATGAGGATGAAATGTGGTAATAAAGTTCTCATCACATTTCTTACCATGTAATAGGCACTTAATAAAATTCCAGCAATTTTTTATTGTATATCATTCATCAAAGATAACACTGTTCCCTTGTCTTAATTTAAAAGATGATGTGAGTTAAATGTTTTATTTCCTTTTCAGGGAAAATCTGAAATTTATTTTTTGTGTAGTTTTTAATTTTTGGTTCTCATTCTCTCTGATAGCCATATATAAAATAGGGTTTCTCTGACATTCTGTAGCCTTTTAAAATTAATCTTAAAATTATCTGGGAAGATAGTACATGTCCATTTATTAGATATTTTAGATGGTAAAGAATACCTAAATGAAGCCTTTACCCTTGTGACAACAGTCTCCACACATTGCTGTCTGCATCTGTACAGATTAAACTATTCCTTGCCCGTTTACCTAATTATAATCTTTCTGTACGTGATTTTGGCTCCTTTTGGTCAAAATTATACTTGGAAGATTTTCCCTGAGGTCAAACCCAGGTCCTTGTGCATGTTAGGCACTCTGCCACCAAGTTGCACTCCTAGCCCAACTCCTTAAAGTGTGATTCCTAACATGTTTTCATGCCTCTGCCATTACTTTTATTTTATGTGGATGACTCCTTAGCCTGTATGTATGTATGTATGTATGTATGTATGTATGTATGTATATATGTGTTCTGTGTATGTGCTTGGTGCCCGGGAGCCTAGAAGAGGGTGTTGGGTTCCTTGGAACTGTAGTTACAAATGGTTGTGAGCTAATATGTGAACTTGTGTCTTTTTCAAGAACAGTAACTCCTCTAAATCACTGAGCCATCTCTCCAGCCCTTGCTGTTTCTTTAGCCATTTTATTATTGTTTGGAATAGTTACAGATAATGAGAACTTAAAAAGTATTTTGATGCATTTTGTTTACTTCCTTAAAATAATTTATAATTATATGGTCTATGTGCAAATACTGCCATTTTTATATTACTTTTAGCAGCATCAAACTTCATAATCTTTTAAACCATTATTTTGATAATACAATAGGAGTAGGCAACATGCAACTTATCTTTGTGACACTGAAAATTGTTTATGAGAGCATGCAATGTTCAGATTTTATTTACAGTTAAGCATCTTGCCCTCGACTGTTTGCTGTTGCTCTTTAGAGAGGCATCCATGTACTATTTGTATTCTCAGCTGGTCACTAATTTTTATTGTGATTAATTAAAATTCTTGGAAGGTAGCTGTCTTGCACTCTGTTTTTTCATGACTTCATGCAGTTGTTTATGACTATTAGAATGTGAAGAGCTTTCTGCTCTGCCTGTCTGTCTGTCTGCCTATCTCATCTGTCATCTGTTAAATATAGCCATTTATTGAGGTTCATTCTCCAAGTCAGCAGTTTATTTATTTATTCATTTTGTTTATAGAGACAGAGTCTCTTGTAGCCCAGGATGGTCTCAAACTGTGGATGGCCTTTAAATCCTGATCCTCCTGCCTCTTCTTCCTGACTGCTGAATTTATAGGTGCATGCCACCATACTCAACCCCAGACCAGTTTTTGAGTGGTAGTTTTGTACTCAGAAGGCATCAGTTTTTGGAGGGTTTCTGACAGTCACTTGGGCCAGCAGCCAGAAGTTTATTTTCTCTCTGTCTCTTTGTCTCTCTCACATACACAAAATAAAATGTACAACACCCCCCCCCTCCCCGTAGAGAACAAAAGTGTCAGCTTTTGATACAGATGATCAGATGCCTGAAAATAGTAATATTAAGCTGTGTAGTCTACTTTCCCTCTGCCCACATGTTTTTCTGATTGTTTACCTGGAGAGGTAAGGCAGGCATACCATACCTGTCCAGTCCTTTTATTGCTTGGAAGATGTTAAAGCCTGGTCTTTGGCACACACATTGGTGATTGCGGTTCCCAGGCTTCTCAGCAGCCTTGTTTCATGAATGTCCCTGTTCTCACCACCTAACAAGTGGGCAGACACACATAGTACAGGTTGCCTGTGTATAATAACTACCTTACACACATAGTCTCTGTGCCCCAAGAAAGCAAGTATCTGGGCAGCTTGCTAAAACAGTCCTATGAAGACTGAGTGTGTATGGTGCTTCTGGTTCACTTGTTGCATACACTAGTTTCAGCTGGGACACAAATCCCTTGTCCCTGCTGCCTTACTAGATTTTACTTTAATTCCTTTGTTCCCTGAACTGACACTTCCTCTTAATCAAATGAAAATTCCCTGTGTCTCAAGTCCTTGAGCTCCTTTTAGCCTCCATAAAGTTTGTCTACCATATCTCACTTTTCTTCACACCTGCAGGGGTTTCCAGGTGTGAGGGTTTATTGGACTGTGAGAGTGTCTCTGAGAAGGCCACTGCATAAAGTAGTATATTGCATTGTGTACAGGACTTCTGCTTCCTGCTCTCCACGAGGGCTGGTGGCCTGGGAATCAATCTGGCTTCAGCGGACACAGTTGTCATCTTCGACTCTGACTGGAACCCCCAGAACGACTTGCAGGCACAGGCCCGGGCACATAGAATCGGTCAGAAGAAGCAGGTCAGTGGGGAAGGTCTCTGGCAGTCACTAGGGCCAGCAGGCAGAGGTTTATTCTTCCCAGTCAGACTGTTTGTAAAATGCTTATTTCCCCATTTCATTGCCTTCTCTTTATTAACTTGTTCAGAAAAGAGATGTCTTGGGCCTCCCAGTATGGAGTCTTTAACCTACCTCTATATGAAAAGTATGTCATGGGGGTTGGGGATTAAGCTCAGTGGTAACAAGTATAAGGCCCTGGACTTGGTCCTCAACTGTGGGGGAAGGGTGACAATGACAAAATCTAGGGTAACTGAAAAGTATGTCGTGAGTGACTTTCTACATGATTACTAGGAAAGATGTATGAGGAGCAGAGCTGAGCCTCTCCTGTGTTAAGACCATGGTTAACTAGTCATGGCAATTAGTTTTATTCTCCATGACATTAGTAATCTGCAATATGTTGGAGCACCATCGGCTTGGTTGGTTTTTTGTTTTGTTTTCTCTGTGGATCTCAAGGAATGCTTTCCTGTTGGCTAACTTAAAAGTTGGTGTGTGGCTACTGATTCAGTCTTTGTAAAGATTATTGTTGGGAAGATGCTGGTCAAAAAGCAGGCTGTGATGTCTGTAGAAGCACTTCCTTTGAATAGTCTGTTACAGATACCTTACCTACCTGGTAGCCTCAGTCATGATGTGGTGCAGGAGAACAGAGTGACTTTTCTTCTCCCTCCTGAACTCTGACAGAAGTCGTTCTTGCTTTAAACAGAAGTAAATACAGCATTTCCTTTTCCTATAGGTGAATATTTACCGTTTGGTTACAAAGGGAACTGTGGAAGAGGAGATCATAGAACGGGCCAAAAAGAAGATGGTGTTGGACCATCTGGTGATTCAGCGCATGGACACTACTGGCAGGACAGTCCTTGAAAACAACTCAGGGAGATCCAAGTAAGTGCAGAAAGCCTGAGGGACAGAGCCCGATTGTTCCCCACAGCAGGTGATAGGTTTTCACAGGCTTTCACCACAGGCAGTGTCCATCCACTCACAGGGGCTGTAAGGGTCGTGCTGCCTTCCCCGCCCCACATTTATTTTCGTGGATGTGTGTGCCCCCATGTGAAGGTTGGAAGCAAGAATCAGTTTTCTGCTTCTATCATGTGGTTTCTGGGGTGGTCAGGCTTGGGATAGAGGCCCTTACCCACTGAGCCAGAAGAAGGCGTTGTAACTTGTAACTTGAGTTACAGGTGGCTGTGAGTTACTATGTGCATGCTGGGAATGAACCCAAGTCTTCTGGAAGAGCAGCAAAGGCTCTTGCCCACTGAGCTATGTTTCTATCCCCTCTTAAAAATTTTCACATTTTAATTTATTTGTGAGGTAATGGAAGTGGCCCACTTGTACTGCTGCCTGAGTGTGGAGGTAGAGAATAACTTGTTTTCTCCTTCTACCATGTGGGTATTGGGGGTTGAATGCAGGTAGTCTCAGGCTTGGCTACAAGATGCCTTTACCCTCTAAGTCATGCTACCAGTCCCTCTCTTGAGATCACAGTTGTATTTTACTCCTATAGCTCTAATCCTTTTAATAAAGAAGAGCTGACTGCTATCTTGAAATTTGGAGCAGAGGATCTCTTCAAGGAAATTGAAGGAGAAGAGTCAGAGCCTCAGGTAATCATCCTAGAGCCTGGAAATGCACTTTTGTAGCCACTATGGGAATCAGTATGAAGGTTCTCAAAATTAAAAATGGAACTGCCATATGTTCCAGGTGTACCACTCCTGAGACTGTACCCAAAGGAACCATAGTGAGGTTGCACAGAGAAGCTTGCACAGTCATGCTTACTGAGTGCTATTCACAGCTCTAAGTTACAAAAGCAGCCTGGGTGTCCATTGATAGGTGCATAGGTAACAAAACTCCATTGTGTCTGTATGGATGTGAAATTTGTCATTTGTAGGAAAATTGGTGATCTGGAAGTCATCAAGTGAAATGAGCCAGATTCAGAAAGACAAGTATCATATGTTTTAATGAACATTATTCAAGTATATGATATAGTTAAAAGAAAATATAGTTGTATAACCCATCACCTTTATAGTAAAGATGTACTAGTAGGAAAATGTTTTTTTTTTTAAAGAATATTTTGTTATCTAAATTTTTCAGGAAGTAAATTCATCATTAGAGATTTTTATAAGAAAGTAATTAATTGAAGGGACGGGGATCCTTTTTTTTTTTTTTTTAGTAATTAATTGAAGGGACGGTCTTTTTTTTTTTTTTTTTTTTTTTCTTTGCCAAGATCGAAGGTCTTCCTACATTAAAGAGGAAAGGATGAGACACTGAAGGGCTCGGTATTTCTCCATCGTCTTTCTTAGAATGCCTTGAATTTTGCCTCATCATTTGATTAATATCGGTGTGAAGTGTTGTGCATGAAAGATGTAGACTGAGGCTGTCAGAGTAAATAAAGTGTTATAGGAAAGCTGTCTGGGGTGCACACCTGACATTTTTGGTAATTCTGAAACTACTGCTTTTTCACTCTACCGGTGTCATTTTTGTTCCTTCAGGAAATGGATATAGATGAAATTTTGCGCTTAGCTGAAACCAGAGAGAATGAAGTATCAACTAGTGCCACAGATGAGCTTCTGTCACAGTTTAAGGTAGGAAGTCCTTTGTGGGAGAGAGTACTCAACACAGATTTGTTAACCAGTAACTCCTTGTGTCTAGATCACTTTCCTTCGTACTAGGCTTGCTGTTTTCCCCTTCACCTGAATTAACTTATGCTCAACGTCATTCTGAGTGAGGCTGTTGGAAATGTAGTCTACAGTATCCCCATAGAGGTAACCACTGACGTGAGCCTTCCTTCCTAGAGTCAGGTGCAGAGGAAAAGATATTGATGAAGAAGACAGAGTGTATTGCTAATGGGATAAACCAAAGACTAGCAGTATGGGGGGACATGGGAAGCATTCATGTTATTAGATGCCAAAGAATGTCAAAGGCATGGCAATTGTAGGTGACTGTTGGGAGAATCTAGATGACTTGATTAGACCTTTTTTCCCCCATCTTATCTTTCCCTCTTCACTCTCCTTCCCTTTTCTCCTGTTCCCTCCCTTCTGCCTCCTTTTCTTCCAAAGGGATGTCTCATAATACAGGATTGAATGGGATCATGGTTATAACATAGAAACTGTGGACACCAGATGAATAGGAAGTGGCATCATTGAGTATAGGTGTTTATTAAAAGGCTTAGGAAAGGTAATTATGTATAATAGATAGTAGGACTAAATAAGTTGAGATTTCTAGAAAGATGTTATAAGGTTACTAGATTTCTAGGTTGCTAGAAGAACTGGAGGATAGGGAGATCCTGAAGAGTCCCAAGAAGGAAAAAGGAAGTCTGGTGGCTCATTGCCCCAGAGAAGGTGGGAGGTGATATAATCTAAAGCATAGCTTGAGAATTTGGTGGAAAGAAAAAGGAATTGATCACCTCAGTGAAGAGGGAAAGTTTGAGAATTCAGTCTGTAACTTTAGTTCTCTGAGAGGCGGAAAGCATTGGGCAGGTGTGGGTTAGACTGTGAACATGGGCAAGAACTTGATAGGGAGTCATCTAAATCTAGTTAGTGTTTTTGCTGTGGAGCCACTAAACATGTGACTGTCTCCAGCAATACTTGATATTGGAGAAGTTGGGTCAGTTGGCAATCCTAGGACAGGAGCTGGACTAGAGGGCACTGAGAGATCAAAATAGCAAATGTTTCCAAAATGCAAGTGATAATATGGCTGATTCTGTGCAGGGTAAAGAAGCAAGGTTGTTGAAGGTTACTGTGGTGTTAGTGGTAGTGTTGAGGGAGAGGTGGGTATTGGCTGAAGGCTGTGCTTTGTTGTGTGTGCTCCATGGCTGGCTAAGGTGAACATTGAATTAATGAAAAAATAAGGAAGGAGCTGGGGATGAGTGGTCAAAAGAGCTCTTGGAATACAATTCCCAGAATGAATTCTGGGATACAGAGGACAGGGTGGAAAGGACTAAGAGTACATCAATGTGGCTTGTCTTAAATTTGGTGTCTTATAACAGTGTCATAGACTGGTTCATCTAAACAATAGAAATCTATTTCTCATAGTCCTGAAGGTTCTGCGTTCATGGTCCTGACACATTGAGGTTCTGTGAGGTCTGTCATCTGACTAGCATACTGCTGTCGTCTTGTGTTCTTACAAGGTATTGAGAGGCCAGACAACTCTGTTTAGAGCCCCTATTGTAAGGTAACAACTAATCCTGCCATGAGGACTGTATTATTCTGAGTCAATCACCTTCCAGAGACCCCTTCCTAGTACTGTCAGATACTGGCATCAGGATTTCAGCACTAATTTCTTTTGTTGGTAGTTGTGCAGAGTTTTGAATCCAGGATCTCATACATGCTATGCAAGCCCTCTGCCACTGAGCTGTAACCCTACTCCTGTAACACATGAAATTGGAGGAAGCACAAACATTGAACCGGATTCTACCTCTGTGACTATCCTCATAGTTAAACAGATGTGATCTTAACAATGTTTTGATTAGAATCTTACATGATTATTTATTTTTTATTTATTTATTTTTTTAAGATTTATTTATTTATTATGTACACAGTATGTCTGCAGGCCAGAAGAGGGCCAGAAGAGGGCACCAGATTTCACCACAGATGGTTGTGAGCCACCATGTGGTTGCTGGGAATTGAACTCAGGACCTTTGGAAGAGCAGGCAGTGCTCTTAACCACTGAGCCATCTCTCCAGCCCCCTCACATGATTATTTAGATACAAAAAAATTCCACATGCTTTAAGTTATTCAGCACATGGCTGGTTACTGTTTCCTTCCTAAGTCCTTTTTGTCACATGTTTTAATATTCAGGGAAATATGGTTGACACTGCAGGGCTGCTTACCCTACAGCCTTTCTGTTTGAGTGAGTACTTCAGCTAGGTTGGCATTATTTTTCTCCTTAATCCTTTGTGTAATCCTTGATTTAGTATGTTGGAAACAGCATTTTTTTTTAAATGTAAGATTACTATTTATTCAGACAGCAATAACAGAACTTGTGCTATGTTTGAAGTATTGTTTTAAAGTATTTGATACATGTTAACTCCTTTGATATTTACAGCACATCTGTGAGGAAGTATGCATTGTACTTACAGATGGGTGAACTGACATACAGGATACAGGGAGGCTTTCACCTTTCTCCCTCCCTCCTCCCCCCCTTCCTCCTCTACCTGCTTTCTCTCTCTGTCTCTGTCTCCCTCTCTCTCTCTCTCTCCCCCTCCCCCCCCCTCTCTCTCGGTTTTTCGAGACAGGGTTTCTCTATGTAGCTTTGGAGCCTATCCTGGCACTTGTTCTAGAGACCAGGCTGTCTTCAAACTCACAGAGATCCGCCTGCCTCTGCCTCCCAAGTGCTGGGACTAAAGGCATGTGCCACCAATACCCGGTGCTGATAGTCTCTTAACATCACACATAAGTGCAGCTGTGATCATTTCATTTCCCAGGCAGAATGTTTGGCCCATCCTTTACTATGCTTCCCTTGAAAAAAATGAATTCCCAGCTACATGACCTATCAGCATGTGTTTATTGATATTTATCATTTTTATTTGACTCACAATACCTAACAATACCAGACCTACAGGCCCCCAGGATAGCTCACTGGGTAGAGGTGCTTGTTGCCAACCTGAATTTGGTTCCTGGAGTACACATTGTGGAGGGAAAGAGCTGGCTGTTAACAGGTTGTCTTCTGATCTTCATAACATGTGCATGTGCACACATGGAGACAAAATAAATAAATTAATATAAAAAATCCAGACCTAAACTAATTGTAAACATACTTAATTTGACAGAACAGTGAGATGGTTTGTTTTTAGCAATCTCAGAATGATACCTCTTTTTTTCCCCTTGAAATTTAAAAAAATCTGGTTGTAAAGATCAAAATATCTTTTGCTGGAAGTTAAATAGTTAATTTTTACTGCATGCTGCAAGGTTTTGATTTGATTTCTTGTTAGCTCCAAATGACTTTGAGGAATGGAAACTCTAAAGGCCCTTTTGTGCTTCATCAGACACTTAGGCCAGGAAGCAGAAAGTGTAAAAGACGTGGAACTGGAAATGGGGCTCTGCACAGATGGCCAAGGCCTTCCAGAGCTGGCTCGTGTTGGGCTGTAGCTCCAGTCTGGCAGACTAAGATGGTTTTCTTTCTTGGGGCACATACCACTTGAGTACAGATACCTACAGATGTTTGGTAGGGAATAAATGGCATGTTTTCAAGATTTGTTTTTGTTTTCTCCTAAGACTAAAATGCACCTTTGAGCACATGTAATCTCTATATACCTTCTACTGCTTACACTTTTGAGAAGAGTAAGGTTACCTATGGGTTGACTGGATGAGTGGGGGCTGGGCTGCTGCTGCTCATCACAATTAAAGATGTAAGATCCTTATGGATGATTAGGCACTAAATACTTTATACAATCTAAGCAAATTAAATTGCACAGTGAATGTGATGCAAATGAAATACACAGAAGATTTAACACCCTTTCAGTAAAATTTGCAGTTTTTATCTTTCTGTATCTATTTCCCTAATTTTTTAATGAACTGTAAAATTTTTGATGAATTGATAGTTTTGGCAAGTGGATTTGGGGGAAATAAAAGGTGAGAATGGTAAAATATAAATTGATTTTGATTATGTAATATTATGAGTCCTAGTACAGTATTCTAAATTAAAAACACTCATTAAGTTGATGCTTGGCAGCTGGTGTTTGGAAGTGGACAAATGTCAGATGGGGGTTGTCCTCCACTTTTTTTAGGTTGCCAACTTTGCAACGATGGAAGATGAAGAGGAGCTAGAAGAGCGTCCTCACAAGGACTGGGATGAAATCATTCCAGAAGAGCAAAGGAAAAAAGTAGAGGAGGAAGAACGACAGAAAGAGCTAGAAGAAATTTATATGCTGCCTCGAATCCGTAGTTCCACTAAAAAGGTGAAGTGAAAGTATGCTCTGTGCCCTATGTGACACTATGTGCAGATGATTTAAGGGTGAGGCCTTGACACAGGCCTGTGGGGACACAAGTGGGGATGCCAGGGCTCATAGGCACACCCTTGTGACTTTTTTCTTAGTCTTTGATGGTTGGCTTTTCAAGAAATGACCAGATGACTTTTGAGTTTACAGAAGTTTGTATTTTGCCTTTGAGGATAAAACTGCAGGTAGCCCCAACAGTTTGGTTTTCATTGCTACTGTCTTCAAGTTTTTGAGTGTTAGATCTTTTTATGTCCTTAAATGTTCACAGTCTAAATAGTAAAGGACTACATGACTAGAGGGCATCCACGGGCTGTGCAGCTTACTCTGTCTTTCACAAGCACCATTTGATACATTCTCCCTGCCCAGTATCACTGAAATAAGAAAACAAATTTATTAACCATTTTATTGGCGCTATTAAGCTTGTCTGGTATCACGGTAAATCAACATTATCATCTGTTAAGCGTCTACTGCATGCCAGACATAGTTCTGAGTGCATTTTCACTTCTGATGCATTTAATCCTTGTGAAAACCCTGTCTCAAAGGGACTATTATCCTCATTTTACAAAGGAGAAAAGACAAAAGTAGTTAGTTGTCTGAGGAATTACTGTTTATACCAAGTGTCATATGTATTATAGCATAAAAATTAACCAAGAATTTTTAATTCAGTATATTTTATCATTGCAGGATCATTGACAGTATGACAGTTTCTCCTCCCTTAGTCCCTGACACCTGACATTTGTTTAAGGAAAACTGAGCTCTAACAGTTAAGCTGGGCTGGTCTTAATCTTTTTATTCCTGGACTTGATACTTGGTAAAATGCGACTTTGCCTTATTCTTTTGCAGGCTCAGACAAATGACAGCGATTCTGACACAGAGTCTAAGAGGCAGGCCCAGAGATCTTCTGCTTCCGAGAGTGAGACGGACGATTCTGATGATGATAAGAAGCCAAAGCGCAGAGGGCGCCCCCGAAGTGTGCGCAAAGACCTGGTGGAGGGTTTTACAGATGCAGAGATCCGAAGGTTGGTGCAGTCTGCTTTCCTTGAGTTTGTCTGGAAGCCCGTGTTCTAAGCCTGGCTAGTGGGTTCCTGACACTTATGACAGGGTAGGCAGAAAGTGGTCATGTGAGAAAGGCAGCAAAGCCCCAGGCATCTGAGGTCTAATGATTCTGATGTAACAGCTTAATGTCAGTGGTTTATGAAAATCTTGGTTGCAGTTACTCTCCTTCTTCCTCCTTATATGCAGTGCAGTGTTTGTTTCTCTTCAATGAGTGCCATCTTTGCTCCTTTATTTCCTGCAGTTTTCCCAGATGGTGGCTTTCCTGCTTTTCATCAGGTTTTATTTTTAGTGTTTGGTTTGGTCTGCATTATGGGTGTGAGGTAGGTCTCATATAGCCTAGGTGGCCTTGAGCTCCTGTGGGACAGAGGGGCCCCTTCTTTGAGGTCCTTAGCCTCTGAGTGCTGAGACCACAGGCTCTTTTCCATCTTTTTATTTCCTTACTGTTTTCCGATTCTTGAGAATATTGTCAAGAGGAAGTTTACCAAAGGTAGACTTACGTGTACAACACTTACCTGTATTTATAATAATGCACGTGTAGAAATAGCTCTGTAGTAGTGCTGCCCTTGCTGCACCTGTCCCTGTCTGCATTAGTGCTAATGCAGTCCCTGGTGGATTGGTTGCATTCCTGTCCTTGTAGCACATCATACTTCATTGGCCAGCTTGTCTTTTCCCACTTGAATCAATTTTAGACATTGTGCTCACTTTTTGGACCTTTGGAATGGAAAAGATGGTGGTATTGCTCATCTTTTTATTTTGGTCTGCATCTTTAAGTCTGACTTGTTTCTTGTAGGCATCCTGCAGTTAGACTACATCTTCAAAGTCTCCTCTGGCAACTTCTTGCTTTGCAGTGCAGTGATTGTTTCTCTTCAAGGAGTGCCATCTTTGCTCCTTTATTTCTCCATCGGTGCCTGTTGTGGTCAATAGGCAGGCTTCAGTATTCCATTCTAACTGCCTTGTTTGTATTTCCATCTTTTTTTTATAGTTATTTTCTTGGTGGTTTCCATGGAAATTTCAAGTAACATCTGGATGTAACAGCTTAATGTCAGTGGTTTATGAAAATCTTGGTTGCAGTTACTCTCCTTCTTCCTCCTTATATGCTGTTTTCATACAAATCCTTCATACACTGGAAGCCCATCTACACAATTTAGAAATCAGCTTTGTGTCTTTGCTTATGAAGTTTGGTAGAAGAGTTCAAACAAAAATCCCTTGATAACCATTTTATAGTTGCTAACTCGGTGATCTTGGAGGTAGTTATTTCTTCATGTGGATTTAAGCTACTCTTGATACATGCCTGAAGAGTTCTCAATTAGTGTTTTCTTTTAGGGTATGTCTGCTAAGGATGAATTCTGTATTTTTCAATTTCTGGCAGTATCTTAATTTCTTTATTGTTTATCAAGTCTTCATTCTTTTTCAATTTTGGTTGCTTGTTTTCAAGTTTATTGATTCTTTTTTTTCTCCTATGATCCTCTATTGACCTCTCCTATTTAAGTTTTTGTGCTCTCCCCCCCCCCCCAGGGTTTCTCTCACAGAGATCTGCCTGTCTCTGCCTCCTGAGTGCTGGGATTAAAGGCGTGCACCACTACCACCTAGCATTTTTTTTTTTTTAACTTTTCAACTTCAGAAATTCTGTTTGTGTCCTTTTAAAGTTTTTCTATTTTTCCCTTTTTCTTCACTCTCTTAGACTCAAACCTAAGTGCGCATGCATGATGAGCCAGCGCTCTAGCCCTGAGCTGCCTCCCCAGTTCTCTAATCTATGAATATCTCTTATTAGTTGACTTTTTAATTCTTTAGGTGTAACTCTCTCTAGTCTGTGTGTATGTGTACAGTAGCAGACTGTTGTATTCTAAGTCCGGGTTCCAGACTCTTAAAAAGTACAATTTTCTTGTTGGCATTTGTTTTCTTTTTTTTGTGCACTGTACTTGCTTTCCCATGTGCTGTAATTTGTTTTTTTTTTTTTGTTGTTGTTGTTTGTTTTTATTAGTTCAAATTAGAATTAGGAACAAGCTTGCTTCATATCTAGGCCGGGCCTAGGCCCTCCCCCATGTGTCCAGGCCAAGAGTGCATCCCTTCACGTGGGATGGGCTCTCAAAGTCCCTTTTTACACCAGGGAAAAATACTAATCCATTACCAGGGGCCCCCTAGAGTGCGGAGGCCTCCTAATTGACATCCTTGTTCAGGAGTCTGGATCAGTCCTGTACTGGCCTCCCAGACAGCAGTCTGGGGTCCATCTGCTTCCCCTTGTACAGGCCAGCTGTTTCTGTGTGTTTCACCAGCTTGGCACCAACCCTTTGATCTTCATTCTGCCCTCTCTGCAACTAAGTTCCAGAGTTAAGTTCAGTGTATATCTGTGGGTGTCTGCCTCTGCTTCCATCAGCCACTGGATGAGGGCTCTAGGATGGCATATAAAGCATTTTTCAGCCTCATTATAGGGGAAGGGCATTTAGGTTATCCTCTCCACCATTGCCTAGATTGTCAGTTTGTGTTATCCTTGTAGATCTCTGGAAATCTCCCTAGTGCCAGATCTCTCCTCGGACCTATAATGGTTCCCTCTAATATGGTATCTCTCATCCTGCTCTCCTCTATTCTTTGTAATTCATTTTTATTTGAAAACCAGATGTTTGTTTTTTGATGCAGGGTTTCCCTGTGTAGCCCTGGCTGTCCTAGAACTCACTCTGTAGAGCAAGCTGAGCTTGAGCTCACAGAGATCCACCTGCCTCTGTCTCTGGAGTGCTAGGATTAAAAGCCTATGCCACCACCACTTGGTGAAAACCAGATGTTTTAAGTAATATAACTCTGGACCTCATAGTGCCCCTCACTAGTTAGTTTGTTCACTTACCTCCCTCAACTATTTGGTAAAGTCGGGTTTTTTGTCATGTCTTTTGAAGTCTCTGCTGCTTTAGCTCAGTGATTAGCCAATGACAGGCAGAGATCTCAGTTGTTCCAAGCTAGCAAATCTACTACCCACTTTGAGGAGCTTGGTATGGATCTTGTTTAGTTCTCTGTACGTCTGTTCACAGCTGTGCCCTGACCATGAGGATCTGCACATGCAAAACTGACGTTAGGACCTTCCCAGATCTTTCCTTTGCATGTGTGCATACCTGTACACATGTGGTCTTTCTGATTCCTAGGAATATGTCAGAGCCTTTCAGGATATTCTGTGCGCATCTTATTCCCAGTTCTTTTTATTTTTTGATCAGTGTTGTATTATCTCCAAGTGATGTGCCCCAGGCCACTGGTGTGTTAAACGTTTGCATACAGTTACTACCTTGACCTGTGGACATGGCTGTCAATAAATATTTCTAATTCATATAAAAAAAGACCAACCGGGAGATGGCCCAGCAGTTAACAGCAGAGGTGTTAACTGGGTGCTCTTGCAGAGGACTCATGTTCGGTTCCCAGCACCTGCCTAACAGCTTTCAACTGTCTGTAACTCCAGTTCCAGAGCATCTGACTCCCTCTTCTGGCCTTCTGACTCCCTCTTCTGGCTTTCCTGGACACTAAACATCCACATGGCACACAGATACTTATGCTGCCAAAATACCCATACACTTAATACTAATAATTAGTAACAAAAATAAATAAAGAAAGTAATAAAAAAGTCAAACCTGTATCTTCTGTCTGGAGACAGTCCTTCTGGGATGCCTCAGACCTGCCCTCCTCACTGGCCACAGTGGTACACAGATTTCTCAAGAAGGAGTTGGAAATAAAGCAAATTGCAGGGACGGAAAGCTCTTTGCTCTTTCTGAGACTCACCCATTATCTTCAACAGATGTTTCAGAAGGCTGCAGACTTTTGCATAATTTTTAGGTTTTCCTTAAAGTTGATTTTGACACTTTTTGTTGATGGCTTTGTTATTTTTATGGAGCAACAACAAATAACTTTATTTGGATAATCTTATTGTGCCATTGAAGACTGTTTTCAATGCTGAGGGTTGAACCCAGGGCCTGGTGCATGCTAGGCAAGAGCTATATCCTAGCCTCTGTATTATTTTCACATCTCAAAGCCTACTATTTCAGACAGAAATTATTTCATTGTATATCAAGGAGAAATGTAGAGTTGAGGGATAACCTTCAGGTTCACTTTCATATCTAACACTTTACTAAGTTTTATATTAAAATTCTTTCATGTTGTTTAGCTATTATCATATTTAGTGCTGCTGTCACATCTTATTTCCTTTTTTTCTACACCATTACATAACCAGCTTTCATAGTAACTTGGCATGGTACAGTGATGCAAGTGATATGTTGTGACTTCTTGCTTTTTATTGAAAGTGTTGGTAGTTAGCATGGGATGGTGCGGGGAGATGGGGGATGAACAGCATGATTAAAGGGAGAGACTGGACAAGGGTGGGCAGCATTCAATAGTTTCCTAAATAGTTTTGTGTAAGTTTTAAATTGTACATGTGTATGTATTGTATATAGTTCTGCTTATTTAAAATATTATTTGACAGCCATAGAGATCTTCCAGCTGTATCATTAACCATAAAATAGTGAGAGATATTGAGGATTCAGAAAGCAAAGACTTATTGGGCTGCTGAAGTAGCCACTGAGTAATGATGTTAGGGTTTCATCATAGTAGAGCTATTGTACCTTCTTCCTTCTAAAAAGGACATGCCAGTGAAGCCACAGTTCTAGGTCCTGTTTGGTCACGAGAATAAACTTGGAGTCTACCTTGAATAGTGCTTGAGGACTGTTAGGTTCACCAGTTCAGAAACACTCAGTGTTCACTTATTAGATGCTGGGATTGTGTCAGTCTCTTGACAGTTTGTGTGGCTTGTACTTTGTGACAGGATATTGTGGCATTTGCACAGTTAATATTTGTGGTTTTTTAATTCATTTTGTTGATCATATTCTTAGGTTCATCAAGGCTTATAAGAAGTTTGGTCTCCCTCTTGAAAGGTAAGACCAATAATAGATCTGTCTCCTTTTTACTTTTCTTGTAGGTTTTTTTTTTTTTTTTTTTTTTTTTTTGAGGGGGGATGTAATGTTTTCCATTTGATACTAATACTGGGAACAGTTTTTCCACCTAAGAGAGACACTGTTAAAACATTAATATATCGGGTGCATGTCCTGTTTTGGAGAGGTGGCAGGTGGTGGCTATAGACTAACCATTCAGAAGTTTTGTCTGAATGAGGGATATGAGGTACATGCATACAGACTGCATGGTAAAGAGTAGTCCAGGAGGGATGCTCACAGGGCTCCATTTGACAATGCAGGCAGTTAGTTCTTTGATTTAGGAGTGTAAGAGAAAAATGTGTTCTTTGTGATTTCATGATCTAGTAACAGGATGTCATGAAGATAACATAAAGAGCTTGTGTTGTCTTGGCAGTACTACTGAAAATATGAGTTCCTGTTGATCAGAGTACACTTTTAGAGGTTGGGTTTTACAGGGTATCTGGATAATTCAAATATTTTAGTATCTTGCTTTATATGCAATCATCATGTACCCTTCAAATAAGAACACTGGTTTAAAGGATCTGTCAGATTTCTGTCTCTTGGAAACTTCTGGGTCTGGTAGATATCCCAAGTGTGTGCTTTGGTTTTGTCTTTCCACTGGGAGAGGAAGAATAAGATAGAGTGTAGTCCATTACCGTCAGGTACAGCATCTCTCAGGGACTGTTTGCATCCAAATGCAAAATTCTCATCTTTGAAGAAGCTAGTATAAAACCCGCTGGGTGTGGAAAAGTGAGTCTGTGAGTCTTTAGATAACCTGATTTTAGTCAGTGGGATTTATGCACTTGGTGTGACATAGAGCTGAACTGAATAATGGAGAAGCAATTATTTTATGCTTCTACCAGGATTGCAGTGGCTAGAAACAGGAGAAAAGAAAATGAACACAAAAAGGCAAACTAATGTGTGTATTCTTTAGGCACCTTACATGCTGAGAGTAGTAGACAGCTCATTTGTAGAGTAAAACAAGCTCAGATTCTTTCCTCAGTGATGTTAGGGTCGCTTTATTTTTGTGTTAGCCCAAGGTAATTCTTTTTTTGTTGTTTATCAAGATAGGGTTTGTCAGTGTAGTCTGTTCTGGAACTCACTCTGTAGACCAGGCTGGCCTCAAACTCAGAGATTCCCCCTCCCTCTGCCTTCCCAGTGCTGTGATTAAACGTGTGCATCACCACTGCACACCTTTTTTTACTATGCATACAGTGTTCTGCATGCATGGACACCTGCACACCAGAAGAATGTACCATATCTCATTATAGGTGGTTGTGAGCCACCATGGGTTGCTGGGAATTGGACTCAGGACCTCTAGAAGAGCAGCCAGTGCTCTTAACTTCTGAGCCATTTCTCCTGCCCCAAGGCAATTCTTGACAACTATGCCTTAGTTCTTGTTGGCCTTAGACTGACTCATACAGCAAGCTTCTTTCAAGATCAAGCACTTTTGAGACCTAGCAGTCTTCATATGATAGCAAAGTGGGCACAGTGTCTTGATTTTTGTCCTTTTCCAGGCTGGAGTGCATAGCACGTGATGCTGAGCTAGTGGATAAGTCTGTGGCAGACCTGAAACGCCTAGGGGAACTGATTCATAACAGCTGTGCGTCAGCAATGCAGGAATATGAAGAACAGCTGAAAGAAAATGCCAGCGAAGGTAAGTTGGCAAGTCTAATTCAGGGATTCTCCCATATCTGGTACTCATGGACTGGAATCTCTGTTATGGAGTTTTTGAAAACTTTATTTATAGCCCACATGTAGCTGGTACTTGCAGTTATGTGTTTTGAGTTGCCTTTCTGTGAGCTCAGTGTTGTAAGATCCCATTATGTATCTACTCTCAAATAATGTGGCTTTGCGAATGTGTGATGTGATAAACAAGATGAAATGTTTCTTTAATGCTGCTGTGAAAAGATTAAAGTTGGCTGAATGATGCAAAGAGCTGGTGGGTCAAAGTAGAGCAGACACCTGCATATTTTAGCTAGTTCCAGGATGGCAATAGTTATACAGAGAAACCCGGTCTCGAAAAACAAAAACAAAAAACAATAAAAAACAAAAAAGGGGATTTGCTGGATGCATTAATTCCTTTTCTGTAGCTGTGATAAAACACCATGATAGAAATCAATATACAAATCAATTTATTTTGGCTTATGGTTTCAGATAGTTTATAGTAGGTAGGCATGGTGGCTGCAACATGAAGTTGAGAGCTCATCTTCTCATATGTAAACCTGAAGCAGAGAAAGCAAACTGCAGGTAGAGCATGGCCATATAATTTCAAACTCCACTCCCAGTGACATATTTCCACCAGCAAGGCTATGCCAACCAAACCTTCCCAGTGTCACCAACTGGAGACCAAGAGTCCTAGATTGTGGGAACATTTCTCATTCAAACCACCATATTATATTCCCTGGCCCCTATACACTTGTTGCCATATTATAATGCAAACCTCTTTAGTCCAACCTCAGAAGTCCCCACAGTCTTCCATAGTCTTAACACTGTTTAAAGACCCAAAGTTGAACATCTGTTTTAAGACTCAAGGTAATTTGTTGATTGTAATCTCCTATAAAATAAAAAAGCAAGTTACATATATTTATCATACAAAGGAACAGTGTCATATCCTTGTATGACCTCAGGGATTGCTCTAAGTGGGGCCTTCAAGGTTATGAAGAAAAGACAGACACACAGAGACACAAAAGCTGAGAACAGGTAGACTAGGCTCTCTGATGGAGAAGCCACAGCACTGGAAGCTCAGAGTATGTTTATTATATACAGCTGAACCGGGAGGCAGGGTTATTGCATACAAACACAGAGGTGTGGCTTATGGTATACAGCTGAATCAAGGAGCTAATCTCAGTAGGGGAGCAGTCTTCAGGCCATACATATCCAGGAAGAAAAAGCTATGGTGGACATTTTCTGTACGTACTATCAGTATTCACACTCAGACCCATAGGAAGGCTTTGCCATTATTCTGAGCCTCATCTGGGGAAGGTTTACCATTCCCATGGGGCTGAAGCATTGGAGTCCTTAATATGGTCATGCTCATGTCAGTAGCACACACTCTTTCAGGACTTGATCTGCTCTCCACAGAGTAGAATATACATTACCATTCCAAAAGGGAGCAATGGGGGCATAGGAAATACTGGACCAAAGTAAGACCGAAACCCACCAGAGCAAACATCAAATCTTGAAGTTTCTGTGTTCCATATCAAAGGGTTTGAATGGCTCTCCTCCTCCATCTCTCTTTTGGGGTGGTTCCATTCTCTATATACGCTTGCCTACATAGTTGTCTCATGGCTCGGCATCTCCCGAATGTGTTGGGAGTCTCCATTACAATCCAGGATTCACTTTCACATGGTGGCTTCTCACAGCCTGGAAGGGGTTCCTCTTCCACATGTTGTCTTGTTTCAGTGGCTGTCCGAGATCATGGAGGAGGATGCCCTTCATCCTTTCATCCTCCATGCCTCTGAAGCCAGTACCACAGAGGACACTGTTAAGTTTGACTGCCAACTTAGGGTGGGCCCTCCTGTGTTTGAACCACATAAGCAGCAGCCTTTGTTTGCAGTTGCTTTCTAGGAGTAGAAAACTTCTCAGTTCTTTTCTTTTCACAAGTTGGATGTTTAGCTTGTGGGAGGGGGGTGTCTTGCCCTGAGACACCCTTCCCTTTGTTCCAGGGCAGAGCAGGCCTCTGCTGAATGGCACCAGTCTCTAACGATTATAGCCTTTAATTTAGCACATGCCTTGGCTGTAATGCTAAGCTTTTTGGTGCTCTTTTTCTCTCCAATAGAATATTTGTATTTTTCTGCCCAGTTGTTCTTTTTTATTACAGACCGGAATAAATGATGTCAATAATAACTATGCCTCAGCCTCAGTATTATTCAGTCTTGAAATAATATCTCGCCACCAAAGAAATTAGTTCATTACTTTTTTTTTTTTTTTAAGACCAGATCTCTCTATATAGTTCTGCCTGAAACTTGTTGTGTAGAGCAGGCTGTCCTCAACCCCCAAGAAAACTACCTGTCTGCCTCTGCCTTCCAGTGCTGGGATTAAAGGCCTGTGCCACTCTACCAGCTCATTACTTTTTAATCTATCCTTAGGCAAATTCTCAGGATAGGGTCAGAAGACAGTCAAATTCTTGCCAAAGCACCACACAAATGGCCTATAGTCCAGTTTCTAGTATTGGTCCCCTCTGGAACCTTCTGAGTTTGGTTTCCAAAGTCCACACTGCTTGCAGCACTATGTGTTCTGGACTCATACTAGATTAACAAATTAATTTCTCCTTATGCTGTGCAGTTGTTTGAAAGTCTTCCATATTTCTCTAAAAACTAACATGGTTCGGTTCTTCACAGCAGCAGCACATGTGCTGGTACTAATTTCTGTCCTAGTTTGCTTCTGTTGTGTGATAAAACACTGACCAAAAACAGTGGGGAGCTGGTTTTATTATAATTAGGGGAAATCAGGGAAGCAACTCAAGCAGGAGCAGAGGCAGGAGCCATGGAGGAACACTGTTTACTGGCTTGCTTTCCATGGCTTCTTCAGCCTTCTTTCTTATATAACCCAGGAAGCACGTGAGATGGAGGCCCAGGGCTGGTGCCATCCAAAGTGGGCTGGGCCCTCACACATCAATCACTAATCAAAAAAATGCTGTAGAGACAGGCCTACAGGTCAGTCTGATGGAGGTAACCCTTCACTTGATGTTCCCTCTTCCTCAATGTCTTCAGCATGTTTCATGGCAAAAATTAACCAACTTCCCAGTCTTTGGAAGAACAGAGAGAGTGGTTTGTAACTAGAGCACTAAATTCTCGGAGTTGAAACCATAGTAGGATGATTATGGAGAGCAGAGCACTAAAGTGGTTACTCTCAGAAATGCAGATGTCCTCATGGGTCCAGGGCCTTGTCTGTGTGTGTCACTTACCCCATTCTTTTCTTACTTTTTGCTCTGTAGCACTACCCTTTAACGACTCTCTCATGGGGCATTCAGGGTCAGAAGTCAGCTAACTGCCTGAAAGTCTGATTCTGCATTTTCTTAGTTATAATGAATACCCTCAGATAGATGTATGTATGTATGTATGTATGTATGTATGTATGTATGTATGTATGTATGTATGTATGTATGGTAACCAGAGTGTTGGATGACTAATAATTCCATACATTACAGTGATTATCTAGAGTATGGCTTACAGTGTTGGTTGTTCTTATTAGGTAAAGAAACAAGTATTTACTCTGAATTTTGCTTTTAAGGCTATTTTAGAAAATAGCAGAATTTAAAAAACATTTCAGATATAGTGAAGCCGTTTTAGTCTTTCTTTTTGTAAAGGAATGTGACAGTTTGAATGATTTGAATAGTGACGACTGTGCTTTCATAATATTCAAAGACACCTAGAAATAACTTTTTAAGTTCATATGTTTTTTTTTTTGTTGTTGTTGTTGTTGTTTTTTATTTTTTTGAGGCAGGGCTTCCTGTAGTGTAGGCTGCCTATGAGCTCACATGTAGCTAAGGTTGGCTCTTCTTCTAACTCGTAGTGCTGAGGTTTTAGGAGTGTACAACCATACCTGGTTTTATGCAGTGCTGGAGATCTGAGCCAGAGTTTCAAGCACAGTACCAGCTGAGAAATGAAAAATAATTGTTAAAAAAGAACAGCTATTGCTGTTTAATATCCTTTCAATGTTTTAAATTTCTTTGTTCACAAGTTCATGCAAGTATATAATGTACTTTGTCATCTTTACCCTCCTTACCCTCTCTCATTCCCCTTCCACTCCTGTTGACCCTTCTTCTGAACAAGTTCCTCTTGTACATCCAGAGTTATTTAATGACTTTGCATATCTTTTTGTCTTTAGTATACATGCCATTTGAAGTTGTTCCTTTCTGTGTGTGATTGTGTCATCAACTGAATTCAGACTTCTTCTCATCTCTGACTTTTAGAGATTACCTTTCTCATTTTGATTGAACCAGCTTCCTTTCCTGCCTTTCTTGACAGGGCCTTGCTTTGTAGCCATGGCTTGTCTGGTATTCACTGTAGCTCAAGCTGATGTCAGAAACCTGGTAGTCCTCTTGCTCAGCCTCCCCAGTGCTGCCATTGCAACAGTACCATGCCTGACTTAGTGTTGTTATTTTTTCAGTGATCTAAAAAAAAAAAAAAATTACATGAAAATGTTTCAAAGTCAAAACTATAGAACAAAAGTCATGTAGAGGAGGATCGTCATTTTCTGTCTGTGTTTGCTTCTTTTCTCTGAGGCCACTGTTCTTTGTTAATTTTGAATTTATTCTGTTGCTTGTTTTAAAAAAATCTAAGTGTGTGTATTTCTGTTCATATACAGAAGAGAATGCAGTTCACATTGTGTCCTGTACAGTAGGCCACGCCGATGTGGTCTTCTTCTTTTGCATTTCTTCTTTTCTGTCCCTTAGTTCTAAGTATTTGAATTATTCTGTTTTTGCCATGATCAAAAAGTAACAAGAAATAAATGTGCTCTACTAAATAGTCTTCTTAGTATCTCTGCCAGAATTTCTTTAAGACAGTTTTCTAGAAGTGGGATTGTAGGGTTCTAAGGTAAATGTATGGAGATTTTGTTTTGGTATCACTAGATTCTCCTGTGTACCAGCGGATGGTTGGTAGTGCCTGTTGGCAAGCTTCACAAACAGAATGTGGTGTTATTCTTTTGTTTGTTTGTTTGTGAGACAGGTTGTCTGTATGTAGAACAGGCTATCATGGGACTCACTGTGTACACCAGGATGTCCTGGAACTCACTTTGTAGATCAGGTTGTCCTGGAATTCACAGAGATCCCCCAGCTTCCACCTGCTAAGGGCTGTGATTAAAGACCTGTGCCACCACACCTGGTAAACATGTGGATTTTTGCTATCTTGATAGGCGAGAAAGAGGACCTCTTTGTGTGTGTGTGTGTGTGTGTGTGTGTGTGTGTATGAGGTTGTATCTTTTAAGATAGATGTTTATGTGTTGTGTTACTGCCGATACTCATTTTTTCTAATTTTTCTGCTGAGAGCCATTTTTGTTATTTCAAAAAAGTGGCATCTTGATTATCTGGTAGTTTTATTTTACTTGTAGATGAATTATGATTTCCAGATGCCACCTGTGACAGTCAGTCTTTATTATTTCAATTTGTTAGCTTTAACATGAGCTCATACTTTTCCACAAAGTAATAACTGAAGATAAATATGAGTCATCTAAACCACTTACTTTGAGTTTTTCTAAAAGTTAACATTAATATGTCTTTAGAGTCTTCTGTTAACTAAGTTTAAGACTCTAAATGTTAAAATATTGCTTAAAATTTATAAACATTAGTTGAAAACAGTTTCCCTTGTAAATTCTGTCTTTGACCTAATAATATGCAACCTCTCTCTCTAGAAGTTATAGAGAGAGGGACTAAGTCAGAGTGTGACAGTACAGATCTTTTACAGTTAAGGAATATAAAATTTGTATCGTTTAGGGAAAGGACCAGGCAAGAGAAGAGGCCCTACAATCAAAATCTCTGGGGTTCAGGTTAATGTGAAGTCCATTATCCAACACGAAGAAGAGTTTGAGATGCTGCATAAATCTATCCCTGTGGACCCTGAGGAAAAAAAAAAGTGAGTGTCTTTACCTTGTACCCTCATGGCTGGCTGGACATAGAATGAGGTCAGAGCTGCATGTGGTTGGGGATGCTTCTTCAACATGTTGGAAAGGCCCCCTTTTCTCAGGCCTTTGGTTTTGAACCCCTGTAGATACTGCTTAACCTGCCGGGTCAAAGCGGCACATTTTGATGTCGAGTGGGGCGTGGAGGATGATTCTCGTCTGTTGCTTGGGATCTATGAACATGGTTATGGAAATTGGGAGCTAATTAAGACAGACCCAGAGCTAAAGCTCACTGATAAAGTAAGTAACTGCCGTGCTGGACGTTTCTAGATTTGTTGTGTAAGATTTTTGTATTGGTGACTTATCTTTAACTGTCTTCAATGGGGGGGGGTTCTTTATCTTTGGGAAGTTAACATCTTTAGTGGACTGTGGCGTGTTTCCTAGATGATGATAAAAGGAAAGATGATGACCAGAGGAAATTATATAGGAGAAATCTTACAATTCTGGTATCTATTACAGGTCAATTCTCATTACAGCAAATACCAGATCAGTTTACTGGGACTGAAAGTACTCCTGGGCCTTCCTTATTGGCCTATTGTTTAACTTTTTTTTTTTTTTTCAGCTCTGTACACAGAGCATGAGTGAGTGTCACCTTGGTATTTTTTGTAATGAGATTGAACTTTGATTGTACTTCTCCCACAAAATTGAGCCTCCCACCCATCTCTTCCAAGTAGCAAGGCTATTCTTAGAGCTGTAGGAAAGGGCAGCTGACTGGATCCACTCCATGTTGTGGTCCTCTCAGGGCTTTGTCCTGGCACGTTAAACACTGCTCATCCCACCTGGGTTTAGGAGGGTGACAGCACCCTGCTTAGAAGCACTGAGACCAAATCCAGTCTGGCCAGAGTGGTCTAACTGTGGTAGATGAACAGACCATGTCCTGGCATAGCTCAGTGCTCTCCGGCAATGCTTTAAGAAGCATTTTCAATCTAAAACGAAGCTTTAACCTAGCTCCAGGGATTCCCTGCTCCTGGAAGGAGGAAATCCACGACGGCTGGGATGCTCTAGCAGATGAAGCCACAAGCCCCTCCTACCTGAGTTGTTCTACCCTGTTAACAGCACAGGTAGGAGCCAGTGGGAGAGCTGGATTTCTCCATCCCATTTTGTAAAACGAGAATGGCTCATGAGGGATTTTCAGTGACTGGGAGCCATGGACATGAGAATAGGATCTGAGGCTTTAATCTGTGTTTTGGGTGGTTGGGAGGGAAAGGACTGTGCTGAGTTCTTTGTTGTCTCTGTTTATCCGGATTCACTAACCAGGCTGTGGGTGGTGGCGGGTGCTTCTCTTCCTTTGCTGTTGAAGATTCTACCAGTGGAGACTGATAAAAAGCCTCAGGGGAAACAGCTGCAGACCCGAGTGGACTACTTGCTGAAGCTGCTCAGGAAGGGTCTGGAGAAGAAGGGCACTGTGACCAGTGGGGATGAGGTGAGTGAGTGAGTGCACTGCCAGGTGGCTTTCCCCAGGGGAGTCTGCGACTCTGCAGAGCTAAGGAGGACAAGAGATGACCTTTCCAGGTACTGCACAGCATCCTGAAAATGCTCTCATGGTCAGAGGTGGCTTTTGAGGTTGCTAAGAACAAAATGCTCAGTTAATAATTGAACTCAGTATCTTGGCACCTTTCTTACAATTCCACTTAAATACTGCAGCAGAGTATTATACATATCTTTGGACTGCCCATATTCTTTCCTATTCCGTGTCCTCAGTTGGGGACATATTTTGATATCTGCCTGGGCTGCTGTGATAATGGATTCCAGGAGTAGACAGTTGGATTCCATACTTAATTTCAGAAATTGGACTTCAGTTTTGATTATACTTGGCCCACTGAAAAATACCAAGTTGCTAATGAATTTGTTGGAAAGTTCTTTTCTTTATTTCCCCATGATAAGGCGTCATAGAAGACAGAATCTAAATCTGTTTGTACTTTGTGTGGATGTGTTGCTTACATGCTCCCTACCTGTGTCATGTATACATGTATGTATACAATAAATAGAACTTCCATTTGTTCTACACAGTGGTATTTTAAGTACATAGTACTATTCTGTAGATAGTATAGTGAGAATATAATTATATTAAGTTCTATAGAGGCAAGTTAGATCATGCTTATACTGCTTATTTGATTGACTAGATAATATCTTAACCTTTTCCTTAGTTTTAGATACCTAATTTTCAAGAGTTAATACTGTCCCCTTCAATGCTAATTATATTTTTATACATAAAATGTCTTAACCTTTTCTGGGAGTTTTACCTTCAGGGTGAATTCCAAAAATGAAATCAATATTTTCAATGAATACAGACATTTAAAGTAGTTTAGGCTAGGGAGAGGCTAGTAGGTGGTTTTGTTCAGTTTTATTTTCTTTCAGGTAGAATGGCTTGCACCTTTGTGTCCTAAGGTATCTTGTGGCTGTTACTGCATCAGTTGGCTAGAATATTTCTTGGTTGTGCTATTGGGTTGGGGGTGATTTGTATTTTTTCTTATTTTTATTTCCTAGACTAAACTAAAGAAGCGGAAGCCTCGAGTAAAGAAGGAAAACAAAGTTCCCAGGCCGAAGGATGAGCACGGGCTTGAGCTTTCGTCTCCTAGACACTCAGACAACCCGTCTGAAGAGGGAGAAGTGAAGGTATGGGACTTCATGAAGTCATGTGATGCATTTGTTTGCATACAGAATACATAAAATATCTTTATTTCACCTAATCTGTCAGAGGAAGGTAGTGTGTCTTAGTCACTGTTCTATTTCTGTGAAAGACACCATGACTAAGGCAACTCACATAAAAGAACGCATTTAATTTGGGGTTTGCTTACAGTTTCAGAGGCTTGGTCTATTATCACCATGGCATGGCAGCATGGTGCTGGAGAAGTGGCTGTGTATCTTCCTGATACACAAGCAGACATACACCACAACACACACAAACACACAACCACACACACACACACACACACCCACACACACACACACACACACACACACACACACACACACACACACACAAACACACACACAGAGTTGGGAGGGGGCAGTGCTTGTATGTGCTTTTGAAATGTCAAAGCCACCCTCAGTGGCACACTTTCTCCAACAAGGCCAGGTCTCCTATCAGATATGCCACTCCTGGTGACTAAGCACGCAAATATAGGAACCTATTAGGACCTTTCTTACTCAAACCACCACATAGTGGCTCATCTTAAGTAAGCAACTGCAAATTCTTACATAACTGTAGTAAACGATACAAACCATGATAAATGGCAGTTGGTAATTATTTCCATTTTAGAGGATGAGAGATTAGTAGAGACTGGTTAACCAGGTGACTTAAGACTTACATAATGCAGTTCAGTTAATTGGAGGTTCCCTTGAGGTTGGGCTCAGCCATTGGCTTGCCAATTTGTAGTCTATTCTGAAGAAAGTTGAACTACAATATTTTTCAGTGAGTGACAACTCTGTAAGATTTTATTTTATTGTTTTGAATGTAATTCTTTGATGATGGCCCCTAGGAGGGCCCCAGGAGGGCTCCAGGGGTTATAGGGACTAACATAGCTTCAGATGCATGTTCTCAAATTCAGGTACTAACAACCTTGTCAGTTACTAGCTGGCCATGGATATGTGTAGTGTTTTCCTCAATTTTTTCTGTTTGTAAAATGGGGACAATAATGCTATTGTTTTAGGGGAGGGGTGGTTCTGAGGATCTAAGTCAGGGCCTCATGCACACTTGGCTAAACTCCGTCCAGTCAATGCCTTAAAGAGTAGCTTTGAGAGTTAGAGGATGTAATGGTGTCTGCCTGGACAAGTCTAATAATAAGTCAGAATAATGCAAGTGAGTGCTGGTAGAGTCTGACTGAAAGAGATCTAAGTTCCTAAACAGTGATGAGCTTCCTTCAGAAACAAACTAAGAAGCAGAAGACTGAAAAAGTTCATGGTTTTCTGTTTCCTAGGATGATGGCTTAGAAAAAAGTCCAACGAAAAAAAAGCAGAAGAAGAAAGAAAACAAAGAGAACAAAGAGAAACCAGTGAGTTCTCGAAAGGACAGGGAAGGAGACAAAGAAAGGAAGAAGTCCAAGGACAAAAAAGAGAAGGTATCCAACATACTCGTCTTGGGAATGCTGTTTAGATTTTAAATAACACGAGGTACAAGCCCTGGGATAACTGTCCTTGAGTATATCCAGGAAGGAAGGTTGGGGATATGTAAGGAATCCCTGCACCCTCCATACAGGAAGGTGGAGATATGCAGTCCTGCTTTCCCAGTATAGAAGGCCTTTGTTTGATCTGTCATTGCATATTTGGGGAGGGGTATTTGGAATGAGACCGGACAAGTGAGAGATTATGTAGTATAGGTTCTTAGATTATAATATCAGAAGAATACAATCTATACACAATCAAGGTTATTTGAAGAGTTTAGGATTCAAATCAAATACCATATGTCATCAGCAGCCACTGGGATAGACTTGGCTAAAAAGCCTTACTGTTGGAGTTTTGTGAAGTTCATTATAAACTATAGAATTGATACAGTTTAGTTACATGCTTGGTGAAATGTGAAGAGAGACGTTTGTAATCAATCCTTAACTATTGCTCCAAGCAAGTCACAGCTATAATTCTGTCATTTATTGACACCTTGACTTTTTTTTTTTTAATTTAAAATTTAAAATTTTATGTGTATGGATATTTTGCTTGCATGTATGTATACCACATGTGTGCCTGAAGACGCCAAAAGAAGGCACTGGATCCCTTGGAATAGGTGGTTGTGAGCTGCCATGAGGTTGCTGGGACTGGAACTCGGGTCCTTATGAACAGCCAGTGTTCATAACCTGTGGGTCACTTCTCCGGCCCTCGACATCTTAACTTCTTGGGACTTTTGTAACTTTCCCCTCAGAATATGAGTATAAATATAAAAATACTGAATGGGCAGGGGTGAACACACCTTTAATCCCAGCGCTTCAGAGGCAGAGCCAGGCAGATCTCTGAGTTTGAGCCTGGTCTACAAATTTAGTTCCAGGACAGAAACCCTGTCTCAAACAAACAAACAAACAAACAACAAAATACATACATACGTATATACATACATATATACATACATACCAGCTCAGACCATTGGGCAACCTCTTTTCTCCACACAGTAGTATATTGCAAACTACCTTACCACCGAAGAACAGGTGGTAAGGTCATTTGTAGTAGACACAGCAGATTCTGTTTGGCTCTGTGTAGTGGAAGCCATTTAAGTTTCATACTAAAATTATTTTCCAGTTTTTAATGTTAGAAACTATACTGTGGGTGCTGGTTCAGTGGTTAAGAGCTGGGTTAAGTTACCAGGTCTCATAACCATCTGTAACTTTGTAACCAACAGTTCTTGGGGGATCTGTTGTCCTCTGTAGGCCTCTGTGGGTATTGCACACATGGTGGTACACGTAAAGTCAGAAAGGCACATCCACATAATAAAAACAAAAATAAAGAGAAACTATACTGTGATAAATTCTGTTTCTTTTTGTTTGTTTGGTTTTTTGGTTTGTTTGTTTGCTTTGTTGTTTGTTTCTTTTCTTTTTGAGGAAGGCTTTCACTACATAACCCTGGCTGGCCTAGAAATTAGAGATCCTCCTGCCTCTTATTTCTCTGTGTCCAGATTAAAGGCATATGCCACCACTTTGCATATTTACTTTGTTTCATGTTTAGTTTAAGAGGCTTTCCCCCTAGATTAATGCGTTTTGTATCTCATGAACATATTATGAATACGCAGATAACCTTCCTGATCGGATCACTCTTTCCTGTTTCTCTCGTCGTAACTACTACTATAAAGTTGATGTGACATCATGTTACCTGTGCTTTAAAATTTTTATTTTTATCTACTTAGTTTTTCAAGACAGGGTTTCTCTGTGTAGCTTTGGTTGTCCTGGAACTCACTGTGTAGATCAGGCTGGCCTTGAACACACTAGTTTTTATTTTAAGAATATTTATTTTTGTTTTATGTTTATGTGTGTGTGCCTGAGTGTATATATGAGAACACAAGCAGGCAGGAGCCTACAGAGGTGTCAGATCCCTGGAACTGGAAATAGAGACATTTGTGAGCCTCCCTGTAAGTGCTGGGAACCAAACCAGGATCCTCTGTAAGAGCAAGCTTTCTAACTGCTGAACCATTTCTCCAGGTACCCCATTTATGTTTTTAAATATTTCCTAATTTTGGTCTTCATGCATATTCCTCTTGACTTGCAGCCTTTACAGTTATGCAGTTAATACAGATTCCCAGATCAAAAGGTAGCTGTTAGAAAGGCTGCTGCATGATATTCTGGGGAGTTCTGTATGGATTCTTAGTCCCTTCATGACATTTTTATAAATTATATTAATAAACTTGAAGCTGTAATTAAGTACCTTTAAAGCCAGAAATAGGAAGAATTATAATTCAGCTATTAATCTCATAGGTTTGTATAAATTGAGGTCATCATATTTACTTGCTCTAGCAATGCCCCATAGGTAAGAAGTCTTGGATTGTAGGACTGGAGAGATCCTTAGTAGTTAAGAGCTTGCTGCTCTTGCAGAAGACCCAAGTTCAGTTCTCAGCACCCACACAGTGGTTCCAATGTCCTGTAACTCCAGTTCTTGGGGATCTGGTATCCTTTTATAGCCTCTGCAGATTCATGCACAGGTGTGGTACACATAAAATCTCATTCATGCCCACACATATATTCATAGAAACACCACTACCACCACCACTACCAAATAAAATAAAGCAAAACAAAAAGAAGTCTATGTAGATTTCAAGATTATATAAATGACAAGGACTGTTTGTAACTCTTTTGAAAGGTTAAAGGTGGTGATGCGAAGTCTTCAAGTAAATCAAAGCGATCTCAGGGTCCCGTCCACATTACAGCAGGAAGTGAACCTATTCCCATTGGGGAGGATGAAGATGATGATCTGGACCAGGAAACCTTCAGCATTGTAAGTCTTAAAATAGAGGATGCTGATGCTGGGCACAGTGCTGTGCTCTGCCCTTCACAGGCACATCCACAGAGCTTCCGTTGGTGTAAACATTAATTGGTGTGTTGTTTTGGAAGTATTGTTTATTATGTTTGCATACTGTATTTTGAACCAGATTAGTAGGATGTCTTGTATTCCTGTTTTTATAAGTGTATGTAGGCCTGCATGAGTTTGTATGTACCACACCTGTACAGGAACTTGCAGGGTTTAGAGGGTTTCTCAGAGGCATTTGAGAATCAATGTGCTGTATGGAAAATCAAAATGTGCTGTATGGGAAACACAACATTTAGAGACCCCATCTCAAAGTGAATTTTCCTGTTCTTTCTGTTTATAGGGAAAATAGTATTAGTGACTAAGTTGAATAATAATAGGGCCGATAGATAACTCCCTGGATCATCTTGGAGCTCTTAGGATAGGGTATAGAGGAGAAACAGTGGATACTGTGGAGGTCTACTAAGAAGGGAATCTGGTCCAGTCTGAAAGGCCTAAGGAGTGATGTCTGAATTGGGTTCTGAAGGGAGACTAAAAGATAGTGGGGGAAGAGTGGGAATGAATATGCCAAGGTGTCAGGAGCATGCATTTGAGGACCTGATGGTGGCTCCTGTGGCTAGAGTGGGGGATTGAGACAGGCCAGCTGCTTCCATGCTGTGGAGCTAAGAGTTGGACCAGGAAATACAGTTGTTTCTTCATGGAAGGATGGGGAGATGCTGCTCTCCTTTATGTGTTCCACAGCTCTCTGTTCTCTTTCCAAACGTGCACAAGGCAGGGCTCACTTCAACAACCCTTTCAGGCTAAAGAAAAGGCTGGCTTCTTTGAAATATGAAAATAGTCTTGACCTGGGCTGACAAAGGAGAGAATATTGAACCAGTTCTGTGAGGTCTTTTTACCTTTCTCTGTATAATCTAAAACATACTTGTACGCGTTTTTTGTTTTCTTTGTAGTTAAGTCAGTTTTCTTAATTTATTTTACGTGAACATTGTGTTTTGTATGAAGTTCACTTAGGTACTAGAAAAATATTGATAAATGAGTGAATTGATTAAATGAATGAATTGAATTCTCATCATTTCCCTGTTCTTCCTTAATCTGTTGGCTTATGAACAAAATAATATCTGCTGCTTCTGTGGTACTGCTTTCCTTTTTTTGTGTTACTGGGTTTTTTTTTGTTTTTTGGATTTTTTAAATAATTTATTTTAACTTTATTTTGTGTGACGGTGTCAGATCCCAGGGTACTGGAGTTATAGAGAGTTGTGAACTGACATGTGGGTGTTGGGAATTAAACCTGGGTCCTCTGGGAGAGCAGCCAGTGCTCTTAACTGTTGAGCCTTCTCTCAGCCCCCGTGTTATTGGGTTTTGAATCAAGGTTCTTGCTCATATTTAGCCACATATGTGGCTAAGTATGGTGGCCCATGTTTGTAACCCCACCACTGGAGACAGAGGCAGGAAGATTACAAACTCAAGGCCAATTTGGGCTCCATAGCAAGTTCCAGACTAGCTGGAGCTACATGGTAATTTATGTCTTCTTTAGAAATTATTTATGCATTTTTTAAAATTTTTACAGTCATTTGTATTTTCCAGTTGGTAGTGTTTTTTTTTTTTTTTTTTGGTTTTTCGAGACAGGGTTTCTCTGTGGCTTTGGAGCCTATCCTGGAACTAGCTCTTGTAGACCAGGCTGGTCTCGAACTCACAGAGATCTGCCTGCCTCTGCCTCCTGAGTGCTGGGATTAAAGGCGTGTGCCACCAACGCCCAGCTGTTTTTTTCTTTTTAATTCCATTTTAAAAATTGAAGTTAAACACTGAAAAATACCCCTGAGTTTCAAGCTGAGGAAATTACCACACAGTGTAGTGGTTTTGATTTTTCATTATTAAAAACTTGATGATCATGGTTTTCAGGTGAAGCCTATAATACTGTCTTACATTTGATCTTCTTAGTGGCCACAGCCCTCTTGCAGATGAGGAAACAACATTCAGAGAGGCTAAGTCAGGTATCAGAGGTCCTCACATAATCCCAAATATGGTGACGGCACTTATACCTCAGAGTTTCTATGTATCTGCACTTGTCCCATTCCACTGGTGTTACCCACTCCTATATTGATGTGTAGCATGAGGGTGGGGTGTGTTTTTGTGAATCTTGAGTGTGTGGACATAATAACTGAACTCTTTCCTGCAATGGCTCATTTTCTCTATTGGTCTGTTCCAGTGCAAAGAGAGGATGAGGCCAGTGAAAAAGGCACTGAAACAATTGGACAAACCTGACAAAGGACTCAATGTGCAAGAACAACTGGAACACACCAGGAACTGCCTGCTTAAAATTGGAGACCGTATAGCCGAGTGCCTTAAAGCATATTCAGACCAGGAGCACATCAAATTGTGGAGGAGGTAATCCACTTTGGCCTTGAATCTCCCCAGTTTCATTTGACAGTGTGCGGGTGTGCTCAGTTTTTTAAATAGATTGCATAGTCACCTAATAAATCTTTTGCCAACAAAATTTATTTGTTGACAGTATATCTGTAGGCTTTAACTTCTTTTTCATGAAATAAGCCTTTTTGTTAAGACCAGCCATCTGAGCCGGGTAGTGGTGGCGCACGCCTTTGATCCCAGCACTCGGGAGGCAGAGGCAGACGGATCTCTGTGAGTTCGAGACCAGCCTGGTCTACAAGAGCTAGTTCCAGGACAGCCTCTAAGGCCACAGAGAAACCCTCTCTTAAAAAAAAAAAAAGACCAGCCTTCTGATGTGGGAAGATTCTGCTATTAATGTAATTTATAAGAGGAAGATAATAATAGTAATGGACTTTCTGGCATATTCTCAGAATATTGCTTTAAACCCATAAGACATAGAAACTAGAGTAATACTTTACTCATCTCAAGTTAGTATTTATATATTATTATATCTACTATAAGAAATTGGTTGGTTCCATACTTAGTTACTTTTTCTATTACTGTGATACAACACCATGACCACAAGCAACTTGAGGAGGAGTTTATTTCAGTTTATGACTCTCAGGTCACAGTTCATTGCTGAGGGAAGTCAAGGTAAGCACTAAAGCAGGGCAGGAACCTGGATACCTGAACTGAAGCAGAGACCATGGAGGGGTGCTGCTTACTGGCTTGTTCCTCATGGTTTGCTCAGCCTGCTTTCTTGTAGAATCCAGGATCACTGGCCCAGGAGTGGCACTTCCTACAGTGGGCTGGGCCTTCTCATATATTCATCATCTATTAAGATAATGTAGGGGGGCTGGAGAGATGGCTCAGCAATTAAGAGCACTGACTGCTCTTCCTGAGGACCCAGGTTCAATTCCCAGTACCCACATGGTAGTACACAACTGTCTGTCTGTAACTCCAGTGCCAGGGACCCCAACACCCTCACACAGAGATACATGCAGGCAAAACACCAATGCACATAAAATAAAAATAACTAAATCAATGATTTTTTAAAAATGTATGACCGGCTTGCCAACAGGCCAGTCTGGTGAGGACTTTTTCCTCAACTGATGTTCTTTTTTCCCAAGCTGAATTAAAAGCTAGCAGTACACATGAAGTGCAACAAAGATTGAAGCATATGAACTTGGGGCTCTCCATTTTCATCTTCTTTAATTAAAGAACTGTAGTAGTAATTTAGATTAAGACATTATGACTTATATATGCATTAATTTATAAATGGGTTAGTATCCCTTGGCAGAGATGCTTAGAATCAGAAATAATTTAGATTTTGAAATACTCATAAACATAAATAATGATATGTCTTGGGAGGAGGAATCAAATCTTACACAAAATTCACCTTTATTTCATATAAACTTAATGTATTCTTGTACAGTGCATGTATCTTTTTAATTTTTTTGTACAATGTATTTATTGCATCTGCATTTTGACTATGACCCATCATATGAGGGTAAGAGAGTAACTTACCTCTTGAGACAACAGTCTTGGAATTTCCAAAAGGGATACTCAACCTGTATTCCCTTTAGATACTTGGAAGAAACAATAACTCTCTAAAGCAACTGTAATAATAGTCAAGATGGTGGTGCGGTTTTCTAATTGAGCCACTCAGGATGTTGAGGCAGAAGGATCAAAGATGAAGACCTTCATGGGCTATAGCTCGAGATCAGGGTTGAACTGGCCAACCTTGTGAGACTCAGTCTTAAAGGAAAAAGGAAGCCAGGCAGTGGTGGTGCACACCTTTAAACCCAGTACTCGGGAGGCAGAGGCAGGTGGACCTCTGTGAGTTTGAGTCTAGCCTGGTCTACAAAGCAAGTTCCAGGTCAGCCAGGACTGTTACACAGAGAAACCCTGTCTCGAAAAATAAAAAAATGGGTGGGGGTGGCTGTTGATGAAGCTTTATGCTGGAATATGTGCCTAGCATGTAGAAATTCCTGGCTTTAGTTCACAGTCCTAGAAGGGATTTTGAAAAGCTTATGCTAAATTTATTTCCATAATCTGTATTTACTTTGAGTCCATGTACTTTATGGTTAATGCATCTTTGTAGTCTATTTTAGTAAATTGGTTTTGAGTGGAAAGTAGGTTTTCCGAAGACCTCAGTATCATGATACTAATGATAATGTGCCACACGTCCCTGAGTACAAGACACAGTCACCTCTGTCCTCTTAACACTGTTTGCATTTAAGTTTTCTTTTTACCAGATGGGATGATAACAACAGGTCATCTTGGGGTTCCTCCTGTGTACTTGGATCTGTTGATGTTTAATTATCCCACCACAAGTTCATTAAAAGTCTTTGGTTTTTAAAAGTTCAAAAATAGTACAAGTTATGAATTCCATAGAAACTATTTATCTAAGAGGCATGGAAGCAGTTTTAAAGTTGTGTAAAGTAAGTGCCCCTTACAGGCTGGTGAGATGGCTTATCAGTAAGAGTACTGCTCTTCTTCCAGACGACCCAAGTTCAATTCCTGAATCCACATAGTGGCTTACAACCATCAAGAACTCTAGACCCTCTTCTAACCTCCACAGACACCAGACATGCACATAGTACACAGAGATACATTCAGACTAAACACCCATAAACATAAAATAATAAATAGAAATTAAAAAACAGAAAAGCACATGCCTGCAGAAGGGTAGCCAGGGAGGCTGGCTACCTTGAACTGTGACAAGCTAACCAGAAATGCTAAATGAGCATGGTCAGGGCTTCAGTAGAGGCTTGAAAGTGGATAGCTAGGGCACTGGGTATGTTTAGGGCTCAGAAGACTGTTGTTCTTTATAAGAGGTCTTAGTAAGCTAAGTGGCTCTCTACCTGACACTATGTTTACTCGTCAGTGGCCTAGCATAGCACAGCCATAGTGAAAGTGCTCACTGGAAAGCTTGGATGAGAAGAGACTTTTTTCTGATTCACCTTTACTTCCAGGGTATCTCTGTATAAATATCCATCTATGTGCCATTCCTATGCTATACAGCAATGCCATGCTAGGATAATGAGTTACGGAGAGTTTGAAGGAAGAGACTACAGGCCTTAGTGGTGACAACTGGGAAGAAAGCATGGCAGTGACACAGGTTACCAGTTGATTGATGGTCCCAGTGTGGGAGATAGTGGTAAAGATGGAGTGTGTGGCAGAGTCCTGAGTGTGGGGAAGGTAAAGGAAAGCTTGTGGAACTACAGATGTAGATTCTGGTATAGAAGTTAGGAGTTCCCAAAACTGTTGACAACCCAAATCTTAAGACTCAATGTCGGGCTCTTGACAGAAGCACATAATGATATATTACTGAGCAAAGACTAACTCACTATGTAGCCGCAGATCTAAGGATGACCTGAAAACCTCCCATGTGCTGGGATTACAGCATGAGCTTCTACACTTGGCTTAGTGCAAGGATCTGTTGAACATTTCACAGTAAAATTCAGTAGCTTGCCATCCATAAAGTAAAATCACTTTTTAGCTGGGACAGTGGTGCAGCCTTTAATCCCAGCACTGAAGAGGCAGAGGAAGACCAGCCTGGTCTACAGAGTGAGTTCCAGGACAGCCAGGGCTAAACAGAGAAACCCTATCTTAAACAAAACAACAAAATCACTTTTTAAATTGTATAATTTACTAGTACAATTTTTCTTTTAGGAACCTATGGATTTTTGTTTCCAAGTTTACAGAATTTGATGCACGAAAACTACATAAGTTATATAAGATGGCTCATAAGAAAAGATCTCAAGAGGAGGAGGTAAAATACAAATCCAGTCCTAATTTATACAAATGTTTTAAAGTAATTGCACATGAAATTCCCTTCTTTTTTTGTTTTTCACTGGGCTTGAAGTGATAAATATGTGGGGTTGTTGATGGTGGATAGGCCACTGACACTTTGGCTAGGTTTTACATGGTCTCAGTACAGACCAAACAGGGTGACAGAAACCACCGCAGGTCACAGAATTTGTCACCCGTGATCCAAACATAATTTCAAATAAAGTGATTATTCATTGTAGTAGCCATATATAGTTCCTAACATTCTCCATGGGTAGCTAGACAATGCGACTGTTTATTAGGTAAAATAGTCAATGCATTAGAGCCAAATAGAGTCTTAAAGTCCTGACAAGAATTTGTTACCCTGTGATCTCGTGACCTGGGTCACTTATTTTCTAGACCCCTTTCTTCTTACAGACTTTTTTTTTTTTTTTTTGTGGCTTGTAATGTGGCTAGTCATAAGTCCAGGATCATGGCATGTACTTGGTATCCATCCAGTTTCCTACATAGAAGAATCCAGATTGCTCACTCAAAGGAATAGACATTTGTAGTGCCCAGCAGTTGTTGCCTTTTCTTATGAGTAGGGAGATGGGTGTAAAGGTGACTTGGCTTCTGCTGTAGAGTCAATTCTGGTGCAGACAAACCCTCCTACAGATCTGCTACTTAGCCACATGGTCCATATCCAAATCAGCCATGGAGGAGCAATATTAAAAATTGTTCCACTTTTACTAGTGTGTCAGGCCCATGAATGCAGAGACTGTTTCTTATTTACTGTCTTTCCTGAGTATCTATAGTTGTGCCAGGACCAGCATGGGCACTTAGAAGAATTTGTAATGTGAACTTAATGCATTATTGACCTGGGAATTATATCCTCAAATTAGTTCATAATTTAATTTTACACTGAAGAATATAATGTAGTAGTAATAGGAATAATACAGTAATTATATTAGTGAAATTCTAAACATAATAAAAATTTACATATATATTTGTGTGTGTGTAGAGGGAGGGAGGGAGGGAGAGAGAGAGAGAGAGAGAGAGAGAGAGAGAGAGAGAGAGAGAGAGAGAGAGAACAAGATCACTGGAGTTTAAGAGTGAGCACTTAACCCATGATGCCCATGAACAACCTGCAGGAATCTGTGCTTTCCTCTCCTTCCATAATGTGTATCTCAGGGATCACACTCAGGCTTAGTGATGAGTGCCTTTACCCTTTGAGCCATCTCACTGGCTTCTAATCATTATAAAAATTCATCAAAGAATAATTAGGAAAGATTCCAGAGAAGAATAAAATAGTTGGGAAAGGCCCTGAGATAGAAGGGAAAATTGGGTTGAGAATCTAAAGTTGGGCACATAGTGGTGGAGGACTACATAGAAGCTCATGAAGTTGAGTGACAATCATATCAATATCCAACTATGGGGAGTATGTTATCTTAGTCTTGCTATAGGATAGTTATCTTGGTTAGGGTTACCAGTGCTGTGATAAAACACCATGAACAAAACAAAGTTGGGGAAGAAAGGGATTATTTGGCCTATGCTTCATCATTATTGTTCATCATCAAAGGAGGTTGGGACTCAAAACAGGGCAGGAAACAGGCAGGAGGGGATACAGAGACCATGGAGGAGTGCTGCTTATTGGCTTGCTCCTCCTGGTTTGCTCAGCTTGCTTTCTCATAGAACCCAGGACTGTCAGCTCAAGGACCCACTGTAGGCTGGGGCCTCCTGGCATTGAGGCTTGCCTACAGCCCTATCTTATGGAAGCTTTTCTCTATTAGGCTCCTCCTCGCAGATGACTAACCAGCACAGTAGTTCTTCAAAATTGGTCAGAAGAGTAGCACATATGCTTCTACGTCTAAGTGTTTAGTGTTAGTATTCAGGCATCTGTACTGACCTGCCCTCAGGATACACCCTTAGCTGCAGCCACTAAGAGCACTACCTGTGCACATTCACTATGTTCCCTTTTAAAAGGTTCCTGCCTACCTTCCATCTTTCTCTTTCTCTCTCTGCTTCTCTGCCTCTCTCTCCTTCTTTCCCTTTCCCTGTCTGCCTCTTTCTTCTTTTCTGTTACTCCTCTTCCCCTCTTCCCTCCCTCCTTTTCCCATTCACTTTCCCCCAATAAAAAGCCCCTCCACCCAAGCTCTGTTGCATGGTGTCTTTCTCTCTCACACCACTTTTTTAGATTACAACATTTAGTTTAAGGGAATAATCAAAGGTTAAAGCATGCTTATAATGGGAATGACTGCAGTGCAACAGTAATGGGAAGATTATGGTCATGTATTCTTAAATAGTAATCAAGCTGGATGTTGGTGGGGTGGCACATGCCTTTAGTCCCAGCACTAGGGAGGCAGAAGCAGGTGGATCTTTGTGAGTTTGAGGTCAGCCTGGTTTACAGAGTGAGTTCCAGGACAGGTTCCAAAGCAATACAGAGAAACCCTGTCTTGAAAAACCAAAAAAAATAAAAAATAAAAAGAGTAGTCGTCAAGTAGTCAAGCATTAAATGAAATGTGGTAGTATTAAAAATCATGCAGGGGAAGGTATTTTCAGTGTGCTAAATGAAGAAAGAACAGAACCAAATAATATCTGTTTTCTTTATGGACAAAAGACTTAGATATGGACCAAATTATTTATTAGTCATTTCCCTCATGGTTAGATTTTAAATCACTTTATACTTGTAAAAAGTTTTATTTTGAGACTTTTACTTGGATGAAGGAGTGATATAGCTGCAGGATCAGGTGTCTGTATAGCTTGAGGACTTTGGTATAGTAACTTCCCATTTGACAGGTGGTAGTTCTTTAGTTAGCTTTGGAAACTTAGCAGCCATGGTTTTGTGTGTATCCACAAGAGTCCTCAGAGTGCCAGCTGCCTGGCCACTTATCCGGGGATAGGCTGTGTACACCTGGAAATTAAGAGTATATTTCAGGGTGGGGGAGGGGTGCTCATTAGTGGAGGTTGGTTTTCTGCAGTAACCTAGTAGGTCAGAATCCACAGCTGGCTGACCCCCTATTAGGCTGTTGGAGCTGTGGAGCCTAGTGGAGTTCACAAGCAGTTTTGGTAAGAAGGTATTAGGTAGCAGCTCAAAAGTATAGAGGAACAAGATGGACCTGTTTAGGGAGATGAACGTTATTCTGCTCTCAGGAATTAAGCCTGGGGTCCTAAGCTCTTTGATTTCCTTTTACTCTGCCAGGAACAAAAGAAGAAAGATGATACGCTTGGTGGTAAGAAACCATTTCGACCAGAGGCCTCGGGCTCAAGCCGGGATTCTCTGATATCTCAGTCCCATACCTCACACAACCTTCATCCTCAGAAGCCTCATTTGCCTGCCTCCCATGGTCCACAGATGCATGGACATCCAAGAGATAACTACAGTCACCCCAACAAGAGACACTTTAGTAATGCAGGTAGGCCACTAGATAGCTGTTGAAGAGGTGTTAAAACACCCTAGTCATTTCACTTTCAAAGGACTTTGTACTTTCCTCAAGACCTTGTTGTCTGGACTTGGGTTTTGTTTTTGTTTTTTTAGATTTATTTATTATATATACAGTATTTTGCCTACATGTATGCCTGAAGGCTAGAAGAGGGTACCGGATCTCATTATAGATGGTTATGAGCCACCATGTAGTTGCTGGGAATTGAACTCAGGACCTCTAGAAGGGCAGCCTGTGCTCTTAACTGCTGAGCCATGACTCCCATCCTGTACTTACTTGGTTTTTAGAAGACAGGAAATAAAGATCTAGAAGATTAAGGGCCAGCTCTAAGTTAAGGGGACTACAGGAACTATAAAAGGTAATGGGCAGACTTAGAGAACAACTTGCATTCTATGTGTAAGAATGGTTACTAATTAAGAAAATGCCCTAGAGGCTTGCCTAGGTGTCTAAAGTGGGCATTTAAAACTACTAACATTGAGTTGGTGACAAAAAGATGACGAAATAGAAAAAACAAGCCCTGGACAGTCAACAGTGAAGAAGCAGCCTGTATTAATGAGAGAATGTTCAGAAACTGTACATCTGATAAATAGAAGGGACTGATAAATAGGAAAAGGGTCTAAATAGACATTTCTCAAAAGATAGTGATGAACTCTGAGACGCCCCAAATTAAGTTATAGGCCAGACAGGAGAGGGCTTTGGGTAGAGGAAGATGATTTTATCTCCAGACAGGGAGGGGCCGAGATAAAGGAAGATGATTTTAACTCAGCTTCAAGCTAGAATCTTGTGATCCGTAGTCAGACTCGTTTGCCATTGCACCACTGGCCCACCTTCAGAGCTTAAAATAAATCAAGAGAGGAGTGCACCCATTCTTTGCTGAGTGTTGAAGATTACTCATAGAGCCACACTGCATTTTGCTTTTGGAACCAACTGGATAGGATATAGCAGAAACTTCCTTTATGGACTAATGTATCCAAGATGTTGCCATCTGTATCACCCTGAATCTTTTTCAGTAAACAATGAAGCTTTGTTTTTTTAAAAAAAAAATATATGATCTAACGTTTTCACTATAATAGACCCTAGCCTTAGGTTCAGTAGACATTTTCTCAGCTGCTATAGAGTCATGCTGCTGGTGGCTCCGGGACTTTAACCTGTGGCCTGTCCTTTGACCTTTAGATAGGCATCTGAACCTCAATAAACCCTTTATTTCAGAGACCAGTTAGTCCCAAGTTTAATAAAGGTGTACAAATGGCCAATAGGTATATAGAAAAGCACTCAGCATTATGGGTCACAGTGTGACATCACTTTATACCTGTTAGTTGTTTTCAAAGCAACACAGTGTTGGCAAGGATATGGAGAAAAGCCGCCTTTGCCAGTGTTCTTAGATTAATATAGCCATTATATAAAACACAAGTAGGGATTCCTTAAAGCATTAAATATAGAACTCTCATATGACCCACAAACTGAGTGTATGCATCTCATGCTGAAGAGGTATTGGAACTTGAAGGTTTATTAATGCCAAATACTTATAAGAGCTAGCACATGGAATCAACCTAAGTGTCCATTAATAGGGAGTGGAAAAAGAAAACATGGCACATGTACACAAAAGAATATTAATTTCTTATTAGAAGTGAACCTGTCACTTGTGGCAGTATGGATAAGTTAAGAGTTGTCAGATGGTGCAGAAAGACAAATACTACATGATTTCTTCTGTGTGTAGAACCTAACAAAGTTGCACTTAGAGAATCAGAGGGGATCAGTGGTTATAATCAGAGGGAAGCTGGGAATAAGAGGCGGAGGAAATTCTCGTTAAGGGATACCATAGTTAGGAGAAAGATGTTGGAGAGATAAACTGTATAAAATGGTGACTCTAGTTAATAGCAAGATATTAATTAGCATAATATAGTTAATAGAACAAAACCATCGGGAGGTTTTAAATGTTCTTTAAACACAAAAAACATGTAAACTCAGTTAGCCATTGCATAGTTAACATGTATTTTAAGACAACCACAAAATAAGTATATATAATTTTTGTTAATTTAAAAAACTTGAAATTTAAATTTTTGAAGCAAACCTTAATAAAGAAAAAGGAAAGTAGATTGAGTTAAATTCTGGAGATTTGGAGATTTGTTTAGGAAAAAAGAGAAATGTCCAGGCAAGGCATACTCCCTTTAATCCCAGCACTTGGGAGACAGGAACATCTCTGTGAGTTCAAGGCCAGCCTGGTTTACAAAGTGTGTTCTAGGTCAGCCAGAAATACACAAGAGAGAGACTCCCCCTCTTTCAAAAAAAAAAAAAAAAAAAAAAAAGAAAAAGAAAGAAAGAAAGAAAGAAAAATATGGAAATAAAACTCAAGGTGAGTGTGTCTGTAGCCCTAGAACTAGAGAGGCTAAAGCAGGAGAGTTCAGAGTTCAAGGTCAGCCTGCAGTGTGTATACTATTTCCTCAAGCTGGGTGGTGAGTTCAAGGCCAGCCTGGTCTACAGAGCAAGTTACAGGACAGCCAGGGCTATACAGAGAAACCCTGTCTTGAACCCCCATCTCCCAAAAACTGAAAACCCAAAACAGATTTCCTCAAAACTTCAATACAGCTATGTGTTGTTTTTTAAAAAAGATATAGATTAAGGATTGGGGGATTCATAAAGAAAAGTAAAATTGTCCATATGTTAAAATGACCATGACCACCCCTGCCATTCAGGAAGTGTTAAGGCAGAGAGTTACCAAAAGTTTTCACTTGTTCTGATCAGCAGTAATTAAAGGGATAAATGCACACTAGTTAGTAAGGATAGGAATTGATCTAGTCCTTTTTAGAAAATAATTTGAGATGAATAAATGTATAGTCCCTGCGACCACAGTTCTCTCTTGTATGGATGTCTGTTCTGTAGAATGAGGACACATAGCCATGTGAGGGTGCTGTTTAAATATTACATGGGCAAAAGGCTAGAAGAACTTGAATGTCCACTAATTAGCAGAATGGTAAAATGAGTATTAGGATATCTGTACTCAATACCATCCACCAGTATAAAAAATTGGCTAGACCAGCCATTATTCATTTGCTGGTAATATCAGCGCTTGGGAAGCAGAGGCAGGAGCACTGGCTGCTCTTCCAGAGGACCTGGTTCAATTCCCAGCACCCAGATGGTGACTCACAGCCATCTGCAATTCCAGTCCTAGAGAATCTAATTCCTTCTTCTGGCCTCTATATGCACTGTATGCATGTGGTGCACAGATATCCATCCTGGCAAAAACTCTCACAGATGTAAAAGAGAAATAAATAAAATTGAAAAAAAAAAAAAAGGGAAGTCCACAAGGGAAATAATAAGAACCAAACAATAATCATGTTGTATTTTTACAATAATCATATTGTATTAAAAATCTATGTTTGCTGGGCAGTGGTGGCACATGTCTGTAATCCCAGCACTCCGGAGGCAGAGGCAGGCGGATCTCTGTGAGTTCAAGGCCAGCCTGCTCTACAAGAGCTAGTTCCAGGACATCCTCCAAAGCCACAGAGAAGCCCTATCTCAAAAAACAAACAAAATCCATGTTTATATTTCTAAATTTACTGAGGTGAAATTCCTACAACATAAAGGTAAGCAGTTGTAGGTGAATCATCCAGTGGTGTTTGTACATTTAAAGTTCTGCCTCCTTCCTCAATTTCTCTATTACCACAGATAGAACTTCTATACCTATTCCCCGTCTTCTCTCTTTCTAGCTATCTGTATTTTACCCCCTGTAAATTAACTTATTCTGAATACTTCATGTCAGTGGAATATACAGTATGCTACTTCTTGTGACCGACTTAGCGAAATGATTTCAAAGTTCATCTTAGTTCTAGTGTAAATCAATACTTAATTCCTTTTTATGGAAGGGGAGTATTCCACTTAATGGATATACCATGCTTTTTCATTCATCAATGAACATTAGTTTCTCCTTTTTATTGTTAGGAATAGTATTAATATAAACATTTATATCTGTCTAAAAAGAGGGCTCTAAACCTAATACAAAACTATATTCAATGAGAACAAGTGTCAAGTATTGTTCAAGAGAAAGAAAAGGTAAAAAACCTACACAAAATTAGAACTAGAACCAACAAGAACACCATTAAGCAAGAAACACACACTAAATGTCCAGGCTATAGGTAATTGGCAAACAATAGAGATTATTCCAACAGCTGTCCTATCCTGAGGAGTCTAAGCTTTGTACCTAAAATGCCTTAGCTAAGCTATGAGAAGATAGTAGCGGAGACTGTCTAGTCTTCAACCCTGTCAAAGACCTGAGAAGGAAAATAATATTACCTGAGTAAATAGGAAGTGCAAGTGGGCGACTTCCAAAAGGTACAAGAAATGACAGAAACAGTTGGCTACCTAGACAGTCACCCAAGGTCTCACAGTAATGTTGGGGCAACCAACTTTGGCTAAGACCTAGAATATATGGTCTGACAGACCATTTTCAGAAGCAGGAAGATTCAAAAGACTTTCCTACCCTATCTTTGCAAGGTTTAGCAGTCCCTTTAGCTTGTATCTTGCTTGTCCAGTTTGGACAGCATGCCTACTGTCAATGGTTGGGGCAAGGATATTTCTTTGTCCAGTAGGCCAGACTTGCCAAGAAGAAAACAAACTCCAAATGGAGTGTCTCTGGTGTGCCAAAATGTAATGGATGATTGTAATAGAGTCCACAAGAGCCTAGAATAAAGAGAAGTCAGGTATTTATTGGGGAGTCACTTGCTAATGACAAGGTAGAGAAATGCCGGGTCTTCCTCTCAGAGGTCATGGAAGCTGCGATCTGATCTACTACCACTTCCTCAGAGAGAGAACACGATTCTGCCCTCCTTATCCGTTCACATGTAGCATCTGAGACCATACCTTAATAAGCTGGTACCCCAAAGGCTATTGGCTGAATGCGTTCCTGTAACATATATCCATATATTTGCTGGAAGACCTATTTGTAATTATTTTAGCTAGTTGCATGGGGATGGGGTTGCTGGTTATATTGTAACTGTCTTGACTTTCTAAGGGACCAAGGACTGCCTCCCTTATACATACTTAAGTACTTGTATGATTTCATATAAGCCTGGACATTAGTAACTTTTCTTATATTATTGGGAATAGAGGGGACACTGTTTGAATTTAGTGGTTATTCATTCTATTGCTTAAAATAAGCAAAGATTATTTTTAGAGACAGAAGAATAAAAGGAAAAATATGGAACAAGAATTAACGCATATACAAAGTATAGAAGCATAGTATAAGATTTATCTTACAGATTCAATTTTCCTACAGTAATCAAGATGAAGTATATTTCTTTCTAAACTTTTATTCTAGAATTCCGTTTGTACATACACACATAACACACAGTGGATTTCATGTTTGAGACTACATAACAAGGTATTATCTCAAAAAGTGCTCTTACTTCTGTAAATTTTTATACACTAAAATTATGTCTGGGCACACGCCTTTAATCCCAGCACTTGGGAGGCAGAGGCAGGCGGATCTCTGTGAGTTCAAGGCCAGCCTGGTCTCCAGAGCAAGTGAAAAAAAAAATTATGTCTGGGGCTGGAGAGATAGCTCAGGGGTTAAAAGCTCTGGTTGTTCTTCCAGAGGACTGGGGTTCAGTTCAACAGATTGTGCGTGCTTTAGACTTTTGTAAAAACTTTAAGATTTTTTAAAAAAGAAAATTTATTTTCGTTTCTCTTACATCATTCTCTGTTACTTCAATGTGGCAATGCACACCTTTAATCCCAGCACTTGTGAGGCAGAGTAAGGCAGACCTCTGTGAGTTCAAGGCCAGCCTGGTTTCTACACGGTTCTAGGCTAGCCAAAGCTATATAATAAGACCTAACTAAAAAAGTATTAAATTAATTACTGTTACTTGGGGATTTATTTATTTTTTATTTTATGTGTATGAATGTTTTGTTTGCATGTATACCTGTGCACCATGTGCATGCCTGATGTCCACAGAGGTTAGAGCCCCTAGAATTGGAGTTATAGATGGTTGTAAGCTTCCATGTGGGTGTTGGGAACTGAACTGGGTCCTCTGTAAGAGCAGCCAGTGCTCTTAACCTCTGAACCATCTCTCCTGTCCCAGTTATAGTTATTTAAAACCAATTGTTCATTAACTTCCTCAATGTCAAAACCATTTCTTTGTGTTATTTCCCATTATATGCTTTTTTTTTCTTTTGATTTTTAGTCTCATGTTCTTTGGTTATTTTTCCCCTAGTAGGTGGCATGTTGCCTTAAAACTTGTTGAAGCTTTAGCTGGTGTTCCTAGACGAGGAGGTGGTGCCCTGGCTTACCTGTCCTGGGTTCAGCCCTTCTTTCAAGTACTCCTTGTGTTCTAAGGAAGAAAGGTCTTTAGTTAGAGAGGTTTTTCAGAAGCTGGACACAACTTGTATCAAGGTTGAAGCTCCTTTAGCTGTGTAGGTGATGGCATCCCTGTGAAACAGCAGTATCACTTTCCAAATTCCCTTTGGAGTTCTTGAGTGCATCTCATTTCAGGGGTCTTCTGCATATGGAGGCAAGTAAGAATGAAACATGGAAGCCGTAGTTTGGAAGATCTTAGAAGGGACAGAGGTGATAGATTTTCTCTGGTGGCAGCAGAGAAAACGTTAGGACTCATTCATTATTCGTGTTAGCAATAGCAATAAAGCTGAGGAGGCAATGATTATCTCTTCTAACGTGTCAGTCTTAAGTAAATTCTGCCATGTGCTGTAGTTATGAAGCAATTCTCTTCTTGCAGATCGAGGAGACTGGCAGAGGGAAAGAAAGTTCAACTATGGCGGTGGTAACAATGCCCCCTGGGGCAGTGACCGACACCATCAGTATGAGCAGCACTGGTACAAGGATCACCATTATGGTGACCGGAGACATATGGACGCCCACCGTTCTGGAAGCTACCGACCTAATAACATGTCCAGAAAGAGACAGTATGAGCAGTACAGCAGCGACCGAGACCACCGGGGACACAGAGACTATTATGACAGGTGTGTAGACAGAGTGAAAGGCCAGGTCCTGACCTGACCAGACCTGCTTATGGGAGAAAGGATGGTGATGCTTATACAGGTTTGTCGGTCTACTGCATACTGAACATCTTGCATGTATCAGTTATAAATCCCATATCTCTGCTATCAGGATAGCTTCGGTATGCTGGAATGTGTATGAGTATTTAGCCTTCATGTGCCTATGTATACCATATGTGGGCCTGGTATTTGGGAGTTCAAAGATGGTGTTGATCTCTGGACCTGGGATATAGAAGATTGTGAGCTGCCATGTGGGTGCTGAGAGCTGAATCCAGTTTCTCTACAAGGGCAGCAAGTGCTCTTCACACCAGAGCCATTTTCCTAGCCCAACACCCCTTAAAAAAGTACGACTTTGTTCTTGGAGAATTTTATATATGCATATAATATGTAATTTTGGTCATTTCACCCCACTACTCTCTCTCATCCCTCTCTGCATGTTGCTGCGATCCTTCTCCCATCAGGCCTCCCTTCTACCCTGATGTCTTCTGTTGTGATCCAGTGAGCTTTCTTGTAGTTGCTGCATGAATGGGGTTGTGTGTTATTTATAGCATGGACAACTTACGAGTGGCTGCATCACTAGAGAGAATGACAACTGCTCTCCCAAAAACCTTTTTGTGTCTTTATTTTTAAATTAGCATAAAATGTGGTCGATATGATCATGACATTTCTGAACAGTGTTTTTGTGGTTCTCCTTACCCGTCTCCCTCCCATCCTCCCCCCTTATCCCTGTTCTCCCCCGTAACTCCCTCCCAGATGCTTTTCCTTTCCCATGTCCCATGTGTCCTTTTGAGCCCGTACTTGCTTATCACCTAAGATATCCTCTTTTGGTTTCCTTTCTAGATTTGTAGATTTTTCCTGTGCTTAAACCTGTTTACATATACACATGTATACATTATAGGCTAGTATCCATGTGTGAGGGAGAACATTTGGTTCTTATCTTTGAGTTTGAGTTACATTGTGTAGTATCATACTTTCCAGATCCATCCATGTTCCTGCAGATTTCAGAGAGGCACTGTTAGGCGGATCTCTGAGACTTACTAGCCAGCCAGACAAGCCTAATCAGTGAGAGATCTTGTCTCAAAAAAACAAGGTCATGGCAGTGAGATGTTTTAACTGGTAAAGATGCTTACAGCCAACCCTGATGACCTGAGTTCAGTTTGCACACATATGGAAGCATGTATGTGCACATATATGTGCACTCAGGCACACAAAATTAATAGATGAATAAGTTAATGTAATGGTATTTCTTGAAAAGGTGAGTGGTGCCTGAGGCTTGCCTCTGTCCTCCATATTGATGTGCATACACACCTGAACATGTGTGCATACATACATATACATGTGAATACACACACAATGTAGAGTCAATGGTAGTAGTTCCTAATGTGACCCTCACCCTTATTAGGCAGCAGGGATTCTGAGGTGGGTACCAACCCATGGTCCTTGCTTACCTGGATCCAGTAATTGAAGTCAGAGCCTTTTGAAGTTGTACCTTCTCTTTGGCCATACAGTGCCATTAGTAGGGTGATAAGCCAGTTTCACATTGTGAATTGGCAAGTGTGGGAAGAACACTATGTTTTGCCAGACTTTAATTCAGAATCTGGCTATTGGTTGAACTTCCTAGCAACTGTGGTCTTCCCCAGGCTGATGTTATCCTTTATGTTTAGACTGTACTGTGAGTTTAAACTGGGGCAAAGTTTCATACATCATCTCAGTGTCCTGCTATTGCTTTGGAAGATGCACAAAGATGAGTAACAGTGGCCTGCACTAGCCACCTCTGATGAAGGAGCCTCCACACTCCCTGCCATCCTCTCTTCTGGCTCCTTGTATCGGGCTGCATTTTGTCCCTTTCCTTCTGTTTTACTGAGGCTGCTCTATGAAAGGTGTTCATTTTAAAGGGTATTTTTGCCAAGTATAAAGTTTTAGATTGCTGGTTTCAGTACTTTCAGCTACTCCTCCATTGTCAGCTTGTGTGGTTCTGACAAAAAGAAAGGCCTTTGTTCTCCTTTTTCCTCTTTATAGACTGTTATCATTTCAGTCCCTGATTATGTTGTATGTCATATGTATTATATGCTATGTATTATATCTGCCTGCCTGCTTGCTCTCCCTGCCTCCATACCTTTCTGGTACAGAGATTAAACCCAGGGCTTTGAATGTACTACTAAGCAAATGCTGTGGCACTTAGCTGCCTCCCAGCCTTGGCAGATATTTCTTTGTGTTTCTTGTATTTGGGAATTATTCAGCTTCTTGGATATGTAGGGTGATTGACCCATAAATTTGGAAGATTTTCAATATTTTTCAAGTATTGTCATCTTCTATTGTTGCCCCTCCTTTGGAAATTCAAATTGTACTTACTATTATCATGGTGTACTGGATAGACTCAGAATTGTTTCAGATCCTTACTGCTAACTATTTCATTTGAATCAGTTTCAGTTGATTAGTTTATCTCATTATGTATCCTATTCTTGTGGTACTATTCCTTCTCTATGGTAGTCCCCTTCATGCCATAATTTGGAGGTTAGGTCTTTAATGGAAACTCAAACTCTGCCATGTTCTGCTCATATTTTCTTTGACAGCTTTCTCATAGACTTTTACCGAGTAACCAGTTCCTCTATCTTCTATCCTGGCATGTTTTTGATGTGATCCTTTCTGTTGTGGTTTTCCACTGAGGAATTTAATTGGCTTGTTGAGTTTTCATTTCCAGTATCATTTCAGTTTGAATTTCCTTCAATTCAAACTCCGTTTTCATATTTTGGATTGGCTTTCTCATCCATTCATCGTTGTCTTTGAGTTGTTTGCCTGTAGTGAAATCATTCTTTTAAATTTTTTGTCTTCTAGGTCGTTTTCATTAGGAATCATTACTATAGATTTGTGGTTTCTGGAGACATGTTGCTTATTTATTTTTGTATGTTTTGGGTTTTTGTTGTTATGGCTGTGTTGGGGGTCTGTCTATCTGTAGTTTTGGTTGAGTTTTTCTTTTTTGTTCAAGTCACCTTTCTTTTAGTAGAGGAATTTACATTGCTCAGGATTCATAGCAGCATTGAGAGTGAAGCATCCCATCTTTGTCTTGTATTTGATGCTGCAGCCTCCATTTCAGGCCTTTTGCTTGTCTGCTACAGCCTGGTACCTTCAGTCTTGGTCAGGAACTTGGAACAAGTATCCCCTGGCAGAGTGGACTATTCCTGGCTCTAAAGGCCAGATAGGACAACTGGAGGGTCCCAGTCAGACAGCTGGTAGGACTCTGGGTCTCTGGGCCATGTGGGATATGAGTGTCCCTGGTGGGGAGTGGCTTGGGAGCTGGTGAGTTTGGAGAGAAAGGTGGCCAGGAGGAGTTGGCAGTCCTTTGCAAGCAGCTGCCAGGCTTAGGCAACTTGTATGGTGGGGGTCTAGTTGTGTAGGTAAGGCTGACTTATGTGTGGTGGCTACAGAGTCCCTGGTGGGTGAGTCAGTGTATATAATAATTTTAGACAACCTTAATGCTGACTATCTAGGTTAATTCTGGGTTTTGGTACTATTAATAATTTACAAGTAGTTTCTGTGTATTTTTCTCTCCTTAGTATGGTGAAGAAATATGAAAACGTTAGATGTATTTTCCTGAAGGGAGAGTGATTTCACAAAGCTGTCAGTGATTATCCATGTGTGTCCACATGTTACTGCAGCTCTGAAGAGTGCACATCATGTCATAGGATGCCTTTTGCCAATGTGTGTGAAACAACTGGCCGTTTTCATCCCACTCCCTGTTCTCATCTCTGGGCGGCTCCACAGCTGGTCTTTTACTCTCTATCTTTCCCAGTCGAGTGATGGTTTCCCCCAGTCAGAGGCTCTGTGTGTGTGTGTGTGTGTGTGTGTGTGTGTGTGTGTGTGTGTGGGTTTACTGGTGATATAAACATTTGTCTCTGGTCCATGAAATGCCAGCAGAAGATGGAGAGGTGTTAAGAGTTTGGGTTTGCTCTTTCAGCTGATCGATGCATCTCTCTTTCAGGCACCATCATGACTCTAAGCGAAGGAGATCAGATGATTTTAGGCCCCAGAATTACCACCAGCAGGATTTCCGACGAATGTCTGACCACCGACCCACGATGGGTTATCACGGCCAGGGACCCTCAGACCATTACCGCTCTTTCCACACAGACAAGTTGGGGGAATATAAACAGCCCCTGCCCTCATTGCACACTGCAGTCTCAGACCCTCGCTCACCCCCTTCCCAGAAATCTCCCCATGATTCCAAGTCACCCTTAGATCACAGATCTCCTTTGGAGAGATCACTAGAACAGAAAAACAACCCAGATTATAACTGGAATGTTCGGAAAACATAAAGGACAACTCCGAAACGGGAGAGATCACATGAGTCATCAAGCACTTGGACGTTTTGGTCTGGTCCAGCAGTGGCCAGTGGTCAGGCTGGTGAGCAGAGGTTTTAGATACGCGGCTGCTGAATCTACTAACTGGCAGCTGAAGGAGCACTTCAAGGAGTTGGAAGCCTTCGTCTGCTGCTTTGGTTTGGTCTCCACTCCTGCACTTTGGCACCCCATCCCATCCTAGCCCATTGTGGCTTCCCACCTCCGTGGGTGCTAGGAGGAAGAGGTGACTTTATGTACCAGCTTCATTGGGCTGCTTCCCCTGTGAAGGAATCGGGGATGTTGAGAGGCAATGAATGTTGAATTCAGCATGAGTGACCAGGGCAAGGACCTGCTGGACAGTGTGTGATTGGTTCACTATGATATGAGGGATGCTGCTGATGGGATGTGGGAGGTCACAGGGTGGGTTTCACACTGCTAGACTTGAAAGGGGAACGGGTAAACCCCTCAGATGTGTTCTTGGGAGAATTGATACACTTGGTCTCATTATGTGACATGGGGTGGGGATGAAGACACAGGAAATAACTTCTACCATGGCCTCCTCCCTGCCAACACTAATTTTTCCCATACTATCTTTGTACATTTCAAAGGTTTGATCTTCTGGTGGAGTCCGTTTTCCCTCTTTGTCAGGGGAAGTTGGATCCCTCTGGCTGATTTTAGAATACTGTGACTTTGGCGTCATCGATGCCAGCATGGGAGTTTGGTGTCATTGATGCCAGCGTGGGTCTTACTTGTTTGGGGAATGGGTTGTGTTGGTGTAGGGGTAGAGATGGGGGGGTTGGGGTGGTGTAAGCAGGAAATAGGAATCCCTGGTGGGTTTCTGATTCCTGTGTTGAGAAGGGAAGTCACAGGTCCTGGAGATGGAAATGGAGGTGGCCTGCTAATGAGATGCCTGCTGGTGAGCCCAGTTGCAGATTGGGGTGGGAGGTGGATTCCTAATGTGGGCATTGGTAGTGCCAGCCAGCAGGGAGCTTTCAGTATTGCAATGCGTCAGTGAATGTAGTTGCATCTTAGTTCCTTTACACAGCGGGAAGAGGCAGGCTATACAGACCCAAACATCTGGACAGTTGAGGTGTAGTCAGGTGACAATAGCTACCTGAGGTGGTTACGTTTCCATTGCCAGTTGGGGTTCAGTAGAATCTGACCTTGTTTCTTTAAGATCTATAGAGTATAAAACTAAGTTAATTTTTCCCCAAATCCCAAGCATCCATGACTGGGGTAGCTGAACTGTAAGATGGCAGGAGGCCTGATAGAGTCAGATTAGATCGGGTTGTGGGGGTTGATGGGTTTGCATCATTGAATGGCTTTTCTCAGTATATGGATAACTGGGTCAGGCCTTTGGTTTTACTCACTTTCAGTATAGCTTGCCAGTATTGTTAGGCTATCCAAAGCCTTTCTAGATGGAGACAGGAAAACTGACTTGAACATATGGTATGGTGTGCCTCTATAAGAGTTCAGACTCGTTCTGAGTTGATGAAAAGTCTTGTTTTGGATATACACAGAATTTGGCTCTCTGAATCTCCCTTGGGGATGGTGTGGGCAGTACCAATAATGACTTTCCCATGACAAGTTTGAGTTGTGTCCTTGAGTGCATCATTGGGTCATGGCATGGCTGTGATGGGCCATTGCTTCTGCTACTTAGAGCCATGGACCTGGCTGTGCTGAGTCAGCCCATGTGGTTAGTACTCAGTAGACCACCACCTTCTTGACTTCTCACGGCACTTGAGTCCTTCACCCTGACCATGTGCATGCATGACTTGCAGTAGAGCCCACTGACTACACTCGAGTCCCCTGACTGTAGTCTCCTGCCTGGTGGCCTGCCATGACTCCTCAGTTGAAGGCTGAAAGTCAGGTCTACTTTGGCCATACAGTGAAAAGTAAACTATATAGACGGAGCTTCTTGCTGATAACATGGACACTAATCTGTTTGGCCTGCTGAGCAATTTTGGTGCTGGGGGTGCAACAAGAACAGGAGGTGCCCCTGTGGAAGGTGGAGGCCTTGCCTTTCCATACTTACCTAGGTCTGTCTTTCTTTCAACTGGTTAATAGAAGTTACAAGTTATTCTCAAAGACATCTCATCATGAGGAAAAAGGAACTTCCTTTTGTTCACATTCAGGATTAAAGTGCCATAAAATGTAGCAAAAGGCAATATTGGCCAGATCAGTGTTACATTGATTCTAAGAGTACAGTGTCTCCCATCAAACATGTGATTTAGGTGTTGAAGTGTATTTGAAGAGAGGGTTGGGAGAAAGGAGGCATTCCTCTTGCTTTAAACCAGTATGTGCATCATACGCTTACAACAGGAATTTGCACAGGAATTTGGGAGAAGCTGCCAGTGGAGTTTGGAGTTGTGTTTGAACCTAGCTTTGGGCAGCTCATTGTTGAAGAAATGGCAGGGCTTGAGGAAAGAGTGAGTGTTGCCAAGGCCTGAAGTACTGTGATGCACTGTGACCCTAGAAAAGGAAGGTGAACTCTCTGCTGATCACTGTGTCCTCATTGGCCAGCCTGCAGGAGCCCAATCTCATGGTCTTTCCTTGGACTCTGTGTAGTCATTCCTTAAGCCCCGCAAAGGGAACACAAACATTTCTCACTGTGCTGCTGGTGTTCTGACCTGGTGTGGCTGCAGCTGCATCAGGCTTTGCAGAGTCAAGTGTTCACACACAGCAACACTGAAATCCTATAGACCAAAACCCACTTGTCAGCAGGAACCGTGTCTGGGCCCAGCACCTGTGGTCTTCTAGCTCACCTTTGACCAGCTGTGTTGGGTGAAGAGAGCCATGCCAAGGGTCCAGGCTGCTTTAGTCCATCTGTGCCCTACCCATTTGGGGACAGGTGGTTTTTCTTGTAAACTTGTGGACTTTTGAAACCTGTTGACTAAACAGTAATTAATTTATATTTGTGAAAAATGCCACTGTCCTAGTGATTTCTGATGTAAATAATGTTGTTTATATAGTATGTATTAAATTTTCCTACATTGTAAAACTGCTGCACTTTTGATTCTTGTATATTAAAAAGCGTTACTAAGGATTTTTAGAATTGGGCTAACCAGTTGCATTACATTCCGGTGTGAGGCAAATGCCTTGAAGATACTTCCTCTCTCTCCTTCCCTTGCTGGCAGCACAGCCATGTGTCCAAGCCTGTTTACGGCTTCCTCGTTGAAGCTTTTTTTTTTTTTTTTAAGTTGCAGTTTTATTTTGAGTTACAGTTTTCTGTCCCTGAACAGCTCCAGACCACAGCCCACAGCTGTGCACTTCATGAGATGGCATGGAGCTGTTAAAGCTGGTAGTTATGCAGGACTGAACTCCTCTGGGGGTCCTAGACAGGCCTTCCTCGAATGCCCACCTCTGTCCAGAAGGAAGTAAAGCCATTAGACTTGCCGCCTGCAACTCTAATGTAGTTAAAAGTTGGGTTATATATTCTTGAGTGGGGAAAATGCTTCTCTAATGGAAACAGTGACACAAATGTTCACTTACAATTTGGCACAGAGGCAGGCTCAGCTCGGACGTGGCCCAGACAGAGCGAAGGTGGCCTGACCTGTGGGTGGAGAGCCTCCTTGGAAGGAGAGTCTGAGAATCTTGCCCAGGCCCCGGGGTTTTCACTGGTACACAGGTGAAACCAACTCACATCTTTATAAACCCATGTGTCTAAAGAGCAGTGAGAGGTCAGCTGCTGGGACCCCGCCCTGCTAGCTATCCAGGACTCTTGGGTGAAAGAGGGCAGTTAAGCCTGGCCCAGGAGTAGACCCGTAGTTAGTTGCTGAATGGAGAAGCATGTAGAACCGTCACTGTGAAGAAACCACTGGTAATTCCTCCCTCTGTGCTCCACAACGCAGCTGGAATGGCTCTGGGAAACTTTTAAGAACAAGTGCTGCAATAATCTTGAGTATTATGATTTACAACAGCGACAACACTTCCAAGGCCACCATTGCCAAAATGCCTGCCTTTTACTGGAAGCTGCAGGCCTGGGGCCCTCACCTCCCAGTCCCTCCCTGGCAGGGACTCAGATGCTTGGCAAACACCACAAACCCTGCTCAATTAATGCCAACAGAAAGGTCACTTACTGAAAACTAAGGACCAGCAGTTTGCCAGAAAAGAACACAGCTAGTGGCTCTTAAAGGGGCCATGCTAGCACTTCGGCTGGGGCTTTAGCTAAAAGTCCTTTCCATCATATTTCAGGTTAGAACTTTTATGGTCCATGCTGCCTCCTGGCTTGCGTGGTGGTTTTGTGGAGTAGGCTGTGGATGCAGCTGAAATAGACAAAAAACCTACCTGCATGTTTCTGATTATGGTGGAGCCCTGCCCAGTCCCTGCTGGTAGGACTCTTCCCTCATGTGACAGGCCTTGGGGATTTCCTGGTCAGTTATGTCCAAACGACTTGCCCCCACCACACTGCTCTCTGGCTTTGTGTGGGAACAAAAATCAGGTCTACAGTCTTTATCTAAAATGCATCCAGAGTAAATAGCTGTACCTCAGAGTGAGTGAGCAAGGGAAGAGTTCACACAGGTTCTCCCTTCGCTGGAGTTCTTGCTAACTACAGGCACATGTGTGCCTTTGGGTTGCATAAAGGAACACACAGGAGTCACAGCCATGCCTCCATTTGTCCCTGCCAGGAAGCATCTTTAATTGCAAATTAATGTGTTGCATGAGTGTGCATATAGGGCAAGAGAGAAGACCTGAAGGTCACCAGGAGACAAGTGTTTTATTCTTAATTGGGGACAGAGCCAGAGGGCAGGTGGGCAGGTTGAGGATGACTAGGACAAAGCCTGTCCATCTTGGAGGGCAGCCCTAGTGGCTTGAGAAAGAGGCTCCTGTAAAGCCACCACTTGCTCGGGAGCCCATCGGGGACAGCAGCCACCCCAAGAGCTCCACTGGAACCAGAAAGACATTGTTGGGACCAGATCTTGGAGACAAGGCTGTCCATCCAAGATCTGAATCAGAATCATGGGCCTTGTCTTTCTGAAGTTGACATTTTAGGTGGGGTGGGTACTCTAGACAAGCAGCTTAAGTGAAAACAATGTCACCTAAGGGAGAAAATAGGCAGGGTGCTGGCAGCCAACCTCAGGCAAAGGGGATCAGAGGGCCCATGGACCGGTGGGTGCATGGCATGTGTCAGACCAGGACTTGGACCTAAGCATTTGTGTTCCCCCTCACACCTAAGCATGCATTACTAAATGTGCATTGTTAGTCTCAGAATAGGGGCTGAGGTAGCAGTGCCGAAGCCCTGCAGAACACACAAGATGGGCTTGGGTGGCCACACTCAGAGAGAGTAGGATGGGGTGGCTAGAGGCATTGCAGAAGAGAGACTCTCTTGCAGCCTTGTCTTTATTTGTGTTCTATTTCTGTAATAAACATATCAACCAAAAGCAACTTAGGGAGTAAAAGGGTCTGTTTGGTCTTAGACCTTCCACCATGAAGAGAAGGGTAGGAGCTTGAGGTCATGAAGGAAAGCTGCTTACTGGCCTGCTCATCTTGCTTTTTATACAACCCAGTACTACCAGCCCAGAGGTGGCACCACCCACAGTGGGCTGGGCCCTCCCATATCTATCATTAGTCAAGAAAATGCCCCACAGACTTGCCTACAGGCTAATCTGATGGAGGCAGTTTCTTATTTAAGATCCCCTCTTCCCTAGGAAACAAGGAAGACCCTAAGAGAGACATACCTGGTCCCCTGGAGAAGAGGCAAGGGACAAGATCTCCTGAGCAGATTGGGAGAAGGGAGAGAGAGTTAGGAGAAAGAGAAGTGGAGAAGAGGAGGGGAGAGGACACGAGGGAGCAGCAAGATTGAGTCAGGGGAAGAATAGAGGAGAGCAAGAAAAGAGACACATCAATAGAGGAAGCCACTATAGGTTTAAAGAGAAATCTGACACTAGGGAAATGTCCAGAGATCTATAAGGATGACACCAACTAACAATGTAAGCAATAGTGGAGAGGCTACCTTAAATGCCCTCCCCCGATAATTAGATTTATGACTACCTAGAGCCCATCCAGTAGCTGATGGAAACAGAAGCAGACACCCACAGCTAAACACTGAGCTGAACTCAGGAATCCAGTTGCAGAAAGAGAGAAGTGATAAGCAAAAGGGTCAAGACCAGGCTGGTGAAACCCACAGAAACAGCAAACCTGAACAAGGGGGAGCTCATGGACCCCAGCCAGACTGATAGCTGGGAAACCAGCATAGATCCAATCCAGACCAGCTGGGAAACCAGCATAGATCCAATCCAGACCAGTTAGGAGGCCTGGGCAGTCTATGGGGCCTCTGGTAGTGGATCAGTATTTATTCCTGGTATACAAATGGACTTTGGGAGCCCATTGCTCATAGAGGGGTACTCTCTAGCCTAGACACACAGGGGAGGGCCTAGGCTCTGCTCCAAATGATAAGACAGACTTTGAAGATTCCCTCATGGAAGGCCTCACCCTCCCTGGTGAGCAGAAGGGGGACGGGATAGGGGTTTTGTGGGGGCAGGGGGTGAGGGGAGGGAGAGAAAACTGGGATCAACATGTAAAATAAGCTTGTTTCTAACTTAAATCAAAAGGGGGGGGGTGAATAAAAAAAGATCCCCTCTTCCTAGATGGCAGTAGACACATCATCCCAGAGTAAGTGTGATTCTATAACTGTCCTGCAGGTGGCAGCAGAAGTCCACAGACTCCAGTTGGACCACTGATCTGTCCAGAAGGCTCTATGATTCTTCCAACTTCAAGATACCCTCCTTTGCCAGCAGGGTCCAAGAGACTGGAGCCACCTTGTTCCTGAAGGAGGCTTGAGCAGGGACTGAGAACATTCGGGTGCGTCCCAAGCTGATCCCCCCATCTTCTCCATCCACTGCTCAGGACCTCTAGTCTTTGCGGCAATGGAAGGGATCATTGCGTCACAAGGTCTATAGTGACTCGTGTTCCCTGAACTGCTGTCTATGGGCCTGTGGGTCCATTCCTGATCACATATGGTGGATGGGAAAATTCTAGTGAAGTTCAGTAGGATTCTTCTTAAAACCAGACAGTGCAAAGACAATGAGAGGCTCCACACTTTGAACCTTTGAATAGTTGAATGTAGCACAAATAATAGTTGGTGTTAATAAAAACCCAGAGTCAGATATTGGGGTTAACGCTGAAGATCAGAGAAGCAAAGCCACCAGCCACTAGAGAGCTCTTACATCTACCAATGCTCAGACCTAAAGGACCATCCTGTCCTCAGACTTAATGCCTAGACTGCACCGCTCCTCAGACTGCAATGAGCTCCTGTCTCCTCACACCTTATATTCCTTTCTCTGCCCAGCCACATCACTCCTGTCTCCACCTCCCTAGTTCTGGGATTAAAGGTGTGGGATCCCAAGTGCTGGCTGGGATTAAAGGCATGAGCTCTGTTTCTCTTTTAGACAGATCCAATCTTGTGTAGCCCAGGGTGGCCTTGAACTCACAGACATCCATCTGCCTCTGTATCCTGAGTCCTGGGATTAAAGGTATGTGACACCCCCCCCCCCCCCATATAGGATGATGGGTGGAATTCCCTATTGCCATTCTCTTCCCACTAGAGGTCACAAACAAGGAAGGGTGCCTGTTTCCACTCTTTGTTGTGAGTCTCCTCAACATGGAGCCTAGCATTCACTGTCAAAATATCATTAAATATTTGCAGAATATATGAATGTCCTCCCAAATGTAGACCATGACCAGCCACATTCGGTAGCCTCCAACTGTCTGTATAAAGAAGAACCAGGGAGGACTCTTAGTGTTGTGTTAGGTTAATAGAACACCTCTGCATACTTTCCCTAAGGGGGTCAACTCTAGTTATTAGCAAAGGGTAGGGTGTGTGCACTCAAGAAGGCGGTTTGGGGGATTACCTGACCTTTCTCGGGGAAGTGAGCTCTGTCTTGTAGACCTAATGCTTGGAAATTTAGGCCCCCGTCTTGACACCGATGGGTCTTGCTCACCAAACCCTCTGATAAAGCCTGCTTGGGCTTTGAGAACCTGAAGCCTAGGAATTGGGTGACT